ACGTCACGGATTAATGTGACTGACATTGTGCAAGAAATAGTTTCACATGTTGATTGCTTGAACGCACTCGCTTCTACCCGCCATCAAACAGCCGGCCCTATTGGTGACAACTCAACACCCAATAGTGCTGCTGACGGAATCTCAGTAATGACTCGGGGTCAATTATCGCGGGTTGTTTGTTCAGATGTTGTGATGTACTGCCCAAGTGTTTGCAGACATTAATGTGATCGGCGGTGTTGAGAGGTCGCTGACATAGAGCAATGGAAGCCGAGCCTTATGGAGATCGTACATGGTGAACTTGGCATGGGCTCTCGCGTAGGAGTCTTTGATCACGCGGTGGCTCTCTCTTAGTACTAGCCAAACCCAGCTGCTGTGCATTCTCTCTCATACAGACTTTGTTGCTATGCATTCTCTCACAATAACAGACAAACTTTGTTGCTGTGCATTCTCTAACTCTAACATACCAACTTTGTTGCCACATAATCTCTATCACCAACAATCTTTGCATCTTCCCGAGGCAAGTGAGTTAACTGACTTTATAAGTCCAGTTTCCACCCTTGCAGAACTAGGCTTGAATTCCTGGGCTCGATCGTAGCGCCACCAATGGCTATTACGAGTTATGTCCCTTCTATGTCTCTCCTATGGACCAATCAGATTCCACCTCTCGTGTCACATGCATTTGCTTCAAACAAAATGGCGGCGCCCGGTCAAGACAATCCGATCAACATTCAAGATCTAAATTGTGATAAAACGGGTCTTACGTCGCGAAGTGCATTAAATCAAGTGAGCACCTTGATAACAAACATGAACATATTTGGAAAATATCTGTTGCCAACGAGTTGGCGATGCACATGCTTTGCAAATCCTGAAAATCGCCCGAAATCTGCATGACAGTTTACGAACCGGATTTCGATTACATTGCGCGATTTTGACTGGACTATGCATAAACTCGTTTGTCCAGCCAAAATCTAACTCAGTTCGGCAAAGGTGGAAACAAGATTTTTATAGTCCCTTACCTCGGAAAGATGCAAACTTGGTTGCTATGCATTCTCTCACATTAACAGACAAACTTAGTTGCTATGCATTCTTTCACACTAACATACAAACTTTGTTGCTATGCATTCTTTCACACTTACAAACTTTGTTGCTATGCATTCTCTCATACTAACGTACTGTGTTGCTATGCATTCTCTCACACAAAACAAACTTTGTTGCTATGCATTCTCTCGCACTAACAAACTTTGATTTATTGCTATGCATTCTCTCATACTAACAAACTTTGTTGCTATGCATTCTCACACACTAACAATCTTTTCTTGCCATGCGTTTTCTCACACTAACAAACTTTGTTGCCATGCATTCTCTCACACTAACAGACAAACTTTGTTGCTTTGCATTTCCTCATACTAACAAACTTTGTTGCTATGCATTCTCTCATACTAACAAACTTGTTGCTATGCATTCTCTCACACTAACAAACTTTGTTGCTATGCATTCTCTCGCACTAACAGACAAACTTTGTGGCTGTGCATTATCATACGGTAGCAGACGTTCCGTTAGAATTCATACACAAACAAAGTTTGTTGCTATGCATTCTCTCACACTAACAGACAAACTTTGTTGCTTTGCATTTCCTCATACTAACAAACTTTGTTGCTATGCCTTCTCTCATACTAACAAACTTGTTGCTATGCATTCTCTCACACTAACAAACTTTGTTGCTATGCATTCTCTCGCACTAACAGACAAACTTTGTTGCTATGCATTTCCTCATACAAACAAACTTTGTTGCTATGCATTCTCTCATACTAACAAACTTGTTGCCATGCATTCTCTCATACTAACAAACTTTGTTGCTATGCATTTTCTCACACTAACAAACTTTGTTGCTATGCATTCTCTCACACTAACAGACAAACTTTGTTGCTTTGCATTTCCTCATACTTACAAACTTTGTTGCTATGCATTCTCTCATACTAAGAAACTTGTTGCTATGCATTCTCTAATACTAACAAACTTTGTTGCTATGCATTTCCTCATACTAACAAACTTTGTTGCTATGCATCCTCTCATACTAACAAACTTTGTTGCCATGCATTCTCTCACACTAACAGACAAAATTTTGTTGCTATGCATTCTCTCATACTAACAACTTTGTTGCCATGCATTCTCTCACACTAACAGACAAAATTTGTCGCTATGCATTCTCTTATACTAACAAACTTTGTTGCGAAGCATTCTCTCACACTAACAGACAAACTTTGTTGCTATGCATTCTCTCATACTAACAAACTTTGTTGCTATGCATTCTCTCACATTAACAGACAAACTATGTTGCTATGCATTGTCTCCCACAAACAGACTAACTTTGTTGCTGTGCATTATCATACGGTAGCAGACGTTCCACGTTGTGTTTCATACACAAAAAAACTTGCCATGCACTTCCACCAGATTGGAAACGAACCTTGTCGCCATGCATTCTCTCACAACAGTCGCCACATCACTGTGCCATGCATTCTCTCACAACAGTCGCCACATCATTGTGCCATGCATTCTCTCACAACAGTCGCCACATCATTGTGCCATGCATTCTCTCACAACAGACGCCACATCATTGTGCCATGCATTCTCTCACAACAGTCGCCACATCACTGTGCCATGCATTCTCTCACAACAGTCGCCACATCATTGTGCCATGCATTCTCTCACAACAGACGCCACATCACTGTGCCATGCATTCTCTCACAACATTCGCCACATCACTGTGCCATGCATTCTCTCACAACAGTCGCCACATCACTGTGCCATGCATTCTCTCACAACAGTCGCCACATCACTGTGCCATGCATTCTCTCACAACAGTCGCCACATTACTGTGCCATGCATTCTCTCACAACAGTCGCCACATCACTGTGCCATGCATTCTCTCACAACAGTCGCCACATTACTGTGCCATGCATTCTCTCACAACAGTCGCCACATCACTGTGCCATACATTCTCTCACAACAGTCGCCACATCATTGTGCCATGCATTCTCTCACAACAGTCGCCACATCACTGTGCCATACATTCTCTCACAACAGTCGCCACATCATTGTGCCATGCGTTCTCTCACAACAGTCGCCACATCATTGTGCCATGCGTTTCTCACAACAGTCGCCACATCATTGTGCCATGCGTTTCTCACAACAGTCGCCACATCACTGTGCCATGCGTTTCTCACAACAGTCGCCACATCATTGTGCCATGCGTTTCTCACAACAGACAAATCGTGTTGCTTTGCCTTATCTCACACCAGAAGATAAATGTTGTGCGCAGGTTTTTAACTTAATATACACTATCTTGGTAAATATTGTAACTGATACCTGATATACTGTCATTATTTTAGTGCTTTTATACAAAATAAACCTACTTGGCTGTGTGTACTTTAGGCTGCTCCAGACTGCAGTACCCTGTCCTAATTTTGTCTAACGAGGAGATTACTGACAGGAATTAGAAACTACCGACCACACTCATTTTCCATTAAAGAGCGAAAGCGGACGGTAAAATGTGTGTGTGATCCCGGGTATCGGGTCGGGCGCCCGTGTTTACACTGTGGACAGTAAACAGAGAGGGCTACTCCCGGGGTATCAGGTCGGGCGCCCGTGTTAACACTGTGGACAGTAAACAGAGAGGGCTACTCCCGGGGTATCAGGTCGGGCGCCCGTGTTAACACTGTGGACAGTAAACAGAGAGGGCTACTCCCGGGGTATCAGGTCGGGCGCCCGTGTTTACACTGTGGACAGTAAACAGAGAGGGCTACTCCCGGGGTATCAGGTCGGGCGCCCGTGTGTACACTGTGGACAGTAAACAGAGAGGGCTACTCCCGGGGTATCAGGTCGGGCGCCCGTGTTTACACTGTGGACAGTAAACAGAGAGGGCTACTCCCGGGGTATCAGGTCGGGCGCCCGTGTTTACACTGTGGACAGTAAACAGAGAGGGCTACTCCCGGGGTATCAGGTCGGGCGCCCGTGTTTACACTGTGGACAGTAAACAGAGAGGGCTACTCCCGGGGTATCAGGTCGGGCGCCCGTGTTTACACTGTGGACAGTAAACAGAGAGGGCTACTCCCGGGGTATCAGGTCGGGCGCCCGTGTTTACACTGTGGACAGTAAACAGAGAGGGCTACTCCCGGGGTATCAGGTCGGGCGCCCGTGTTTACACTGTGGACAGTAAACAGAGAGGGCTACTCCCGGGGTATCAGGTCGGGCGCCCGTGTTAACACTGTGGACAGTAAACAGAGAGGGCTACTCCCGGGTATCAGGTCGGGTGCCCGTGTTTACACTGTGGACAGTAAACAGAGAGTGTTATTCCCGGGTATCAGGTCTGGCGCCCGTGTTTACACAGTGGACAGTAAACAGTGAGTGTTACTCCCGGGTATCAGGTCGGGCGCCCGTGTTTACACTGTGGACAGTAAACAGTTAGTGTTATTCCCGGGTGTCAGTTCTCGCGTGTCAGATCAAGATGCCCGTGCAAACACTGCCGATAGAGTGTGAGTTCCTGGATCTAGGCGATGACCATGTATGTTTTGCCTTGAAGTATATAGATATATCTGTTACAAAATACAATACCATCCTCCCCTGTCCGTTCGAACACTGCTTGAAGTGAGTGAATGAGTATGGTTTTAATCCAGCAATATCACGGCGGGGGACACCGGAAAATGGGCTTCACACATTGTACCCGTGTGGGGAATCGAACCCGGGTCTTCGGGGTGACGAGCCAACGCTTTAACCACTAGGCTACTCCACCGCCCCTAAGACTACAGAGAGTGAGAGTGACAGAGTGAATGCTGTTTTTAGTCGCAGTGAGCAAAATTCCAGTTTAACCTCGGCATTCTGTACATAATCGAGTCTGACCCAGGGTAAACGTGTGATTGACTGCATGAGCAACGCTCCAAACCGCACTCAGCCAGCTCTCATTTATATACTCGGGGGTCACTTCTTCCCGAAGGCCTCTCGGGGCCATACCCACAAATCCTTTCTTTGGGCTGGCACAGAGGTGTTTCCATAGTGCTTGGATTTCCATATCGACCAGTGGACCATGTACCCGAACATCGATTTTTATTTATGGGCCATTTTCACCTCGCCGTCTATCTAACGTCGACCGTATATTTATTAGTATTATGTATTTTGACGCCTGTGACGCTCTTCTATGCTCTGTCTCTGAGTTGAGACATTTGCCGTCTTTGTCTAACACATCTGCAATATTACACAGGCCTCGGCGAAGTCTGCCATCAAATTTTATCATATTAGTCACGCAGTCATTCAAACCACTCGGCAGTCGAGAATCGATTCAACATATGCCGACCGCCAAACAAAGACCTGCCACCCCTATAAGGCAAAGTGGCTCCGCCCATCACGCATGGCCGTCGCTAACCCGCAGACCAGAAGGTAGACACGGAGAGTCCTGGAGATTACACTAACCTAAGAGACAGGGGTGGTCACCTTCTGACCGAAACACAGGCACAGTTTCACAACGGAGACGGATACTTTTCACTTGGAGCAATTTACTCGGGTAAATTTGTGATTTCTTTAATTTGTTATTGTTTGTTATCGGTTACCATATAAGCGTTAGCAATGGTGAAATCGATGTTTATTTGGGTAGTTGCCAGTGATTGAGGCTGTCGATCAAGACGGGGTGTAGAGACGGTGTATCAACTGTCGTCTTGCGGTGACACCGTACTCTCATTACATATTCACTGGCAGCCGACCGTACCCTTTAAATTATACACTTGCAGACCTAACTGAGAAAATAGCCGAACCCCTAACTTCCTTAGAATATGGTGATGATGACTGCCAAACCCCATTGTGTTAAAGAGCAAGATGTGAGTATTCCCGAGTATTGTCGAATGTCAATCATGTTCTATTACCACAGTTAGTATTCAGTAATTTGTACAACGGGTACGGGTTAATTCAAGACTATAAACCTGATATGAAATATTTCTATGTCGAAACATTAATGGAGCTGTATTGTATAACGTTACATGGGGTGATTTACGTTGGTGGTAGAGGCTTATGTGTGTATCGCCAACTTTCGTGACAGCTAGGCTCTTGCACACCCGAGTAGAGACGAAAATCTTCTTACGCCGATATTAACACGCGATCAGTAGTGAATGTAAGCCTTGTGACGCCTCGAGACTCGGCTGCAACAGTGTTACATGCGTATCCGTGAACGCAGTCATTTGTAATAGTCGGACAAGTCTCGTTAATCCTGTTAGAACGCAGTCGGGTTTATAATATCTTCAAAGACTGCTAATCCTAATTTACATAATCTTTTTCTATAACGTTATGTAATAATCAATTAATTTAAGAATTAATGTTTCGATGTTTTAATTCAAGTTTAGACATTAAGAGTTTCTGTTTCGTGTTTCCTTAACTACGGTCCGTGGTGTTGTTGTTTTGTGAGATCTAACAAAAAAGCTTTCAATAGTTTGTGGCGTTTCAATGATGGTATTGAAATAGACTTGCCACAGATTTGACACAGTTTACAGTTGCTGTGAGTATGTAAGCAAACATGACATCCCCTCTGACAGTACATAGCTGTGTTAAATCTCGCCATTGATGAGCAAGAACACTCTATTCACCGCTTTGTGGTGTTTACACAACGTCCTGACAGGTTTAAAACCAATCCTGTAAAACAAGTTTTAGAAGTCACAACATACGACGTGTTGGCGCTCGTTACTTCCGCGTCTGGGTGTATCGGGGGAATATATGAACACAGCCTCGTTAATGTTTGATACGTGGGCCTTATGTCACAGCCCTCTATCAAGACAAGCCATTGTCATCCCCGTGTGTTGAGAACACCGGTCTCTAATGACTCACTCCCACCCAGCGGTAGACTCCGTTCGGATGCACCGTGTCTGATGAAGCGGAGCGTGTGTAATGAACCAGATCAGAGGTGTCCTGGTGCATCTGTCATTGCATAAACACCATCTTGTGGTTGTGTCGGGCTGTTGTTTGTGTGAAGACGGTTGTGTGGGGCTGTTTTTGTGTGAGCTTGGTTGTGTGGGGCTGTTTGTGTGGAGACACTTGGTTGTGTGGGGCTGTTGTTTGTGTCAAGACACTTGGTCAAGGTTGTGCGTACTTTTGGTATTGGAGTCCAACGAGTGCTATGTTACAGCACAACAATGAAGCGACCGCTCCATCCGTCACGTTCTGGGTAATCATGATATAATCTGTGTTGTCTAAAAGAACATAATAACTCAATCCTGAAACACTTTGTTTCCTCCAATCATGACGCTGACGCATTCTTATTGCCCCATTGCATTCTTATTGCCCCATTGCATTCTTATTGCCCCATCTCCATGGTTGTTCATTATTTGCCTGATAATCTAGTCTTCTGTCTGAAAGAATGAGACAAAGGGAGTCAAGGCAGACGACAGGTAGAGCAACGTCCGACCACAAATTATTCACTATTAAAATAGAGGATTCTTCTAAGAAAAGCTTATTTCCAGAAACCTGTTTTATGTCATACAGAATACAGGCAACCCATTCTATGGCATCCAGTATACAGGAAAACTCTTTCTATGGCATCCAGTATACAGGAAAACTCTTTCGATGACATACAGAATACAGGAAAACTCTTTCTATGACATACAGAATAAAGGCAACCCATTTCTATGGCATCCCGTATACAGGAAAACTCTTTCTATGGCATCCAGTATACAGGAAAACTCTTTCGATGACATACAGAATACAGGAAAACTCTTTCTATGACATACAGAATACAGGCAACCCATTTCTATGGCATCCCGTATACAGGAAAACTCTTTCTATGGCATCCAGTATACAGGAAAACTCTTTCGATGACATACAGAATATGGGAAAACTCTTTCGATGACATACAGAATACAGGAAACCCATTTCTATGGCATCCAGTATACAGGAAAACTCTTTCTATGACATCCAGTATACAGGAAAACTCTTTCTATGGCATCCAGTATACAGGAAAACTCTTTCGATGACATACAGAATACAGGCAACCCATTCTATGGCATCCAGTATACAGGAAAACTCTTTCTATGACATACAGAATACAGGAAAACCATTCTATGAAATACTGTATATATGAAACCCCTTTCTGTGACACGCTGTATACATAAAACCCCATTCTATGACATATTGTATACAGAAAGACCCATTCTATGAAATACTGTATATATGAAACCCCTTTCTGTGACATGCTGTATACATAAAACCCCATTCTATGACATATTGTATACAGAAAGACCCATTCTATGAAATACTGTATATATGAAACCCCTTTCTGTGACATGCTGTATACATAAAACCCCATTCTATGACATATTGTATACAGAAAGACCCATTCTATGAAATACTGTATATATGAAACCCCTTTCTGTGACATGCTGTATACATAAAACCCCATTCTATGACATATTGTATACAGAAAGACCCATTCTATGATATACTGTATATATGAAACCCCTTTCTGTGACATGCTGTATACATAAAACCCCATTCTATGACATATTGTATACAGAAAGACCCATTCTATGAAATACTGTATATATGAAACCCCTTTCTGTGACATGCTGTATACATAAAACCCCATTCTATGACATACAGAATACAGGAAAACCATTCTATGAAATAGTGTATATATGAAACCCCTTTCTGTGACATGCTGTATACATAAAACCCCATTCTATGACATATTGTATACAGAAAGACCCATTCTATGATATACTGTATATATGAAACCCCTTTCTGTGACATGCTGTATACATAAAACCCCATTCTATGACATATTGTATACAGAAAGACCCATTCTATGAAATACTGTATATATGAAACCCCTTTCTGTGACATGCTGTATACATAAAACCCCATTCTATGACATATTGTATACAGAAAGACCCATTCTATGAAATACTGTACATATGAAACCCCTTTCTGTGACATGCTGTATACATAAAACCCCATTCTATGACATATTGTATACAGAAAGACCCATTCTATGATATACTGTATATATGAAACCCCTTTCTGTGACATGCTGTATACATAAAACCCCATTCTATGACATATTGTATACAGAAAGACCCATTCTATGATATACTGTATACATAAAACCCCTTTCTGTGTCATACTGTATACAGAAAACCCCTTTCTGTGACACACAGTATACAGGACACCACAGCATTGGATACATCTTTTATGATAAACTGTTTGTATAAAACCCGCTGTATGATATGCTTTAGGAAGGAAATACCATGCACTATAGACTGTATGTAGGATATAACTCACTGTATGTAAGATTCCCCTTGTGTGACACCCTGTGTGAAACATTCCCCTTGTGTGACACCCTGTGTGAAACATTCCCCTTGTGTGACACCCTGTGTGAAACATTCCCCTTGTTTGACACCCTGTGTGAAACATTCCCAATGTGTGACACCTTGTATATAACTTTCACCTTGCGAGACATCCTTTCTATGGCGGACTAAATTGGGCGTAAAAGGCAAAATTGTGATGAAAACTTTATGAATGGATCACTGAATATCAGAGATGTGTTCAGAGTAAACATGTTCTGCGTTAACGGAAGCACTCACTCATTTTCATAAGAAGTAAGTACATGTTTGTAGCCTAACGCCGCACCCAGCAAAACTCCTGTCGTACGACTGCGGCCCGTATAGACAGACAACCTTTATGCGCGTCCTTCTTGCATGATTTATAGTTTGTAAAATTATCCCTGGCAGAGTAATCAGGATGTTACTGCACAAACACTCATACTGATGTGCAGGGCTCTGGCATGGTCGCCCAACAACGGTAATATATTAGACACATTCTTAATTGCTGAAGTGTTTTTCTCGAAGACATTATCCTATTATAAGTATTATGTGTAGTGCGTTAAATAAATGTGTGACATTGCCTATTTGATAGTTCTTATCTGGAATTTCCAGCAGCCACTCTCAACAGGTAAACACACATCTAGAGTAACAGATATCTTTCAACGGACGATATATGTTTAAAAAGTTTGTTATGTATTTTGGGCTATTGCGTATATCACTATATCAATATTGTACAAAGCTGTCTTGAAGATGTAATGTACTTCAGATATAGGCAGGTGTCTACTGTGACTACTTGGTCTGTTTAAAGTTTATGCTATTCCTATAAGTATACACGCTATGTATTGCTAGTGGAAATATAGTGACAATCAAGGTTTAAGAGAGGATATACTTAATTCACGATATAACTTGAAATGGATAGTGTAACGAACGTTTAATAATTCAAAACACGATATAAATACCCACACTTCTGGCCCTTGCATAAAATACTTTGTGGTAGTTTTCCATTTCCGTTTATAGATTAACTTTAGACACTTATTAACAGATTCCATTATTTCTATATCTCAAAAAAACCCGGAAAAAATAAATTTAGTACCTCTGCTTCCTGCAAATATCGGTTTCCATATTGAGCGACAGTCGCAAAACCCCATTTTGGAATTTGGGAGTATTTAACGATTTGCAGATGACAGCGTGCCATCTGCGCAAAACACAAGCAAGAAATATGTACTGTGTGTTCTATATCAGTTCAATTTATAATGAACGCTTCAAATTTTTTGTTGACAAGGTTACCTTCCGCGTAATGTTTAGAAGCGGAGAACCGGAGGGGGGTGACGTTTTCTCCTTGGCGAATACCTCAAAATACTGAGAAACATTGCTACGCATGACGCATGGCTACATGTTACAGTATATGTTCTTTACAAACTAAAGTAATGTGCCACGTGTTCTGCACATGAACAATTTGTGCCAGGGCCTTACCTCTGTACACTAGCAAAAGTCCTTTTGAAATCAATACCGGTATAAAAGTAATTTATGCTCGGGCGTTGTAAGGTTAAGGATTTAATATACCCGTGAACAATTTACACATATTTAATGAGTCTATATAGATCTTGGTGGTATAACCTTTGTTATAGGTTGGCCTCACGATGACACCATAACGCAAAATGTCAAATGTGCCAATCAGAAGAGTTGTTTCTAATTGCGTCAGTTTGGGATGATTTATGTCGTTTTAGTCATTTAATTATTTGATGACTTTGTTCAGAAGAGCGCTGTCATTAATTTGTTGCAAGGTTAATCGGGTTCCCACGATCGGTATCAGAGTATGGTGTCTCGGTTTGTGGTTTGAAGAAATTGTGAAACTCCTTGGTCCGGTATGCACTGTGGAGCTTATTCTAGTTTCTTGATTAACAACGTCCCCCGCCGTGATATTGCTGGAATATTGCTAAAAGCGGCGTAAAACCAAACTCACTCACTCACTCACTTGATTAACAAGTTTCTCTAGGCGAATAGTTTGGTTGGTACACTAACATGTTTATTTCTCAAAAGAAGTTAAAGGACACAATATTTTTTCATATGATTATAATATATATGTCATGGCACTTTAACTTATTTGGAGTATATTTGAGTATATATTGAACCTAACTATTGTACACAGCCCATGGCTGCATGATATGTTATGTATACTACGGGAAATATGTCATGTCAGCACATTTAATATATGTGATTTATGAGATAACAAATGCAGGTAGTTCCTGGCAATTTTGGCCATTTGTATGACAGCTTGCCCAATATGCTTTTATTAATTTTGAATCAAACTAATGAATGAAAACACATTTACTATAAAAACATTATGACAAACAGAAGCCTGACTTGGATTAACCGTTGGTAGGTTCTCTCAATATACTGTATCCCTAGGTTAACCGCAAGCACACACCTAGTGATGTTTGCACAAAGAGAACTTACTTAGTGGTGTTCCGTATACGAATGCTGAAACATGTTGTCCCCTTGTTATTTCCACGATGTGGTTTTGAAGAAACATGTCATTTAATTATTTTTTTTCTTCATTTTTTAAACAATATTTTACACGGGTTTCATAAGAAACTTTCAATTATTCTCATGTTGTCTCTTTTGTTATTTCCACGATGTGATTTTGAAGAAACATGCCATTTAATTATTATTTTTTCAGTTTTTAAACAATATTTTACACGGGTTTCATAAGAAACTTTCAATTATTCTCACCGGTGCAATAAATCAGAGGTGTGCATTTGGGAATAGTGGATAAATTATTACCTGTTTAAGGAAACAATAATATGTCAAAGTTTCCTTATAAGTGTAACTATTATACATTCGCTGTTGTTTGTAAATATATAACCCTTCTCAGTCGTTGAAATTGTATCAACAAATGTATGCCAGCAGGTGTTATTGTTGACGTGTGCTACTTCATGGAAATGGAAGTCAGTGCCCTCACTGCTTTCTACTTGTTGATAGAACCCAGCAGTCTAAACAACCCAAAACACCACATTGAATCTCGGGGATAGGTGTATTCATAAGTGGCTTGTAGATATACTGGACTAGTTATGATTATGGCCTGACTTGGTCGCTGTTACTTATGTATATTTTCGCACAGTCACGGTGTGATATACGACATATAATCTTATAAATACTACCCCTCTACACAAGACTTCGCTAAATATAGAGGTGTTATTGAACACGGCCCATAGCTGCAGGGACCTGACGCCCGTGTCCCTGTGTTGGAAGTGTGATTGTATGGTGTTGTTGTGGGCCGATAGAAGGACGTTTGCCGTCTTATGATTTATTCATGTATAGAGAGAGTAGACATTAGACGACTGACAACGTAGCCAATAATGTGTAGTAAAGAAACTTAATATCGATGGATGCGTCTTGGGTGGATGGTATGTGGAATCCTTTCTGAGAGGTAGTAAATATATCCGATATAGTATATGTATGGTATTACATTACATGTATTTATAGACCATTAGAAGATTAGTATCATGAATGACAACATATATGGCATATACACATAAACACATGTTATATGCTGACATAGAGAGAGAGAGAGAGGGGGGGGGGGGGGGGGGGGGACTATGGACTAGTGACAGAGACAGCACACGCTGTTGTTATTGTGGCAGTACATTTTCTGGTTCTTTGGCTTTTCGTGCAGAGTTTGTTTATTATATACACACTCACTAGCACGCACGCACGCACGCACGCACGCTCGCATACACACACATACCCTCCTATTGTTCCCTTCCTTGCACGCTCCTGTTAAATAACTCCAACGGCGGCAGGACGTGTACTCGCTACACCTGCAGCGGTAATCTCGTTTCGTGACAACCCGAACGAACTTAATAAAATACTCAATGACCACCGCTGTATCACTCTTTGTATGTTTATCAGTTACTGCATTCGTCATCAGTGCAGAAACCTTTGATTTAATTTGTACGTTCCAAGACGCGGACACGCCAATACTGATTACGCCTTCAGTTGAACAGTGCACACACCGTCCAGTAGACTGACGTGACCAGTGATGAGATTATTGTTTGTGCTACTTCCGACGTTTTGTGTTCCTCTGTATGGTGGACTACTGTTTGTCTCAGGTCATTATTTCATTAGTGAAATAAGTTCAATGTCAAGATCAGATAGAAACTCGTTTCAGTTTTCTAATCCCTTTAAAAGGTGCCTGAAGTTTTAGTACAGCTTGTGTCATGGCACCATCCGACAACTCTTTGACGTTTGTTTGTTTGGTGTTTAACGCCGCACTCAGCAATATTCCAGCTATATGCCGGCGGTCTGTAAATAATCGAGTCCGTACCAGCCAATCCAGTGATTGACATCATGAGCATCGAGCTACGCAATTCGGGTACGATGACATACATCAACCAAGTCAGCGAGCTTGACCACCCGATCCCGTTAGTCGCCTCTTACGACAAGAATTGGTGCTTTTTACGGTTGCTGAAGACCTGTTCTACCCCGAATCTTCACAGGTTGGCAACTCTTCGAAACCAGAAGGCAATGGTGCTGACACTCTACTTTGATTGTCTGATCTCCCAAATCGATCTCTGTATTCACAACTGACACCCACTTTGAAATGTCCTTTTGACTAATTCCTCAGACGTTTTTTTTTATTTATCGTGATTGCGAAATATGATATCCCGTAGCTATGATCATGCCCCAAACAACTGAGTACATGGGTACCCATCGCGTGTCCCAAAACATCTATTGTTTTCGACACATTACTGATACCAAACATAGTGCCATTTATCTTTCTGACCTATCACAGGGGAACTGGTTTGTTCCAGTTTATTCAGGGGCCATCTTGGCAAGCACTGTACAGTTACAAATGGCTACTGCGTGGAAAATGTTCGTGATACAAAGCCCCTATGTTGCTCGACACGATGTCATTATTGTTTCAGGATACTTTCAAAACAAACAGTGAGTGAGTGAGTATGGTTTTACGCCGCTTTTAGCAATATTCCAGCAATATCATGGCGGGGGACACCAGAAATGGGCTTCACACATTGTACCCATGCCGGGAATCGTACCCGGGTCTTCGGCGTGACGAGCGAACGCTTTAACCACTAGGCTACCCGACCGCCCCTCAAAACAAACAGATGGGGCACCTCTTTGTATTGGACAAACACGAATATACCCAAGATAAGGAAGTGAGACATTTATAGAAATATACACATGAAGAATCAACAATTGTAATGTTATAGTTATCACACGTGATGATTCTGCCCCGCCGATAGCTCGTCACGCTTAAAGTTCTACGTTGCTGTACAGTTGGTTAAAGAACACATTCTATGACTGTCAATGTGCGGGCAGTTTAATTACTAATCATATGAGGAGGTGCCGGTTCTAGGGGGAGTCTACATACATGTAAGACCCGAGTGCAGGTAATAGATATTCAGCAATCCATGCTTGTCGTAAGAGGCGACTAACGGGATGGGGTGGTCAGGCTCGCTGACTTGGTTGATGCATGTCATCGTATCCCAATTGCGTTGCTCAATGCTCATGATGTCAATCATTGCATTGTTTGGTCCTGACTCGATGCTCATGATGTCAATCATTGCATTGTTTGGTCCTGACTCGATTATTTACAGACCCTAGGATCTTGAGTGCGGCGTGTAATAACAAACAAACAAACAAACAAACAAACATGCATGTATGAGGACCCATGTATCCAATGGCCGTCCTGTCAGAGGGCTCTTCACAGCATACCAATCCCACTGCCTGGTACCCAGGAAGGAGCTGACAATATTCAGATGCATAATTTTAACCTTTTTATGAAAATGAAATATATGAAATGAAAATATTTGGAAATACAATTATAATATTATTTCTATATTTCAGGATACACAGGAGTTTGCTTGCCTGGGTCTGTCACCGCTGAACGGCCTCCACATTCACACGTCTCCACACAGTGCGACTCTTACATAACCACAATGCCACACGCTGCCACATAAATGGTGGCAATCAATACCACCTGACTCTCAACTCGTCATCAGTATTTACAGACTGATCACTTACGGGAAGTAGTAAAGTTCTCCCTGTGTTTGAAGCAAACCAGCGTTCGGTTGAACAGGTAGTATTTCGAGAGTGTTGCAGTGTCCAACTGATAAGATGTCTTTCCTTGCGAATATCTTTAAGAAGAAGCCGAAGGGTGAAGAAAAGAGAGATGAAGAACCGCAGGACCCAGAAGCGAAGGATAGGCGGCTAAAGAAGCAGTTGTCTATCTCCAGGTCTGGTCGGTTTAAACAAAAGAACCGACAACGAGGGGGCGTGGCCGACAGACCAGATCTGTTCCTTCAGAATGAGGATGAGAAGAAATCGGAATCGAGGCCTCAGGCTGGTTCGTCTAACTCCCCCGGTAACAGCTGCAGGGAGGTAAATGGAATTATCATTCCCGGTGGCGTCAGGTTAAATGAACAAATGGCGTCATGACCTGGGATGAAGGTCAAGGACGTGTTTCAGTTTGGACGTTCCACTGACGCTCCAGGCGCCGTGGTTACCATCATGACTATTGCAATGGTCGCGAATTGAATAATGAGATTGAGATGTGATTTTGACTTGGCCTGTGTGACTAAATCAGGAACTTGTGTATGGTGTTACGATGGATAGCGTTGTGGAGTATTGACAATTGTAAACATGACAACCCCTGAAATTCAACGACCAATGAAAGTGTGGCTAGGAGTGCAATGATTATGGGTATAGCGGATGGCAATAGCTAACTTTGTCTGCTGGGCGCTTGTAGTCGCCCACAGCCCCATCGGCCTGATCTCTGATCCATCCATGATACCGTGTCTTCCATACGTTGCGGAGCAAGGTGTATTTCCTCCTCGGCAGATGTGGGTGACACCTAGCGGCGGTAGCGACGTCGTCTCTACTCGCGGTTCGGAAACCATATGTCCGCTGGAATTGCTTATTTGGAATTAATAACTTTTTAACTTGTCGCTCGTAGCATATGTTCACGAGTGTGAGTGTAGGTAAAGTTATTTGTATAGTATTTACATATCAGTATGCGGATTGTGAGAAACAAACTGCGGCCGGGGAACTGACTTGTTTCCTGAACACGTCTGTTGTTTAAACGTTACTTCACTGTTAAAGTAACTATATCTGTCCAGTCACAATCTGTCACAGAGAAAGAAGGAACAGTTTTCATTTTCTTGGTAAAAAAATAATTGTTACCAAAACTTTGTTGCATGAAACACATATAAGCTGCCCGCTGGTAGTTGAAAAAATGATCAAAACATCATATTAATGGATTCCTGTCATTCAAGATAAGATGGTCTCCAGAGCGTTTCTGGATAAGCGTTCAACTGTTAAACGACCAGTTCAGTTTTGGTTCCTGCCAGTTCCCTGGCCTGTGTATATATAAGTCTGCTGTTTGTTATAGTCAGTATTGTCGCTAGACCCTAGCTGTGATGTTCATGAATGAGATTTGTAGATATATTGAATAGTGTGAATGTTGTCCCCTCTGTATACAGAGTGCACTTCACAGCGCAACCTCGTTAACCCGGACGGTACGTCCCCAGTGAAATCATCCGCATGATTGCATGGCTGTATTAGCAGATCATGCAAGAAGCTATTTTATTTTAAATACAGACACACAGACACACAGACACACACACACACACACACACACACACACACACACATTCCCATCAAAATCGTCCGTAGGGCGTGGTGTCCGGTTTAACGGGGTCCGCAATAACGAGGTTTCACTGTTATCAAATTGTTTTGCTGCTATCTAGATCTGGCTGCGAGAATACAAAGCCCTATTTTCACATACGTGTATAATGTATGTTCATACCCAAACCAAATCATGACGGTACAGAAACCTGTAGTTTGCAGCACGCTGCCTAGCAGTAATTGTCTTTATATGACCATGTGTCCTAGGCTATAGCAACTTGAACTTACTTCACGGTATTTAGGGCAAAATACTTCATATGTTTAGCTTTTGTAATATTTATTTTTCATTTGAAAGAAAGTATTTTGTTGTTTACTATAGTGCCTTGGAAATGGTTATGCAGATACAATGTATATATCTATATCTATCTATATGATGCTGGTAAATCATTGAATGTCTCTATCAAGCGATGATCGTTGCATAGAGTGGAAGTCCCGCCGTGACAGGATTATATGAGCACGCGACTTGCATTTGAACATATACATCCACAGCAAGACAACTTGTCATCTAGACAGACACAGTGTCAGATATATCGAAACACAATCAGACAGGGACACGCAGTCCGATATATCCTGATATACCCAGTCAGAAACAGACAGTCAGTTATGTCCTGATATACCCAGTCAGAAACAGACACAGTCAGTTATGTTCTGATATACAAAGACCGGTAAACACAGTCAGATATATCCTGACACACCCATTGAGGGTCAGACACAGTCAGATATATCCTGATATACCCTGTCAGGGACACGCAGTCAGATATATCCTGATACACCCAGACGGGCAGAGTCAGATATAGCCCGATACACCGAGTCAGGGACATTCACAGTCAGATATATCCTGACACAACCAGGCAGGGACATTCACAGTCAGATATATCCTGACACACCCAGACAGGGACAGACACTGTCCGATATATCCTGACACACCCAGACAGGGACAGACACTGTCAGATATATCCTGACACACCCAGACAGGGACAGACACAGTTAGATATATCCTGACACACCCAGACAGGGACAGACACTGTCCGATATATCCTGACACACCCAGACAGGGACAGACACACTCAGATATATCCTGACACACCCAGACAGGGACAGACACAGTCACATATATCCTGACACACCCAGACAGGGACATACACAGTTACATATATCCTGACACACCCAGACAGGGACAGACACGGTCACATATATCCTGACACACCCAGACAGGGACAGACACAGTCAGATATATCCTGACACACCCAGACAGGGACAGACACAGTCAGATATATCCTGACACACCCAGACAGGGGCAGACACAGTCAGATATATCCTGACACACCCAGACAGGCACAGACACAGTCAGATATATCCTGACACACCCAGACAGGGGCAGACACAGTCAGATATATCCTGACACACCCAGACAGGGGCAGACACAGTCAGATATACCCTGACACCCAGACAGGGACAGACACAGTTAGATATATCCTGACACACCCAGACAGGGACAGACACAGTCAGATATATCCTGACTCCCAGACAGGGACAGACACAGTTAGATATATCCTGACACCCAGACAGGGACAGACACAGTTAGATATATCCTGACACCCAGACAGGGACAGACACAGTTAGATATATCCTGACACCCAGACAGGGACAGACACAGTCAGATATATCCTGACACACCCAGACAGGGACAGACACAGTCAGATATATCCTGACCCCCAGACAGGCACAGACACAGTCAGATATATCCTGACACACCCAGACAGGGACAGACACAGTTAGATATATCCTGACACCCAGTCAGGGGCAGACACAGTTAGATATATCCTGACACACCCAGACAGGGGCAGACACTGTCCGATATATCCTGACATCCCCAGACAGGGGCAGACACAGTCACATATATCCTGACACCCAGACAGGGACAGACACAGTCACATATATCCTGACACCCAGACAGGGGCTCTTGTCATTTCAAGCTTAAGAACACCAAAGAGACACTTTGACCTAGTGATACTCCGCATGCACCTCTATATAAACACACACACAACAGTATGCAAACATATTCTTTTTTAATGTTTGTTTGATGCATTTTCAACAATGCTTACAGCCTTAGATTAGCTCGTAGACTAGGCATGCTTATTTTGTTTGTGTCTGGAAATTCAGATATAACGATACAAAAGAACACATGTAGATTTCCCTTTTCGTCGAACAACTCCTGCATAACCAGCCCATGTACATCTGACATTAAACATGGGAACTTGTCGGACTGCTTGTTGGGTATGTCAAACTCGTTGTTCGAGTTGCCGAACTGATACTGCTTGACATGTCGGATTATTTCCTCGAGATATGTCATATCTGCTTGTTTTGCCGGACTTTGCTCGACATGTTAGGCTCGTTGTCCGACGGGCTTCTTGTCGGACTTGTCGATATCGAGGCGTAACAGGCTGTTGCCAGCGTGTGCAGGTCAGTCACTAGCACATCATAGTGCGAGAAGTACGTGCCTTATTTGTCACTTAATTTAATGTATAAAGTTTTTGATCATCATCCATGTGTTGCGTATCTTTCCAAGGTGAGTTGTAGAGAATTGCTACTTTATGACCACGTGACCAGTTCACGTTCACAGGTTACCAGTGAGGTTCATATGACGTGTAAAATGACAGTATACATGTCTAGGGCATTGGCGTCCGAAATGACAGTATACATGTCTGGGGCACTGGCGTATGAAATGACAGTATACATGTCTGGGGCACTGGCGTATGAAATGACAGTATACATGTCTAGGGCACTGGCGTCCGAAATGACAGTATATATGTGTGGGGCACTGGCGTACGAAATGACAGTATACATGTGTGGGACACTGGCGTACGAAATGACAGTATACATGTCTAGGGCACTGGCGTACGAAATGACAGTATACATGTCTAGGGCACTGGCGTACGAAATGACAGTATACATGTCTAGGGCACTGGCGTACGAAATAACAGTATACATGTCTGGGGCACTGGCGTACGAAATGACAGTATACATGTCTGGGGCACTGTCGAATGAAATGAACAAGTAAAGGACCATGCCCACATCTTGGTTCACTGTTGAATGTGTAGATATCACGAAAGAGATTCACTTCTGTCTGTGTACAGATCATTGGACGTCGAGCGGCAGCTGGCTTACTTAAGGCAGGGTCTTCCAGCAGTTCTCCGGTTGTCAGATGTAAACCAGTCGACCGTGAAATCCAACCCGAATGATAAATGAGCCGTGTCCAGGTATTTAGCTGGATGGAAGTAATGAGATTATCACGACATAAACTTGTGCTATGTGGCGACAGGTTTTCCTGTAACATGTTTACTGTATTCACCGACCTACAATGGAGAGAAACGTCGGGCCTCTTGAGTGAACACTTTCTTACCAAACAAACAGTTTGTTGTGTTGACTGGAGCAACATGCACACAACATGCAAAGAGCGGATTGAAGGTGAAAAATCGTTGTGGGAATGCATGCATACAGCGTGACACAGGGTGAACGTTTAACTTAAGCATGAATACTGAATACATATAATTGTATGCATATTTGGCCCACTGACATAAACACTGTGTTGTTAGGTTGAAACACAGCCAGTTTCTATTCCTAACACTGATAATGACATTTCATGATAAAAATACAATGACATGCACGAAATGAGCTAACAGGCACATATGTGAGTTGTGTTTCAAGCCGCTTATAGTCAGTTATGTCGACTTTGAGATACCGAGAGTGGTGATATCAGAGACTGGGTGTGGTGATATGTAGACTACAAGTTATCGAGTCTGATGTGACCGACTCCGTGGTCTGGTGGTAGAGCGTCCGTCCGGAAGGTCCGGGGTTCGATCCCCGGCCGTGTCAAACAAAAAGACGTTAAACGATAACTTGTTGTTACCCTGCCTGGCGTTCGGTTAAGGGGCTAAAACAAGGACAGGTCGGCTCGGAGTCAGTATGCTGTGTCTGAGTAGGGTATTCATGTTAAACTGCGGCATGGTATCTCAGTGGGCGAGCACTTTGAATCAGCATCAGTCCGGACTAGTACAAGCAGCCACACACACGTGCATGCGATATAAGAGCAATAATCTTGCACGCCCCATTTCACCTTACCTCACCTCGAGTCGAGACGATATCAGAGATCGAATGTGGTAATATCAGAGATCGAATGTGGTGATATCAGAGATCGAGTGTGGTGATATCAGAGACTGAGACAGATGATATGCAGACGATCAGAGACTAACTGTGAGGATATGCATTGATATAGACATTCGTATATTGTCATGAAAACCTTAAAAAACCGTTCAATTGGCATTCTAGAAGTTGGTGAGGAAATAAGAAAACGTACAACGTTATGGATAACAACTTCTAGTTTATTGCATCTAGCGACGTTTCGATGTAGATTCTTACACCATTATCAAGCTGGAGTGACAACAGCCACTTAGTGATAGGTATGTATGCATGATATGTTGTGATAAGCAGATTAACATCAACAACAACTGGTAATCTATAAAAAGTAGCACACCGTAATGAGTTAGAGTGAGTTGGATTTAACGCCGCTTTTTTACCGTATTCCAGTTATATCGGCGTCACAGATAACGAAGCTAGATGCACAGCAAGGATAAAGACTAAATGTTGTGACAAGCTGACTGGAATTTTTTACTAATTAAAAAAGGTCTATTGCTTGATTAGATCTTCAAAGACAGACGAGATGTAATACTCTTGATCTCTGTTCATCAAAGGTGACGGCGGATTTCTATGGCTTGTGAGAGTTTTCTTTAAGTGAAGTCCTGATGTTTGTTTGTGAGGATCTGGACTTTGTCACACGGAAGTGATGGCAAGGGAAGGTTTCAACAGCCAAGACAGACAGAAAATCAGCCTTCTCAGACCACACGCAAAATAATTCCTGGCCATCTTGGTCGCAGTATTAATAATATTCAATTCGCATAAGAAACACCGATCACGTATTTCCTTAGTAGCTTCGCTGATATTTGACGACACGGGGTACATCCATATCACGGAAATGGAGGGCTGTGCGTTAAATAAGACATATCATCACGCCTTGTACACTATAATTCTGGGTCTGCCCTGCCTACTTTCGTACTGAAATACAAACACAAGTCGTATCCAAGTGTAATGATCTGTAACCTGAGTTAATCTACTCACTACACTACATTGCTGTTTGGTTTACATCTTGTGTTCGAAATAGGGGAAGTTGAAACACCTTCTATACGTGCACGCGGGACTCTTACACTTCAAAGTGTGTTATTTCCGTGATAACATCCCCTGCCACGCGGCAGAAATACTGCAACCTCCAACACATCCGTCCGCTCGTGAATTTCAAAGTTCTCATAGTCGTGATGTTTGTTTGTTGTTTAACGCCACACTAAGCACTATTCCAGCTTTATCGCGGCGGTCTGTAAATGGTCGAGTCTGGACCAGAAAATCCAGTTATGGCCATCACGAGTGATGCCATCGATCCTGGCAATTGGAATACGAGGACATGCATCAACCAAATCAGCGAGCCTGACCATCCGCCTCCTACAACCGTAGTCGCCTTTTACGACAAGAATGGGTACCCGAAGACCTATTCTACCCCTGATCTTCACGGGTCTAATCGTGATGTAAAAACACACAGCTGTTTCTGGTAACATTGTGCAGGTACATCATATATCTGACCAACATTGTTGCTGTGGCGTCTGGTTTGTGTCATGGTTTAATACAACCACGAACAAGAACATGCCATCTGTATATTTTAGAACAGAATTTCTTTCATCAGCTTGTTATCAAGGGCGGATCGAACGATTTTAAAAGAAGGTCCAAAATATCAAAATCCACCTGAACATCCCTCCCACTCTATTACTAAAGGTACTACAAAAGAATGTTGCATCTTTCGTATGGCATGAATTTCCGCCGTGGTATTGGGGGAACATTGCTAACAGCGGCGTAACACCATACTCTCTTACTCACTCGCTCGATCGTGTTACATGTCGCTGGCCGTAACCGTGTTTTGATCTGATGTCAAATTGTTGATCTTGATATGCGGAAACAAATACTGGAAATCTGGTTTGACTGCCGTTTCGGGTTTTTAAAAAGAATGTATACCCCGACACGTGTACCATGTACCTGTATACTCGGCCACGTGTACCACGTACCTGTATACTCGGACACGTGTGCCATGTACCTGTATACCCGGACACGTGTGCCATGTATATGTATACCCGTACACGTGTGCCATGTATCTGTATACCCGTACACGTGTACCATGTACCTGTATACCCGTACACGTGTACCATGTACCTGTATACCCGGCCACGTGTACCATATACCTGTATACCCGGACACGTGTGTCTTGTACCTGTATACCTGGACACGTGCACCATGTACCTGTATACCCGGACACGTGTGCCATATACCTGTATACTCGGACACGTGTACCATGTACCTGTATACCCGGCCACGTGTACCATATACCTGTATACCCGGACACGTGTGTCTTGTACCTGTATACCCGGACACGTGTACCATGTACCCGTATACCCGGAAACGTGTGCCATGTACCTGTATACTCGGACACGTGTACCATGTACCCGGACACGTGTGCCACGTACCTGTATACCCGGACACGTGTGCCACGTACCATGTACCTGTATACCCGGCCACGTGTACCATATACCTGTATACCCGGACACGTGTGTCTTGTACCTGTATACCCGGACACGTGTACCATGTACCCGTATACCCGGAAACGTGTGCCATGTACCTGTATACTCGGACACGTGTACCATGTACCCGGACACGTGTGCCACGTACCTGTATACCCGGACACGTGTGCCACGTACCATGTACCTGTATACCCGGCCACGTGTACCATGTACCTGTATACCCGGACAAGTGTGCCTTGTACCTGTATACCCGGACACGTGTGCCATGTACCTGTATACTCGGACACGTGCATGATGTACCTGTATACCCGGACACGTGTGCCATGTACCTGAAAAGTCGGACACGCGTGTCGTGTATGTGAATTGCCTATAAAACCGGGCATTCACATGCAGACAAGCTTGCAAGAGTTACCTCCCATAACGATATCCGGTAGATCCACCCATCACTTCAACCGTCGAGACTGTCCAGGAATGTAGGGTTCAAGTGAGTGAGTCAGTTGTGTTTAACGCCGCTTTTAACATTATTCCACTTATATCACGGCGTGTCAGTTTAATGTGGGAGGTAAGCCCGAAATGGTGCAGTGCTGACAAACCTAGAAACATAATCGGGGCGAACTAGGATTCGAACCCACAATTATAGGTTTCTGGCATCCCCAACGGACGCAACTCTGCACAGCGAATTGCGGTTCCTTAGACGACTGGGCCAGCCGTGCCCCCTTAGGGTACAGCGAGCTCATCATCCTCGTTTGTCAGCAGGAACTAACAACACTCTCGGCTGTTCACGTGTTAACGTCTAAGCTTAATGGAAGCGAACGCGAACGCTCAGCTGTAACGATTCACCGATACCTACGATATCATCGATACTAAGGAACAGACAATAGTTGAATCGTCGGTCTGAGGTCGCGATACGCTAAATTTAGACAGAGACTGATAGAGTTACCTCCCTTAAAGGGAGAAGTGGCACAGCCATCTTGTAAACTTGGCGGAATGCGAGGACGAAATGATAGAGGACGCGCCTGCTTTTAAACTATTACATTTAATAACCATTCCTAAATTTAAAACTGTTTTGTTCTTGTTTTTTTAACAAAATTTTGTTTTGAGATAATAATACGTAAATGTATGAATCCAGAGGTTTTATAGTTATATTTCAGTGATTTCATCATTTCTTACTATTTGTTGGTGTATCGTGATAGCAGCGGTATTGCCATTCTGTATCATGATACATATTGTATGCAAGATACCAGGCGATACTCAGCTCTAGTGGTAACAGACGTGTGATACTTTGGAGGCCCACACAGATGAGACACAGCCAAATAAAAAATAATAGGTATGTGTGTATATGGTGCCATCACTAACACAAACAGTGAGGAATCAGCTTTTTTATTTCAATCCTCCCAGTTGATGCTGGCGCCGTCCCAGCCCAGATTCTCGCCCTCGTTCTGGACCTGCAGCCACTCCATCAGCGGGTTGAAGTACTCCAGCAGCGCACCCGCAGACACGTGACGGGACCCAGTCAACTGCTGCAGTGCATCTGGCCAGGGCTGACTGGCGCCAAGACTCAGCATGTCTCTGAAGGTCAAGCAAATTGATGCATCAATAGAAAAAGCGACACAACCATGTCCACATCCAATAGAAATCTCTGCATAAATCAGATTTGATTGTACGATTCCGACTATATCACGAGTATGTGTTTATTGATCATTATCAAATAGTGATGATACCAGGTGTTCGCGAAAAGCTGAGCGTATCCTGCCTTGTTGTAACCTTGATCAAATAGCTTCTGAGCAGGAGCTGCATGACGCTTTTTGAAATTTTGGTAGAAAGGGCATGCTTGATTGTATCTCAAACGTTGTGAAATATTGTAGGAATATTGCACGAGATGTACAGTCTTGAATTGATCCCTGACATGTTTTGTACAGTACATTTTTTACATATATTTTGATAAAGATTGCATGTTGTGTTGAGACTCTTGTGTAGGCGAGCCGGAGACACGTGTTGTGTTGATTGGTTGGTTGGTTTGTTTTTTTACGCCGCACTCAGCAATTTTCCAGCTATATGACGTAAATAATCGAGTCTGGACCAGACAATCCAGTGATTGATATCATGAGCATCGATCCACGCAATTGGGATCGATGACACGCATCAACCAAGTCAGCGAGCCTGACCACCCGATCCCGTTACTGTTGTGTTGAGACTCTTGTGTAGGCGAGCCGGAGACACGTGTTGTGCTGAGACTCTTGTGTAGGCGAGCCTGAGAAACGTGTTGTGTTGAGACTCTTGTGTAGGCGAGCCGGAGACGCATGTTGTGTTGAGACTCTTGTGTAGGCGAGCCTGAGACGCGTGTTGTGCTGAGACTCTTGTGTAGGCGAGCCTGAGACACGTGTTATGGTGAGACTGTGTTGGTGACGTAGCCACGCGTGGTGTAGATGGACAATACATGACAATACAGAAAAACCCTCACTTTAGCTTCTCGCCGGCTTCTTTAGATTGGTAGAAATCACACGTGTGCAGCGGCCCCTTGTGGCCCCTGACAGCACACATGGCCTCGTAGAACTGGAACTGGACGATGAAGCTGATGAAGTAGCTGTGGGAGAGAGAAGCGTGTGGCTACATGGACACTTCACATCACGTGGACCTAGGGTGGGTTAGAGTAGCACCCGGGAGCCGGGGGGCGAGGAAATGTGTTTGTTTGTGTGTTTATTTGTCGCACTCAGCAATTGGGATACGATGACGTGCATTAATGCAACCAAGTCAGCGAGCCTTGACTCTTACGACAAGCATAGTCGCCTCTTACTACAAGCATAGTCGCCTCTTACTACAAGCATAGTCGCCTCTTACGACAAGCATAGTCGCCTCTTACTACAAGCATAGTCGCCTCTCATGACAGGCATAGTCGCCTCTTACGACAAGCATAGTCGCCTCTTACTACAAGCATAGTCGCCTCTTACGACAAGTATAGTCGCCACTCACGACAAGCATAGTCGCCTCTTACGACAAGCATAGTCGCCTCTCATGACAAGCAGAGTCGCCTCTTACGACAAGCATAGTCGCCTCTTACTACAAGCATAGTCGCCTCTTACGACAAGCATAGTCGCCTCTCACGACAAGCATAGTTGCCTCTTACGACAAGCATAGTCGCCTCTTACTACAAGCATAGTCGCCTCTTACGACAAGCATGGGTTCGTGACCTATTCTACCCCGGATCTTCACGGGCGAGGAAATGGAAAACATGGCTCAACATGGGAGCTTCTACATTTGAGTTCAACTTGATGTTTACTAGATGTAAACACACACGTCACCATGACATTGTAGTTTATATTTAAAAAATATATTGAGCGGCGAAGTGTGGCAAGATAAGTTCCGGAAAGAGACACGATGAATTGACGCAAAGTGAAACAAGTACCGGATACACGAGAATCTCACTACAGAAAACAAACGACGACCCTCCCCCAACCATCAACTCCCCCCTCACCCCCCAAAGCCCGCCTATACACTTGCACACGAGCCATCGCACGCATGCACACACAAATGCGAAGAACCTGTTCCCTCACCACATATAGGGGGAGTTGGACGGCACGTGGTACTTGGCGGCAGGGTCGAAGTCTCTCTCCGACCGCGGGTTGGGAGACACAATGCCCTGGTACTTCAATCTGGAACAAGGCGGATAGGTTGATATGCTAGTAGGTATTTGGCTCATATTTTGTGAATATTTGGCAAAGTTAAAAATGCATCTCATATTTACTTAGTGAGTAGGTATGTTTTTACGCCGCTTTTATCTGTAGTCCAGCAATATCACGGCGGGGGACACCAAAAATCATCTTCCAGAGGCAAGGGAGTTAAATGACTGTAAAAGTCCACGTGCAACCTGGATTTTTAACGCGAGTTAACTCCCTTGCCTCCGGAAAATGCCGAAAATTGGCTTTACACATTGTACACATGTGGGAAATCGAACCCGGATCTTCGGCGTGACGAGCGCACGCTTTAACCAGTAAGCATCCCCACCGCCCCCATCTACTGAAACATGGTAAATACTCGTAAATAAGATCAGATTGTACAATGTGTGAAGAACTACAGCGAAATCACATTAAGGCTCAACCGCGGGACTGATGACATATATGGAGCTGTACACAGTAGCAGCAAGAGGAGTTCCGACGCTAGGCCGATAATGGTTCTGCCAGGATCCTGAAACTTATCAAACTTTGCGCTATATGTGAACAACATGCATGAGAAGACTGGGTCCTGTCTCACCGTAGTTTCCAGTACTCCTTGTTAAGGTCCTCGTCGGGGATGTCTCCGCTGAACACCCGCCATCGCCACTTGTCAATCAGATAGCCGTACGGCAGGAACGCCACCTTGAACAACGCCATGGTCAGCAGGTCGGCGATGTCGCCTGGAAGGGACAGACAATAGGTCGGTACAGTATAACGCTGGCTACAGTATTCACTGCTGTATTTGTCTGTTTGTTGTTTAACGCCACACTCAGCAATATTCCAGCTATATGACGGCGGTCTGTAAATAATCGAGTCTGGACCAGACAATCCAGTAATTGATATCATGAGCATCGATCCACGCAATTGAGATCGATGACATGCATCAACCAAGTCAGCGAGCCTGACCACCCGATCCCGTTAGCCGCCTTTTAGGACAAGCATAGTCACCTTTTACGGCAAGCATGGGTTCGTCGCTATATAAGTGCAATAATCTTGGACGCGACGTTAAACCCAATTTCACCTCACTTCACCTCTTTGGCGTGACGAGCGAACGGTTTAACTACTAGCCTACCCCATGGCTCTAGTAGTGTCTGGTCGGACAATATCGTCATGTTCCATCGTGGTTTGCCTGTACCAGATATGACGACTATAACAATACCATGTTTGCCTCCACATGAAACAATCACTGTCAAGTATGTATTCACCGTCTTCCGTCCTCGTCGCCGTGTCAATGAGGCCGATGGAGTGGAGGTGTTCGCGGGTGACGACAGACAGCGCCATCGTGTCGCCCACGGCTTCGTGGAAGGCGGAGTTGGCGCCGGTACGGTAGATGGTGGGCTGGCCGGAGTACGCCATGAAGTACTCGATGTGGCCCATCTCGTGGTGGATGGTGTACAGGTAGTCCATGGTGACGTCGGTGCACATCTTGATGCTGAGGAGATATGAGAAGAGGAAATATGAGAAGAGGAGATATGAGAAAAGTGAGTGAGTGTGGTTTACGCCACTTTTAGTAATCTCCCAGCAATATCAGGGCGGGGAACACCAGAAAATGGCTTCACACATTGTACCCATGTGGGTTATCGAACCCTGAGCTTTGACGAACGCTTTAACCACTAGACTACCCTACCGCATAAGATGCGAGAAGATGAGATATAAGAAGAAATTTTAGGTTCTGTAGCTCACGTGATACGGAATAATAACTTATAAACGCCAAATAAGTAAATGCGACAAAACTCTTTCCATGGCGACAGGAAATCTCAGCTAAAAGCAGCGTCAATTATTGTATTTATGTTTATGACTCACTATCAGATAGCAAGCTAATGTTCATGGCTACTCAGAGCTAAAAACGTAATAGGCCTCAGTTAGTTCTTATAGTTTCCAACGGCAGGCTAAATTTTGGGCCAGGTCGGACGTTTCCCTATATTGTTTGTTCGTTAGTTTGTTGTTTCACGCTCAGCAATATTCCAGCTATATAACGGTTGTCTGTAAATAATCGAGTCTGGACCTGACAATCAAGAGAATGACATCATGAGCATCGATCTACGCAGCTTGGAGACGATGACATGCATCAACCAAGTCGGCGAGACTGACTACCCGATCCTCTTAGTCGCCTCTTACATCAACCATGGGTTGCTGAAGATAAGTTCTAACCCGGATTTTCACGGATGTTATTTATTGGAGTTCGACCAACCGAAGGGCCAAAGTGGAATGCTGTGCCCATGGACAGTAGTTTTAGACACCATTTGCCCATTGCTTAATTGGCGCTGATACATACTGTTTCCAAAATAGATAATATTTCATAAATTTCTTTAAGTTGTCCATCGAATACACAAACAAACGACATATCTGTCTTCAACATGAATACGCTTACCGAAAATCGTCCTTTGCAAACAAATCCGAGGCTGATGCATGACACGTGACTTCTCTCTCTTCCGGCTTGACAAACATAGATTTCTCCCAGAATACATCCGTCATTGGGAAGAGTCCGATGGATTCATAAAACTGCTCTGAGAGGCGAAATAGTCCTGTTACATTGAACCGTTGTTTGAGCTTGACTTCCGCCGACTTTGCGACATCATTGTGAGGGTCTGTAGACTTCGGCAGGACGATATCTGATATCATCTGCCAGTTCTGGGCCCACATGTTGCCTGCAAGAAGAAAATAGGGGTCACAGACACTAAGCACACATGTTGACTGCAAGAAGAAAATAGGGGTCACAGACACTAGGCACACATGTTGCCTGCAAGAAGAAAATAGGGGTCACAGACACTAGGCACACATGTTGACTGCAAGAAGAAAATAGGGGTCACAGACACTAGGCACACATATTGCCTGCAAGAAGAAAATAGGGGTCACAGACACTAGGCACACATGTTGCCTGCAAGAAGAAAATAGGGGTCACAGACACTAGGCACACATATTGCCTGCAAGAAGAAAATAGGGGTCACAGACACTAGGCACACATATTGCCTGCAAGAAGAAAATAGGGGTCACAGACACTAGGCACACATGTTGCCTGCAAGAAGAAAATAGGGGTCACAGACACTAGGCACACATATTGCCTGGAGAGTAGGGGCTACCACAGGGTACAAATCTGTTTGTATGTCTTGAAACCAACAAAGCCATTATAACGTCTATTTCATGCATGACTTGTCTTAGTTCATATTGAAATATGTATTAGTTATAAAACTGAAGGAAGCACCCGCCATTTAGTGAGTGAATGAGTGAGTTGGGTTTAACGTCGCTTTTAACAGTATTACAGTTATATCGCGACGTGTCATCTTAATGTGGGAGGAAAGCCCGAAGTGATGCAGGTCTCTGGAGTTTATCACTTCGGTGAAACCAACGAGCACGGGTATGGTGCTGACAAACCTAGAAACATACTCGGGGCGAACCGGGGACGCAACCCTGCACAACGAATCGCGGCGCCTTAGACGACTGGGCCACCCGTGCTCCCCCCACCCCCTCCCCACCCCATGGTGATGGAAAGATAAACATCAACAGTGAAGGAAGAACATTCCTATTAGTAGTTCTGAAACACTCAAGGCAGTACTGAAACAAGTAACTTTGTTGTTTAACGCCGCACTCAGCAATATTCCAGCTATATGGCGGCGGTCTGTAAATAGTCGTGTCTGGATCTGACAATCCAGTGATTGACATCATGAGCATCGAGTCACGCAATTGGGATACGATTACATGCATCAACCAAGTAAGCGAGCCTGACCACCACAGTCGCCTCTTGAGACAAGCACAGTCGCATTTTACGGCAGTCATGGGTTGCTGAAGACTTATTCAACCCTGGATCTTCACGGGTAAACAAAAGTAACTTGTCCTTTTCAAACGTTTCACGTAACTTTTAGCAACGACATATTTTTAACATATATTATTTGGAGAAGAGGATGCAGATTACGAGTTACCAAGCAAGTGAGCAGGTATCGCTCCATTCGTTCCAACGATATCTGCTCCGTAGAAATTCGTTAGTTTCCGGCGAACGTATGCTTGCAGCTGGACATACAATGGTTTGACGTCTGACCACAGCCTATCACAAAGTTCCTCTAGGTCACGTGTCTGGTCAAACTGGTGATCTCGCCAGTAATCACCATAATCTTTGTATTCTGAAACAGATGGATGACACAGACATATATTTATACAGCGTGGTGTCCCATTCTTCCAACTATTTCGTTGTTTACAATGCTATGAGAACTTGTATGTTCTGATCATGTTCCTAGGTCAATGTACCCCAGCGTTTGCCGCAATGTTTGTATGTTGCAGCATGTTTTATTGTGAAATAAACCACACTTTGGTCTTCATTTTTCTTTGCGTTTTATTGCGTAGCTAACTTCTATTGTATGATAAACAACTCTCACTCGTCGTTAATTTCTCTCAATTGACGAGTGCTGATACACCCAGTTTTTTTATACTTTATACTTCCACTTTGTATGCTGTCATAGTCAGTGTAAAAATGACAGCTCACCAGCTTCAGTGGCAGATGGATAAGTGATGTCATTTGATTGTAACGTCGTGGTAACCGATGACGTCTCAATGGTCAGCAAAGCATTGTGATGCAATGTCCATGTCGCGATATCTGATTTGATGAAATATCATGTATGTCTCGGAATAAACCGAGACAGACCGGAATAGGCCGAGACTGCGTGCAGGCAAGCAGGGCTGAGTACTGGTGACACGCGGCACATCCCCTCCGTGATCCAGGGGATAGAGAGGCTGTCGGAGAGTGGAGTGTCGGTGTTTCGACTCCAAGCCACGTCATAGCAATAGACGTTAAAGAAAGTACTTGTTGTGACCCTGCCTGGCGCTCGGAATTAGGGGATGCGACAAGGCCTGGTCGGCTCGGAGTCAGTATACTGTGTCTGAGTAGGGTATTATGTTAAATTGTGGCATGGTAGCTCAGTGAGTTTGTATATATGATCGGCATTAGTCCGGACTAGTACAAGCAGCCACACATACATGTGCATGCACGTCGCTATAGAAGTACAACAATCTTGATCGAGACGTTAAAACCAATTTCACTTCAACTCACAACAGTACATCCTACCATTTTGCACGGCTCCCTGGTTCAACAGTTCCACGTACTGGAGATACAGCGGTTTGATGGGTGGACCAGTCGCGTTCCTCCACCCATCCCACGCCCACAGCAGCTTCTCGGGGTCAGTGCTGGTCGCCATGAGTCGAATGAGTTCCGGTTCTATCTGCAGACAGTTTTCCCCGTCCCGACACACCCGGGCAGTGCTGTAGAGCTCAGACATACGGCCCTCGAGATCCTTCTGTTTCCTGAGAAGACACCACTATACGTTAATACACAACCTTGAAATTACTAGTTAATCGTGAACGTATGGGCCATTCTTGCACCAAACTCACATTAAATGTTATTTATTAATACCTTATGCCCATACACCTTGGAGACATTTAATACCAAAAATGCTATTACAAGCCTGGTCAGTCAGAATCAGTCGCAAAGATTGCCAATGTATGTGGTAACGGCAAATAGTCTTCATTGTGAGTCAGACCAGATTTTCCTGAACAGAGATTTGGCAACAGGACATTTTTCATCTCCAGGTCTGCGTCTCAAAGTACCTGCCCTCTTCCTTGTCTCAAGGCTCTTCGTACATGAGATCTTCCTTGTCTCAAGTCTCTACGTACGTGACATCATCCTTGTCTCAAGGCTCTATGTACGTGGGATCTTCCTTGTCTCAAGGCTCTTCGTACCTTTAATCCACCAGGTCTGCAGTATCAACGTACCTTACATCTTCCTTGTCTCAAGGCTCTACGTACCTTATTTCCTCCAGATCTGCGGCTCTACGTACCTAACACTTTTCAATTTGCGGGCTCTACGTACCTTACAATTTGCGGGCTCTACGTACCTTACACCCTTCAATTCTGGGGCTCTACGTACTTTACACACTTCAATTTGCGGGCTCTACGTACCTTACATCCTTCAATTTGGGGGCACTGCGTACCTTACACCCTTCAATTTGGGGGCACTGTGTACCTTACACCCTTCAATTTGCGGGCTCTACGTACATTACACCCTTCAATTTGCGGGCTCTACGTACATTACACCCTTTAATTTGCGGGCTCTACGTACATTACACCCTTTAATTTGCGGGCTCTACGTACATTACACCCTTTAATTTGGGGGCTCTACGTACCTTACACCCTTTAATTTGCGGGCTCCACGTAGCTGACATCTTTCTTGTCGCCCGTACAAACCTCATGTCCTCCGTGACGGGCTCTACGTATCTTTCATCATCCTGATCTCACGGTTCCGCGCACCTGACGTGGGTCAGTGGGGTCAATGTGCGTCGTCCAGGTGTTACGTACCTGACATCCTCCGTCTCTGCGGGTTCGGCGTACTTTGTGAGCAGCCGGAGTTGTCTGTCTGTGTCGGAGTGAAGGCCCCCTCTCTTCCGCCACTCCCGGGCCTGCCCCAGGATGGTCGGATACCACTCCGAGTACTTCGTCTCGCTGTTCGCCAACTGGTTAAATGCGTGATGAGGTTTTATATCAAGGTTTACCAACATTCAACAATATCATAACGGCAACTGGGTGAATAAGTGAGGAGGGGGTTTATAACCAGATTTACAAAACAGGAAGCATTATCATAACGGCAACTGGGTGAATAAGTGAGGAGGGAGTTTATAACCAGGTTTACCAACAGGAAGCAATATCATAACGGCAACTGGCTGAATATGTGAGGAGGGAGTTTATAACCAGGTTTACCAACAGGAAGCAATATCATGATGGCAACTGGGTGAATAAGTGAGGAGGGAGTTTATAACCAGGTTTACCAACAGGAAGCAATATCATGACGGCAACTGGGTGAATAAGTGAGGAGGGAGTTTATAACCAGGTTTACCAACAGGAAGCAATATCATGATGGCAACTGGGTGAATAAGTGAGGAGGGGGTTTATAACCGGGTTTACAAAACATGAAACAATATCATAACGGCAACTGGGTGAATAAGTGAGGAGGGAGTTTATAACCAGGTTTACCAACAGGAAGCAATATCATGACGGCAACTGGGTGAATATGTGAGGAGGGGGTTTATAACCAGGTTTACAAAACAGGAAGCAATATCATGATGGCAACTGGGTGAATAAGTGAGGAGGGGGTTTATAACCAGGTTTACCAACAGGAAGCAATACCATAACGGCAACTGGCTGAATAAGTGAGGAGGTGGTTTATTACCAGGTTTACAAACAAGCAACAATATCATAACGGCAACTGGGTGAAGAAGTGAGGAGGGAGTTTATAACCAGGTTTACAAACAAGAAGCAATATCATGACAGGGAGGAACAATATTCTCCAAAATAACTCTGCCCTCGGGTCTTTGAACAAAATTGCAGGGCTATTTCTGTAAGGCACAACAAGAAGGCCTCCCCAAATTGTATCCATTACTAGAATCGAACCTTAGATGAAGCCGTGACAAGCGAACACTTATGTTGTTGAAGACCCGTGAAGGTTCGGGATAGAATAGGCCTTCAGGAACCCATGCTTGCAGTAAAAGGCGACCTTGCTTGAAAGAGGCGACTAACGTGATTTGGTGGTCAGGCTCGCTGACTTGGCTGATGCACGTCATCGTATCCCAGTTGCGTTGATCGATGCTTATGATGTCAATCACTGAATTGTTTGGTCCAGACTTGATTATTTACAGACGGCCATCATATAGCATTAATATTGCTGAGTCCGGCGTTAAACATTAACAAACAAACGCATATTATGTTGTTTGTGTTTATTAAGGAATAATTTCATACTTTGAAGTTTACACTGTTTCATGCTGATTGGTTGAATGGGTAGTCACGTGATCTGATATTTGGAGTTCACACACCTGTGAACGGACAAAAAAAGTTCACACGATGTGAACAATTTTTTGTGAAATTGATCGTGTGAACTTTTGCCGGAACTACTTTATGGGGTTTCCCCGAAATCTCGATCGGTGTTTACGATCAACTCGTTTAATCCCTGCATTTATCAGCAATGTAATTAATTTAGTATTTTTGCTTGGTCTTGTAACATTTCATCTGACTTATAAATAAATAAATGCTTTGATTCTGGTGTTTGATGTCGTCTAGCTGCTAGGCCTAGATGAAACAAAACGGATTGTCTTTGCGGTGATTTGGATATGGAATGGATATCTTTCAATACTGATAACGCAAGTGAAGAAAATTAATTCTGTAAAATAACTGAGGTGAACGAAATTGATTTATTAAGCGATATTGACTTTTATGCCTTGTTTTCGGAAATGACAGGAATCTAGCACCAATGAAAACAATGTCGTACCCTGCTCAGATGTGGCCGCTGACACAGAGCAAACGCGACTGCTCCTGATCAATCCCAAACTAAAACCCGATTTACTATCGTATCGGGAAAAAAATCTAAGATTTTTGAGAAACCATAAAACATATAAATGCAAGTAAAGAAACTTAGATTTAAAAAAAACCCCAAAAAACTTGGAGATTTGGAGAAACCATAAAACATAAATTTAAAAAAAAAATGCTTGCCTGTTTTACCGATTGATCATCGGAGACGAGAAAATATCCGTAGACGGAATTAGAAATCTACTATTCCGGTTTCTGAGTTTGCCGACCTTCTCCGTGCATTTATCTGGTTTATAATTAATTTAGTATGTTTGCCTTTCTCTTGTAATTTCGTCTGACTTAAAAAAAAGGCTTTGGTTCTGGTGTAAATGTCGTCTAGCTGCTAGGCCTAGATGAAACAAAATGGATTGTCCTCACGGTGATTTGGATATTGAACGGTGATCTTTCAATACTAAAAACGCAAGTGAAGAAAATTAATTCTGTAAAATTACTGAGGTGAACGAAATTGATTTATTAAATGAGCGATATTGACTTTGATGCCTTGTTTTCGGATATGACAGGAATCTAGCACCAATGAAAATAATGTCGTACCCTGCTCAGATGTGTCCGCTGACACAGATCGAAGCGACTGCTCCTGATCAATCCCAAACAAAAACCCGATTCACTATCGTATTCCCCCCCCCCCCCCCCCCCCCCCCATCCTGACCCTCTTTTAGGCCGAGAAGCGGCGGCACATGAGGAATGACGGGGCACAGAAATGGAGCCAGTAGGTCCATCTCAGGTGACAAGAGACACCAACTGTGCAAAGTATCACAGCACACACGACAAATCCCAAACTCAAAATACAGCACATCCTGACGTTGAATATTAACACAAAAGACACAAGTTTCAGAGCACTCCGTTCAATCCCCTCCAGTACATTCCGCATCGTCCGAATTGGTTTGCGATTATCCAAACACAAGCAACACATTCATAAATCGGTGATATTCCCAATTTGCTAGTGCCATGAGAGGGTTCACGCGTCGCGGTGTTTTCCATAACTGCTCCTTGTAGCACGGGTTGCGAGCGGTACCTTTGATCTTACCCGTGCTGTATCATGGTAGTAAGAGCACGGTTTCTTAAAGATTATTACCATTGGCTGATGCCAAGATCAGCAAGCCCCGCCTACTGGCTTGAGAAATTTCAAACTTACAACAATGTTTCTATAACATAAACGTCATTTTCAACAGCAGTAAGTATAAATTTCATCCTCATGCTCCCGTTCGACTCTAACTGCACCTATTTACAAACTTATGTGACGTCATATATAAATCCGCGCTTGAAGGTTGACCTCGCCTCGGTGCATCGAGGCCATGTTTATATTTTTGTTCACCTTGCTGTAACCTATTTTTAAGATTTGATTTATCCCAGATATTGTTTGTAAATTTGTTCAGAGAATGAAATTATGTTGACATATTTCTAGATTATGTTGTATATACTCAGAGAACTATTTTTCTTTGCGTAACTGAGTATGAGTGGGGCGCCTGAGTGGGGAAATGGGACCGAAAGCCGGCAAATACCGACAAAATAACATTGTTGCAATGTTCTTCGGCGAAACCAGAGGACTTCAAATTTAAGCAAACATTGTTACGATATTATTCGGCGAGACCAGTAAACTACAAAGTATGAAATTATAAGAATTGAACGTAAGCTCGGAGGTTCCCACTGTTTAACAAGCGTTTTTAAATCGTTCACACTACGTTCAATTCTTAAATAAAATCTCATCCATGAGAACAGCACTCGTTAATTAACCCATAAGAACCACATGAACTATACAGCGCACCACTGTGGGGATTGATATACTTGCTGCGTGCTACTGTGTTTACTTTCCCCTCGTATGTTTACATGACGTCCGGGCGGTCGGTCACCTGTTCTCGGTTGGTGTCGGTGATGTTTGTGCTGAAGGCCCACTCCGCTGAGGACATCCTGTTGTTCCATACTCTGAGCTGCATGTTGACATCCTCCAGCCAGAGCTCCACAGAGTCCTCGTCCTCCCGCTGTCGGTCCTGCTGCTGATTCTGCTGTCGGTCCTGGTCCCGTTTATCACTTGTGCCGTCAAAGGAGTCTTTTTCCAGCTCTAAGAAGAGAAGGAGGAGCGGACATTGGGTCGGTTATAACACACCATGTATGTTAAGGATCTACACACTGTCAACTCACATTATTTACACATTCAACACACAGGATATACACATGTAACACAGGATATACACATTCAACACACAGGATATAGATAGTTAACACATAGGATATGCACAATTAACACAGGATATAGACATTCAACACCGGATATAATCATTTAACACACAGGATATACACATTCAACACAAGATATACACATTCAACACACAGTATATACACATTTAACACAGGATATAGACATTCAACATAGGATATACACATTCAACACAAGATATTCACATTCAACACACAGGATATACACATTTAACACAGGCTATACACATTCAACAAAGGATATACACATTCAACACACAAGATCAGGTGAGGTAAAGGGTAAGCGTCATTTTTACACTTAACCTGACAAGAAATAGAGGTACGGCGCGACACAAAGGGTGAACCCATTCACCACGGAGGCTAGACATTCAACACAAAGGGTGAACACATTCAACACGGAAGATAGACATCCAACACAAAGGGTGAACCCATTCACCACGGAGGCTGGACATTCAACACAAAGGGTGAACACATTCAGCACGAAGGCTAGACATTCAACACAAAGGGTGAACACATTCAGCACGAAGGCTAGACATTCAACACAAAGGGTGAACACATTCAACACGGAAGATAGACATTCAACACAAAGGGTGAACACATTCAACACGGAGGCTAGACTCTCAACAAAGAGGAACCTTCACAAGATCTAGGGGACCTACACTATCATAAATATAAGCCGTAAACGCCAGAAAAAAAGCAGTCTCGATAAGCCGACAAAATTGATTCCATTGGGCGAAAAGGCAGAATAGCGGTGAAAATTACATAAATGGAAAACTGAAAATCAGCGATGACACCAGATGATAGCGAAAACGGTAAGCATGTCCTACCCTTCAAGCAGCACCCGTCACTCACACATTTGTATAAAAAGTGTTTGTTGCCTGAACCCACACAGCAGTACTCCTGCCATGTGACGGCGGTATGTACAGACAATTAAGTGAAACACTCACCCATCAACTCAAGAAGGACTTCACGCAGCTCCGAGTCCAGGCTCCGTGCGGGACGCTGGGGTAAGGCCAGTGACGTCACAAATAGGCCAAGCAGGAGGGTCAAGCACGTGAGACGACCCATGATGTTAATCTGCTGACCTGAAGACGGAGAAGGTATAAATGCTGACCCGAAGACGGAGAAGGTATAAATGCTGACCCGAAGACGGAGAAGGTATAACTGCTGACCAAATAGCTTCGTCCGGGGTCGTTTGGGTGGGGATATGGTGGCAGTGTTCAGGCGGTCAAATGATAGCTCAGTTTGCTGCTGGTTTAAAAATAGTTCAGGATGTTGCTGAGAGCCAGGCAACAATATGACCGTCGGGGAGATGTCTTCCAACTCCAGTGAAGACCTCCAAGAAATATGCTGAACGCGCCGTGGCCTATACGTCAATGATCGCAATGTTACAACCCGCCCACATACAAAAATCCACACCCAAAATCCCACAGATATTGTTTTGAAATATGTTAGGATATATTATCTGCTGATTATAGCAAGAAATTATATAATTGTGTTTAACTGTTTGCTTTGTGTTTACAACATGGCGACGCCGTGAGTTCGAGTGTGTAATTACAAGCGTGTGTTCATTTGTATCTATATGGCGGCGTTGTCCAATTAGGAATAATCCGGGTATTCTGGCCACCATATTTCTCATATCTGTCACCAAACATACATTTGTATGGAGAACTTCAAATCTAATCACGTTGTATTTGCTGTCTTGTATGTCCGAGGACTTGTAATTAGTAGCTGATATTTAGGTAACCCCAACAGTCGACAAGATGGAATCCGTTTCGTGGAGAGCTGATTAACTTGACCGAATATGAAATACAATCTTTGTCAATACAGCTTGCGACTTGTTGGCTGCCACGGTGGAGGTGTCTACGATTCGAGATGTTCTCGCGCATGCTCATAGCTAACTTAAGATGATTCTATGCAGCTGATAATATGTGAAGGATGGTGTGTGGTAGACTGCAGCAGATGCTTGGTCACAGTAGTCTTAATCATAATTAGTCAGATTTTTTTATCAAACTTCCTTCGGTGGTACATGAGTAGGGTAACATACGAACAAAGACATTTCCATGTTCCTGTCTGTTTTAGAAAACAAACTATACTCTAGAAGATTTACGTTGCAGAGATCCAGATAAGCTGCGTATCTGCGTAAAGAACGCATCAGAAATGCAGAAATACGCAGTAAAATAATATCCAAGCGTATCAAATACGCAACGAACATTACAGTTACGCTACAAAAATAAAACTTGTGCGTATATTCAAAATATTGTGAAGTAACCCTGCGTATTCGATTGGCAAATAAGCAACTTATTTTGAAATTATAAACGGGCATTCCGTCAACCTTGCCAAACTCCACGATGACAGTTACATCATGATCATTTGCCATCACACTTGTGGAAGTATCGTGGTATTTTTGAGTCCTATAAAGCACTCGAACCCACACAACACCAGTTTGCAGGGACTAGATGAATAGAGTTTTTAAATATTTAACTTAAATACCCACATGTGTAAAAACTAGTGGGTAACAGAAATTTGAATACCCAGATAGAATTACTGATACGCAGTGATTTTAAAATGCATGGGTAAAATACGCACAACACCAAAAGCTTATCTGGAGCTCTGCGTTGTACCGCGTGTTATGTGGGAGTCTGAGATGTCATTCACTGCCATCATGACATAAGAGTCAGCATTGAAATATGTGGATGTCCAAACAACCAAAATCTATCTTTGGTTAATCCTACACGAGTGTAATATATCAATGTGCTTTGTCCAATAATATTTTTAAGGCATATTTTAAGTCTTACTCAAACTTTCTTTCCTCTCTAAAAGTTAAACATTTTTTGTGTATATACTACACTCAAATATTCCATTTTAGAAATTAAACTATTTTAACCTCTAAGTTAGGTTGTATATGTATATGTGGAACTCCCCACCAGTCTAGCCGGGCAGTTATGGTACGGTACACCACAAACATATGGCTGTTAAGTTTTCTAATATGTGAACATGAGCAAGTCTTTGGCCCAAGCTGAGTTTCATAGATGTAAATAAAAACATGACAAACATATGGTGAAAAGATCTGCTTGGATCACGGTCTTGCCCATACTTAGATGTTCATTTAAAGTTCGCAACATCGGGCTTAAAGTCATTAAACTCCACCTTGTCCGAAGTCTGAGAAGTCGAACTCTTACAAGTGCAAGAGTGGGTGAGTATGGTTTTACGCCTATTTTAGCAATATTTTAGCAATACCACGGCGGGGGACACCAGAAATTGGCTTCACACATTGTACCCACGTGGGGAATCGAACCTGGGTCTTCGGCGTATCGAGCGAACGCTTTAACAACTAGGCCACCCGACCGCCCCCAAGTGTAAGAAAGCTAGATGACATGTGTACATGTCTGATAATATCTCATACCAATATATCAAAGTTTCAAGCAACTTCATAATTTGACATCTCCTGCGGGCCAAAAATGTCCTTCTCCTTCAACCTACTTTAGAACAGATATATGTTTTACTCAAATACTCAAAAACAAAATGTGATTAAACACATGTATTAGAAACGGAAAACTAATAACTGGAGATTTCCATGTCGTAAATATTCTAGCTTAGGAACTGTTTTATGCCAGAAAGATTGCAGATACAATTCAAAATCAAAGTCACACCTCAAATGTTACTTCCCTGTCAAAGTGAAAGTGCTGCACATTTCATCTCTATTGGGAATAAAATAACAGCCAGACATTTCAAGACTGCCTGTGTAATGAGCATTTAAATTTGAAATTAAATAAATATATACTTAAGAAAGCCCATGGGGCCCTCTTCAGTCTAATTAAAACCGGTACACTTTATTTTTTTAGAGAAATAAACAGCAACACTGAGTTATGATCGTCTAAAACAATATTATAAACAAGAATATTATCAGAGTTGTTTTTGTTATGGAGTACGTAGTTAATGAATTATCTGGTTGTGTGACGCGAATATCTTCTGTTTGGACGCTGGTTAGATTCCAGGTACCACTGTGAAAACGAAGGAGAGAAATTAATCAAGTCTAGAGGAGCAAAAACCGGGTCGGCTCATATGCGACACTTTTCATAATGAATAGATGACACTCGAGCCACGACAGGGTGTTTTGCCAATCAGGTCTTGCACAAATCTAGCGTTACCAATACACCGTTGTCAGAATTACAGATTTCAATCAATACGGTGCCGTAGTTTGAAACAATTGAATTCTTGGGGGAACATAGATTAAATCGGTTTTTCTGTTGCCAAGTAGTCTAAAATTTACATGATTGTAAGATCTGTTTGAACCTTGCCATTCACGGATGTTGTTCCATCGCCAACACAAACGGGAAGACGACTGGGTCCTGTCTGTCCTGTCGCATGCAGCAGCCCATTGATGAGAGGTGGGGGTGGGGGACCGAGAAGGGGGCAACACTACCACATACCTGATGCAGAGATCTAACTCATCATAGAGTGGATGTGGGCGGTGGGGTGACGTTCTGTCGTCACGGCGAAGGATCAATGTGTTTCACATGGGTCCCACCCGTGAAGACCTGGGGTAGAATAGGTGCTAACCGTAAAAGGTGGCCATGCTTGTCGTAAGAGGCGACTAACGGGATCGGGTGGTCAGGCTCCCTGCCTTGGTTGATGCATTTCATCGTATCCCAATTTCGTAAATCCATGCTTCTGACGTCAATAACTGGATTGTCTGGTTCAGACTCGATTATTTACAAACCGCCGTCATATAGCGGGAATTTTGCGGCGTTAAACAACAAACACATGGGTACAATGTGTGAAGCCCATTTCTGGTGTCCCCCGTCGTGATATTGGTGGAATATTGCCAAAAGCGGTGTAAAACCATACTCACTCATTCTCACTTGAGTAAAGTGGCAACAGAACTTTAGTCATGTACATACGTCAGAGAAGAGTTGCAGACCAACATGTCAAGGTTATACGGCACTCTGACGTCCAACAATGGTGTCCCCTTGACAGCTTATCAGTCGTACTCTGTCCGGCGTTGCTCTATGCGGGTTGAAACACGCCGCCATCATAAGCATGGGTTCCGCTTCGATCTCACATCCTCAAAGCAAGACTGCAAGGGTGGCCGAGTGGTGTAAGGCGCTCAGAATTAGCCAGGTTCAAATCCCGAATCACGTCCACATTCGCCCCCGATCATTGGTCCGTCAGCACTTTCGCCGTGAAATAACTAACTCACTCCCCAAAGGGTAACTGCGCTGGATAAAATGGCAATCTAACGAAATATTTAATTTCGATACTGCTTTCCGAACTGGATCAACATTTAACCCTGAAAGATGTCTGAAAAATTTCAGCCCTGTATCCACAGCGATTTCCGGCAAAATGTTCCCATTGAAATCGGATGGACGGACTGTACCCGAGCCAATATCTCCCTCCAACTTCGTGTCATGGGATAATTACATATACCCAATATCTAAGTCTCACACGTGGCACTAACTACACTGGCTAGAGAGAGTGAGTATGGTTTTACGCCGCTTTGGGCACTATTCCACTATATCACGACGGGGGTACCAGAAATGGCTTCACACACACTTGCTGCACCTACATCACTCTGGTATCTGCGTCAGTGGGCTCTCGTGTTACCAGCAACGGAACAGATGGTGCTTTGTCTCCAGCTGTGCAATTATCAAATACAGTATGGTACCTGTCATGGCATTAAATCCCCGATCAAGGTAAAAAAAAAGTCATTATATACGATTGTCATTATACGAGTCTCCGCATAATGTGTAAGGTCAGCATCAAATGAGTTGGTTGGTTGGTTTGTTGTTTAACGCCGCACTCAGCAATATTCCAGCTATATGACGGCAGTCTGTAAATAATCGAGTGTGGACCAGACAATCCAGTGATTGATATCATGAGCATCGATCCACGCAATTGGGATCGGTGACATGCATCAACCAAGTCAGCGAGCCTGACCACCCGATCCCGTTAGTCGCCTTTTACGACAAGCATAGTCACCTTTTACGGCAAGTATGGGTTGCTGAAGACCTATTGTAAACCTATAGAAAGTGTGTTCTGTGTTGTGATTGGCTAATTTGGGTCACATGACCAAATGTCAAAGGTTGAAAATATGATTTGCATTCCCTGAAGCAAGCGACCGAAGGTGTTAAAGAGTGCGCATGTTTTTTTCTAAATAAAACAGTAGGTTTACAATATCGATAAATTATGTGTGTGTCTATTTCCGGGATTTTATCGAGTATTTGCATCTTGGAAATTTTCATTCGAGCCCCTCAAGCTAACGCTTTCGGGTCTCGAGATGAATTTCCAAGATGCAAATACTCGATAAAATCCCGGAAATCGACACACACATAGTATTTATTTATCTTCTAATTCTACCCCGGAATCTTCACGGGTCGCATCAAATGAGTGAGTTGGGTTTAACGCCGCTTTTAACAGTATTGCACTTATATCACGGCGTGTCAGCTTAATGTGGGAGGAAAGCTCGAAGTGATGCAGGTCACAGACGTTTACCACTTCGGTGAAACCCATGAGCACGGGTATGTTGCTGACAAACCTAGAAACATAATTCGAACCCACAATCATAGGTTTCTGGCCCAAGGGACGCAACTCTGCACTGCGAATCGCGGCGCCTTAGACGACTGGGCCACCCGTGTCCCCGGGTTGCTGAAGACCTATTCCTCCCCGGATGTTCACGGGTGACATAGTTATAGACTTATATACTACTCAAAATAGGCTAAAGAACATCCGTTTGTTTCATGACTAACTGTAGCAATACGAAAAAATAGGCTGTTCTTTCACTTCGCTTGAGTGGTATACATGCAATTGCATTGCGACTGTCAATCCTGAGTAAATATAACTTGAGAATAACAAAAGCAAGAGAAAACCAACCTAGATTTTCTGCCGAAACAGATTCCACTTGGCGTTAAGGGCAAATAGCTGTGGAAATTATATGAATGGACCACTGAAAATCAGTGATGACACCTGGCCCCGGGATCATGAAAGTGGTCTTAAGTTTGTTTCATGATTCCAGGGCCTGGTGTCCTGCCCTACCGGTAGAACCCGCCAGTCATACAATTTGCATACAAAAGTAAGAGTATTTATAGCCTGACGCAGCACAGCAGTACTCCTGCCATATGACGTCAGCCTGTAAACAAACCAGACAATCAAGTGATCGATGAACCAGAAAATCCAGTGACACGAGAGTACCATTACTGATTTTGTTGAAACTAATAAAAACGGTATGTTAATTTTAAATCACGTCTGTTGTGTAGAAGTGCAGTGTTTTGCTGCTTGTAAGTCATGGAAACACGTTAAGGAATATATTCGTCTTCAGACGGTGGTCGGCCCGACATGCTTGGTTGAAGGAGAGTCACCGCTACTATGACGACATTGACGTTCAGCCTGACTACACCCATTGACACCACTGTAGATGTAAAGCGCTCTCAACAACACACGAGTCGTACATAGCTACAGCCAATGTACCGTCGGGGTACAACAGTGACAAAGGAAACCTTTCGTAGGCGACACACCCTCCCCACCCCCTCCCCCAAACATCCAGACTGTGTCAGCCCTGACGCACACGTCGTAGGCTATGTTAAGAAAACAGAACCAAGATACGTCACAACATTCCTGATTGTAAATTAATAACGAAGATCGACTTAGAAAATCACTTGAAGTTGGAGAATTTCTTTCCGAATGTGCCCTCCAACGAAGAATATTTAACGTGCTTGTAACAAATGTTAACAGGCCAACCATATAGGATTTGAAACAAATCTTATCGAGTATCGAATCTTGAGAATGTTTGCAAGACTCTTGATGCGGATTAAAACAATATTTACTGATCACAAGATTTCGAGATTAGCTTTACAGTTACTGAAACCTTTTAAAAAAAATAGTTTACCCGTTTCTTGACAACTTAACCAGTAGTGTATATATTCATATCACTTGCATGTACCACTGTTGAAAGTTTTGAGAATTAATCCATGTTTGTGTCACCATCCGAAAAACTAGCGTCAATTGTTCACAAACAAGCATGCTGAAGCCCAACAATCCTGGTATAAGTAGGATCATGCTGATATGAACAATCAAGTCTAATTACATGCTCTGGTCGTTATGTACATTTAATCCACATCGCACCTCAGCATGGTTGCGGCGATTGCCGTGCCAGATATAGGCTGTGATGACGACATGACACCAGCTGGGACTAGATCGCTAATGAGGTAGCTTGTCGCCATCGACTTCTGGGAATCATGCAGGTTAACCGGCCTAAATAGATCTAAATACCCCATGTGCGTTCATATTAATATCAACGCAAGAAATGTCCAGGGTGAATTGAAACAGATGATAGCATTTTTACGGTATTTATCTTGAAACTTCTATACAAAGTGACTGGTGTCTTCAGATACTTATATGGTCTCTCGTTTCACTAGGCACATATGGTATGGTCGTATATTCTGATATGAATGTTGGCAACTGATTCACGTGTAGTCTCTCTGCCTCATCAGTGGGTTTATGCTTGTCGACCACAGACCCAAGTACCAGTGATTATCAAAGTTACAAACACCCGTGTTTTGACAAATTCGAAGTTTATTTTCATTTCGGAACATCGAATAATCCTACGAATTTAACTGTACCGAAGTGCGAAGTCTGAAAATGTATTATCTGAGCTGGTAATAAACAAGCAGCACGATCACCCTTGCATGGGAATGGGGTGGACATTACCGCTCCGTTTGTCAGTCAGTAAACGATTTAGACGTACTCACAATAGTGAGTATTATTGTACGCCTCTTTCGGCAATATCACAGCGGGGGAAACCAGAAATGGGCTTCAAACATTGTACCCATGTGGGGTATCGAACCCGGGTCTTCGGCGTGACGAGTGAACACTGAAACCACTGGGATACCCCACCGCCCCGTACTCACAAAACCTAGTCATTTATATTAATAAATATTGAATTGCAGGTCAAACTTCACTGACTTTTGTCCAGCTGGCTACTCTTTTGTCGAACCCAGAAACGATGTTCACTTTATCAGTCAGTGTAGTTGTCCTGGCCCAAACACATTTCCTTTCTTTGAGAAAGTGAGATAACATTTAACCTGGCATGAGCAATATTTCAGCCAGAATGGTGTTGTGTACCGATGTAAAAAGCTACTGGTGAGCGAGAACAACAAACCTTAACCGAGAAGTACATTAATTTACCGTGTTCTAGTCGCACATAGTATAGCTTGTATTGAGTGAGTATGGTTTTACGCCGCTTACAGAGTACGGAATGGGGTGGACATTACCGCTCCGTTTGTCAGTCAGTAAACGATTTAGACGTACTCACAATAGTGAGTATTATTGTACGCCTCTTTCGGCAATATTCCAGCAATATCACGACGGGGGAAACCAGAAATGGGCTTCAAACATTGTACCCATGTGGGGTATCGAACCCGGGTCTTCGGCGTGACGAGCGAACGTTTTAACCACTAGGCTACCCGACCGCCCCTCGTTCGTTTGTATTGAAATATTCTGATGGGTAGATGATGTACGTGGGGTGGGGTGGGGCAGGGTTGGATGGGTGGGGTGGGGCGGGTGGATGGTTGGGATGGGGTTGGTTCGAGTGCGTGGTGTTTGTGGGTAGGGTAGGTAAGTTGAATAAAGTACTAATACTCACCGTGAATAGACGCAAACTGTGTTTTTTTAAAATCCATACAATGTACAGTAATAGTTATTTACGTTGTGTGCCCAGTGACAGCTGCAGGTTGTTCTGCTGCAGGTGTCAGTCAGCCCCGGAAGGTGGGTGATGGACAACCACAGCTGTAGTCAGAAGTGTTGGCTACCTATATCCACACAGGTCGAACAGTCTACTCACCTACCTGTCTTAAACTGTGGTCAGCGAGTGTCCGTCAAGTCATAGCCTCCAGAAATGTTGTTGTTCCAAGTTTACAAGTTTCCCTCTCCGCTCACTCAATCCGTGTGCCGACAGTGAACTCACTCGAGCGTGGGCCTCGGCTATTTCAACATTACTCAGTAATTGTTTGAATACGGCTCTGTCCATCAGCAGTTACTTCCCTTGTGCTGTAGATTTAAACGGGGTCTGTGACGGGTGGCAGGTTGTTATAGCATGACGTGAGGACGAGGTGAAATGGGGGGTTCAAGGTTATACCACTTATGTAGAGACGTACACGTGCGCGCGTGTGTGTGTCTCCTTGTACTAGTCCGGACTAATGTGGATTAACATGGATACCCCATTCAGACACAGCTGGTATCCGAGCCGATCAATCCTTGTTTTAGCCCCATAATTCCCAGCGCCAGGCAGAGGAACAACAAGTACCATCTGGTAACGTCTTTGGTGTTGTACGTATGATGAAGATTGATGATTGCTCATTGGCGTGTTTGTACCATACCCGTGCTCGTGGGTTTCACCAAAGTGGTAATTCACTTCGGGCTTTCCTCCAACATTAAGTGGTATAGCTGGAATTCTGTTTAAAGCGACGTTAAACCTAACTCACCCAAGACGCGTTGAGTCTGTCGAAACTGCCACTTCATTTTCCAGGTTAGATCAACACCTTGTAGTTAGTGCCGAGAGTGAAAGAGAGACGTTGTCTTTTAGTGAATAGGGTTGATACACGTCATCAAATTTGACGTTGAATTTGAATATCTTGAATGAAATTTGATGGTACGGCCAAATGTGCACTTAGGCTAGAGTTTATCAGGTAACGAAGTACAACCCCCATCTCAGACTTTCTTCGTTATTCTATCTCTAACTGTGAATCAATAGTTTGTTAAACTGTTACTTAAACAGACGATAGCCTGGCCTGTCCAACAAGCGTCGGCATAAACCTCGTCACGTGACCAAGCCGTGCGATGTTCATTTTATGTCCCTCCGTGAAGATATGTTCAAAAGATATGTAATAATAAACGTTTTGTTTTGGTATGTGTGGATAATATTACACTCCCAAAAAGCAGAAACTGTTCGAGTAACAAAGAGAACCAAAAACCCATGGTGGTCAGTGTAATATTCTTACGCTTTAAGAATGATTTTTAGCTGCCTCCGACGAATAAATAATGGAGAACGACATTCTGTGTTCCGTCTTGTATTTATTGCCATACATACACGGGTGGTACATCCGGTAAAACAGGGGGTAACATATAGAGAGCTCCGCGAACGGGCTATCGCTGTGGGGAGCTTGACGGCTAGGTCGCCAAGGGAGATTACTCTAATACGTTTAACACCATCACAGCCGCTAATGGCATAATGCAGTATGATAACAGTACAGTCAGAGTGTGACGGTCCGCAATACCAGTCAAAACATCTTTCAATCAACAGTATGTAAAGTCTCTGCAGTAAGTAAACACTGGATAAATAGCGAGTATGTCTTCCTCGTGCATCAATGCAAGTCACAAAACAAAGCCGCGACGATGACGTGAAGCACCGGGAGACGTTGGCGGGAATTCTTCCCATTCACACAGAAGACACCGCTGCATGGTCGCAAATCTTCATCTTGATACCTCTGTGTCTGGAACGATAACCAGAATGTTTTCAAGTCCCCACAGGTTCCTCTCAGGACCCTGACACCACGTCTGTATACATGTACACGTTGATGACAATCGGCCCCTATAAAACAGGCACAACTTGCTCTCAGAGAATAAAACTCGTCCCCAACCCGGACTTGCCAACAGCGTGTCCTACTGGCCCATCTCAGTCCGACACGTCGGTGTTATTGCGTTAACGTCACTCCTCGGTAGGGTCGACGTGCTCTGATACCGTGTTCAAACCGGATTCCAGCCTTGACAGTCTCGTCCGATATCCTCCTCAAACCAGGGATGCGTCCTGCAGTCTCCGTAGCTGTGGCATTGCAATGACGTAGGTGGAACAGTCGAATGTAGCGATCCTGTGCAGGGGTGGTAACTCTTGGTCGGCCGGTTCCAGGACGGTCTGCAATGGATATGAACTGTGTGTATCGGTCACAAAGGCCGATGGTGCTGTGGTGGGCGTTGCGATTCCCCTCTTTGGATATACGTCCTATGGCGATGTTCCGATCGGCAGCGCTGAGTTCCGGCAATTTCGAACTTGAATAATGTTGACAATTGAATGACAAATTATTGGTTTATGCTTGCCTTTTTATAACCACTACCATGAGTTACGAATGCCATAACTCGCACGTGCATTTTGCTTCACTGTTTTCCTCCATGACATGTTTTAATAAGTGTGAAAACACTGCTGTGTAAGACATTGCACATCGCAAATGGCTGCGTTTTATGCACCGTTTGTCGAATATCAGACCACCAACATTTTCCAATAACATATATCCAATTTATATACCGGATTTTTGTGTTGTCAGGTTCAATGAACTACACACTACCTGTGCGTTTCTTTTTTTGAAGAGTGTATTTGAGTAGATTAGCATATATATATATATATATATATATATATATATATATATATATATATATATATATATATATACACACACAATAATCCTTTTCATGGGTTTTAGCACTTGGTTCAAAAGACGTATGTGACCTCTATCACTTCGGCTGTCCTCCCTCATTTGGCTGACCCGCCGCGATGTGACATCGATGCTGTTTAAAACAGTGTGACACTCACTCAGCGCATGTTGCGCATGTAGCATCGTAATTGCACGTACCATACCTTATTTCAAACAAAGAACAGAATGTTGAAGAATCTTCACGATGACTTATGATCTCTGCAAATCGCCGCATGACCTTTGGTGTGTTTACAAAATCTTCCTTGACCTGACTCGCTGTTTCTCATTACTTTTGTAAGTTATGTATGTATATGTGTACAAAATGTAAAAAAATCATAAATGAACGAAGAAATGAATGTAAATGAATGAATGAAAGGAATGGATGAATGAATGAGTAAATGAAGGGAGGAAGAAGGAAGGAAGAAGTAATGAATGGATGAATGATTGAATGCATGAAGGAAGGAAAATGGAACGAATGAATACATACAATAATGAATGATTGAACGCATAAATGAATGAATAGAGGAATGAATGAAGGAGTGCATGAACAAACGCACGAATGAAGGAATGAAGAAAGACGTTTGTAGCTGTTTCCTATTAACTTGGTAAATCATGAATCATATCTGCATAGATAATTGAATGAATAAATTTACCATTATTTAGAAACGTGGATTACTATATATAGTGTTGGGAAGTCTAACACAGAGACGACACAGTGAGTGACATTGATTATCAGACCAGTACCACGTGTGTCTTACACTGATTATCAGACCAGTGTGTCTTGCTTTGATGAAATTATATCGATTATAGTTTCCTGTTGTATCGACATCCCATTCCGCCGAACTCCCTGGGTTGTTGACACCTGTAAACACCTTGCATTGAAAACACCATCAACTATGTGGCAATATAGTTTGACTCTGTTGTTATATGTCAGTGTATTTAATTGTTAAACAATGTTTGTAACTGTGTTAAATTGTTTCTGTCGAAATTCGGTAGACGCTCATTGCATTTGGTCAGTGATTAGTTGTCGGGAATGTAGTACTATATAATATAAGCAGTCGTCAGGAAGTTACTATGTTTAGATATGCTAGTGTGATATGTAAACTTCCGGTATACCGTGGAATATTCTGTAATGTTCTAGTGCCAGACTGGTGGGGGCACTGTGTAGAAATTTCCAGCAGCTAGTTGGACTATATATATAGTGAGACAAGAGCGTGTTTAGGTATCTTTCACAATTTTCTTCATATCAAGACCAGCTTTTATGTGTGGATTACTCATCACCCCTGAATCCCACCTAGGTCGCCGCTAGGTCAATATGTATTATTATCACTGACACTGACACTGCTTTCACCACTGTATTTTTGCATCTGATACTGACCACTGCCAAAATATTATATATTACCATTGAATATTGTGCCACCACTCTATTGTTTACTGCCATTGTAATTCATGTACAGTAGTTTGTATTGATTTGTAAACTTTTTTTAAACATTTTTGTAATACATTTGTTGATTGAATAACACTTGTTGATTGTTTGTTCTTTTACGCAAAGATATCTGGGATAACATATTGTTTCAATTTGGGAGTCGACATGTAACACTGTAAATAACTATATATCAATTGTATCAGGGTAACCTACAAAACAAGTTACCCAGTGGTAAAACAGGTGCTGCGTATCTTGTCGTATTTACGATGGAAAGTCTGAAAGATCCAATGCTATTCAATAGCGTTGTTCAACCAATCAGATTGTAGCACCCACTCCCATTCATTTCAGAATGATCCGCCATAATGCAGAGTAAGGGCATTATCAAATGGCTCGCACTTTGCCTTGTAACTTGTGGGCCCGCTTTTTGATAATTATGAGTGATAAATTTATGACTGGTGACAACATTAAAAGCTAGATTTTGAATTAAAGCGCATGCATATGTTTTTTTATTTGTTATTTGTGGTTTAACGCTCCAGTCATCAATACTCTGGATATATGTCGACGACGAGTCTGAACCAGACCAACCAGTGCTCGACATTATGAGCGATGTCCCACCCAGTCACTAAGCCTGACCACCCGATACATGTTGTCGCTTCCTGCTACACACATGGGAGAGCTAGGTGAAAGGTTCGAGCCTAACTACGAAGTATGTAAAGTAGGCTGTTAACTGTTTGCATGTATCAAGTACAATACTATCCATGTTTACAGGGTGCATTTAAATCAAATACACATCTAGGCAGCCTATTTCTGCAGGCATCAAAGTGACAAGGCATTCTCTGTTGATGAATGGACACAATTGGCTTCTATGCTGGCATCAAGTATCCCCCACTGAAAGTTGCTAACTCAAACAGCCAGACAGTGTGTGTGTGTGTGTGTGTGTGTGTGTGTGTGTGTGTGTGTGTGTGTTATCTGTCGGTGAAGGTATGTATCTGATGTGTGATGAGGACACAATACAGATATGGTTGAACATCAACCCCGCCCCTGTTGCAGAATGCAGGACATAATTAAATCTAAACAAACCCTAACCTTTTTTAACCGAGGTGGAACTTGTCATGGAAATTGTAAATAAAAGTTTGGAACCTAAGTACTCTTGTTGCCATGGAAACGTAAAAAATAGAAAATTCTAAAATTTCTAAATAGCAAAAGGCACCAGTTCAGCATGTACTTGACAGACCTGCAAAGTTTCATGAAACAATATTGAATTGTTTATGAGTTATGCTCCAGAAACGAACCCTACCCTCACAGAACCTAAGTCCATCTTGTTGCCATGGAAACGTAAAAAATAAAATATTTTGTACAATTTCTAAATTGCAAAAGGCACCATTTCGGCATGCCAGAAATTGAAAAATTTAGATACATAATTAGACGTGGTTTACTTTTTATTAACCGCCACTGAATAACCTTAACTTTCTGACTTTTTTCTTGAGATAATTGAGAAAATTACCAATAAACGCTGTTGTTTGGAATTCAGTGAAAAGAATAGCAAGGTTTCGAATGCTATTTGTATGTCAGTTAAGACTCAGTTCACTCTTATGATAACTTTAATTAGAATATCATCTTTAGAACGTGTCAACTTTGTAAAACCAAACGAGACCTTTTATGAGGGCTTCAAACTGTGGATAACTCTTGACTAAGTTGACCGCTTTTCAAATGTTTTCATGACGACCATAAAAAATACAGTTGCAACTACAAACACATTTTAGGGGCCACATTATAATTTAACGTACTTCACAAAATGTTACATCTTAAAAGGTTTCTAAAACTAATGGTAAACCAATACAAAAACAAACCGGAAGTGACCTCATATTTACTTCGGTACTGTCCTTTACCCAAATACACGTGAGGCTTTTGCAACCCAAACAGCAAGATGTCTCACTATAATTTCAAGAAGTTAACCGTTATTCCTTCTTCAAAGGTAAGGACCAGCTGTGTTTGATTGTAAATAAACAAAGTTATTCTTGTCATGGCAAAATCTGGTGATTGACATCTGTGATGTTGTGTTTTTGATTGACGAAGTCGATCGACAGTACACCATGAAGACTCGATTGCAAAACACAAACCTCACAGGAGTCACTGGGATGGCATTAGGGTGATAATACGTTCTGAGACTTTAGCCACATTTGTCACCGATGTATCCGTTTGGGCGTTTTTGGTTACTGACAGTATCACGATGATGACTCGTAGTCTTACCTGTCAATAAACAAACTTATTCTTATATACGACCAGACAGTCCTCATGCAAGCTTTACATATTGATTTGCATAATGATTTAAGTAATAAACTACGAGTAGTCGTTTTTATCATACAATAAAACACTATGGAAAAAATGACCCACGAGGGGCGCAACCACTCATGGTTTATTCTCCCCACAGTTTTTTATTGTGCGATAAACAACGACCACGATCGTTTATTTCTTATATGATATCTCAACATCATGTATGGTCTCTTTAAGGATGTTAAAATATTTACGCAAATTTTAATAATGATGACTCATGTATAGAATCCGACCTCGGAAATGTCAGACAAGTTCATTTTATGAACAGGTGGGTTAAGTTTGGTATTTCCCCCATATTCTAACAATCCTCACGCAGATTATTTGAGACTTTGTACCGATTGTCACATGTTTCCCACTTTATGTTGCGATTGTTTGGCCACTGCATTTATTTGCGTAGCCGAGCTACATCTATGGGGAACAACTTTGTGGACACTCTCAAAAATTATGTCAGCCAGTTTATGACGTCATCAGGTTGTGAGTGCATATTCGAATCTTCAGAAATGACGTCATGACAGAACATTTTTTAATTGTGAAGTAAACCACGCTTAGTTCTTTATTGTTCTTTGTGATTTATTTCGTAGCTATCTTACATATATGCTTTATAGGCATACTACTAACACTATGGTGAGGTGTGTTACTATACAGCTTCACACATTAAAGTGATTGTATCGCTAGCTCCCCGGAGGATAAATATATGCAAATAGAAATAGTTTTTTATGTTTTGGGGTATTTTCTCATTGAAAGTTATGTTTGTCTAAATATATGTAGACTCATCCAAAATGAAACTGATGAAAAAGACATGAATGGACAGTGTAATATGTGATGATGTCAAAGAGATACCAGGCTAACTGCATGAAAATCTGGGTAGGAGAGTGATTGGCTTCATTCAATGAGGCATATTTATGTTGTAATCACACTCAGAAAATATTTCATGCATCTAAAAACACACAGCACCGTCGACATCCTCTCCCTTCAAGGAGCTCTTGAGGTCCGAAATATATCCTTCCATGTTGTTTGAATCTGGGGACCCTCTAAGTCTTTTCCTTTCAACAGTAGGGCAGTGACAAGGACCCTTAAACTTTCCATCTTAGTTTCCAACACTGTGAGTCGGTTAAATATACTTTTATTTCACTAAAGGAAAAAGCATGGGTTACTAAAACTGGTCTTCAGCAACCCATGCTTGTCGTTATTCACAAGTAACAGAATCAGATGGCCAGACTTGCTGATGTGGTTGATGCATGCCATCGCATCCCAACTGCATAGAGTGATACTGATTATGTCAATCACTGCATTTTCTGGTCCAGACTTGATCATTTACAGTCTCTTTGTATTGCCGAAATAACACTAAAACCAAAAAAATAGGGTAACTGGCAAAGGATATGATACGCTAAAAGTGCTGGTCTAAAATATTGTGGTGACGTGATTTTAGTTCAAATTTGAGAATTTGTAGTAACGAATGCTGTTGACCCGGGATCAGATATTACCCTGACAACACCTAGATATATCCCTGTGTGAATTTACTATGCCATGTATGTTGGCAGTATGGCACTGGCTGTATTAACACATGTATTTTTTTACCTTTACAGGACTTTGTTGACATCGTCCTTTCGAAGACCCAGAGAAAGACACCAACTGTCATTCACAAGAACTACAAAATCTCACGGATACGGCAATTTTACATGCGTAAAGTAAAGTTTGCCCAACAGACTTTCCATGATAAGCTGTCGATGATCCTCACCGAATTTCCCAAACTTGAGGTAAGATACTCGTTCATAGTATTACTAATCCTGGTCATGACGATGCTACTTGCATTGAGCTCAAGGATTCATCAGCACGATGAAGACTGTATACCTACTGCTGTTGGTGGCACGATGTAGAGTATGGGATTAGTGTACTATATGGCTACTGCTGTTGGTGGCAAGATGTAGAGTATGGGATTAGTGTACTCTATGGCTACTGCTATTGGTGGCACAATGTAGAGTATGGGATTAGAGTACTCTATGGCTACTGCTATTGGTGGCACGATGTAGAGTATGGGATTAGTGTACTCTATGGCTACTGCTGTTTGTGGCACGATGTAGAGTATGGGATTAGAGTACTCTATGGCTACTGCTATTGGTGGCACGATGTAGAGTATGGGATTAGTGTACTCTATGGCTACTGCTGTTGGTGGCACGATGTAGAGTATGGGATTAGTGTACTCTATGGCTACTGCTGTTGGTGGCACGATGTAGAGTATGAGATTAGAGTACTCTATGGCTACTGCTATTGGTGGCACGATGTAGAGTATGGGATTAGTGCACTATATGGCTACTGCTGTTGGTGGCACGATGTAGAGTATGGGATTAGTGTACTATATGGCTACTGCTGTTGGTGGCACGATGTAGAGTATGGGATTAGTGTACTATAAGGCTACTGCTGTTGGTGGCACGATGTAGAGTATGGGATTAGTGTACTCTATGGCTACTGCTATTGGTGGCACGATGTAGAGTATGAGATTAGAGTACTCTATGGCTACTGCTATTGGTGGCACGATGTAGAGTATGGGATTAGTGCACTATATGGCTACTGCTGTTGGTGGCACGATGTAGAGTATGGGATTAGTGTACTATAAGGCTACTGCTGTTGGTGGCACGATGTAGAGTATGGGATTAGTGTACTCTATGGCTACTGCTATTGGTGGCACGATGTAGAGTATGGGATTAGTGTACTATAAGGCTACTGCTATTGGTGGCACGATGTAGAGTATGGGATTAGAGTACTCTATGGCTACTGCTATTGGTGGCACGATGTAGAGTATGGGATTAGTGTACTATATGGCTACTGCTGTTGGTGGCACGATGTAGAGTATGGGATTAGTGTACTATATGGCTACTGCTGTTTGTGGCACGATGTAGAGTATGGGATTAGAGTACTCTATGGCTACTGCTATTGGTGGCACGATGTAGAGTATGGGATTAGTGTACTATAAGGCTACTGCTGTTGGTGGCATGATGTAGAGTATGGGATTAGTGTACTCTATGGCTACTGCTGTTTGTGGCACGATGTAGAGTATGGGATTAGAGTACTCTATGGCTACTGCTATTGGTGGCACGATGTAGAGTATGGGATTAGTGTACTATAAGGCTACTGCTGTTGGTGGCATGATGTAGAGTATGGGATTAGAGTACTCTATGGCTACTGCTATTGGTGGCACGATGTAGAGTATGGGATTAGAGTACTCTATGGCTACTGCTATTGGTGGCACTATGTAGAGTATGGGATTAGAGTACTATATATAGTTCTGTGAACTGACTGACCCCACGCTATCAACCTTCAGTTTGTTCCAAACCCACGTCAGATTGCAAGGTTTGTTAGATATTGCTGATTGAGTTGTCTGTTTGCTGGAGGAAGTACTGTGATTAATTCTATGATTATGTGGCTGTATTTGTTGCATTAGCATGTGGGACCGGAATGACAATTGAGAATGTTTTTCTTTGCCCAAAAACATGTAACGGTTTTGTGTCAATCAATTATGCTCAAATGTTAGCCTTGTTATAAACATTTTGATAAAGGGGCATGGCATATTCTCTGGGCAATTTGAGATGTGAAATTTTGGTGGAATTTTGTAATACACTGATAAAGTACACTGGTAGTGAACTGGGACTTGGAGCACAAGATGAAGTCATGATGGAGCTAACCTGACATTTCGTGTATTGCAGAGTTCACTGCCTCGATCAACCTCTTGTCCCTCCAGACATTGTCTTTGTGTCCATGCATTGCATTGGTCACATCGTGTGTCATTAGATGTACTACCTGTATATCATGAAATGAATAGTACACAAAGCTACATGTACATTTTGAACTGAAAGACATCAGCTTTAATATAATCAGCTGATAATGCTTATGAAAATGGGTGTGTGTTTATTCCTAGCAATGGTGCTGAATTGTGTTGGTTCCATGTCAATATTGACAACTATTTGTATAGTAACATCTACTAGCAATTCATTACATTTAATTATCACCTGGACATTGTCCAAATAATGATGTTGTGTTGTAATGAGGCGACATGTAGCTGGGAGGACATTGTGTGTTTTCAGGACATCCATCCCTTCTACGCCGACTTGATGAACGTGCTGTACGACAAGGACCACTACAAGCTGGCCCTGGGACAGATGAACACAGCGCGACATCTCATCGACAAGTCAGTGGCTTCAGTTATCTCACTTTTAACGAATCATTTTTCAGTGTACGGCTGCAGTGATGTGGTATTATGTGTCAGTAAGATGTTATGGTCAGAATTGTACACAAATAACATGGTTAGGGGTCTGGTCCGGTCACTTAGACTCCAAAATTCGCTGTGCGGAGTTCAGTCCCTTTGGGGTGCAAGAATCCTATGTTACCTGTAAGTAAGGGCAAGATCGATATATGGATGAACATCTTTATATTTTTATAACTTTATATCTTGTCTGTCTCACAACTATGAGAACTCTCTAAGAGAGAGTTCTTTAGAAACTGGCTGAATTGTAACTTTTGTAGTGACAGTGTTAATAGACATCATGTTTTAACTTTAACTTAAGCATTTATACATGACATAAGCTTATGACATAAAAACATGTATGTCATACCCCAGTGACATAAGTATGCAAATTAGATATGCAAATTAGATAACCGGAAGAGCGAGCGGTTTGATTTGAAACTATATATTATAAGTGAAGTTACACCAGAGATATAATCAGATTATTCCTTAATTTGGAAGCAAAAATGTGAAAATGATAAATAGAATTCATCACTCGTGTTTTGTAATATGGGAAATATCAACCTCGTCCCGTTAATGGGTATTTGCCTCGCCAAATACCGATTAACTAAGACTCGGTTGATATTTCCCATTTTAAAAAACACTCGTGATGAATCCTCTATTTATTTTCAGATTTGTGGGTTTTATTGAGAATCCATTGTCCGGAAAGTTAACATTTGAAACCTCTGGCTAACGTCATGAGTTCCAAATGGTATTCAGGGTATCAAATACTCAATAACACCCAAAAATCTGACATTTTGTGAAATTTACAGGACATTCATGTTGAAAACGAACATGAAAACGTGTTACATTTGTGTTGAGTGCATGTGTTATATTGTGTTGAGTACGTTTTGCATTTGTGTTATTTCAGTGTTTCAAAGGACTATGTCCGACTCATGAAGTATGGCGATACTTTGTACCGATGCAAGCAACTGAAGAAGGCTGCTTTAGGAAGGTAAACTGTTGGACTGCTTGTTATCAGAGCTGAGTGTTCAGGTGTATGCAGTAGTACTGTAGTGTACACATTCAGCGTATGGATAAACACTGTATTCATATAGCCCTTGGGGATCTGACAGGGACATGTTTTCTTCCATATTGTTGTCAAGGCATTAATTAATGGGTAAGCTGTTTAGACGTTGCGGATGACGTACAAAACTTGCGATTTGATGAATATTCCCACCATGGTGATGTGACTGATCACATGTTCAGCCGTCCAGCATGTTAGGAGATAAACCAGGTTATACACAGAGAAGAATGCACAATGTCCGTCTGTCGGTAGGGACACATGGGAACAGCTGCTTTGGCTTTTGTTTCATTACTGTAGTCCATGTTTTGCAAACACCAAACATTGACTGATATTTTGGTGTTGTTAGATCTGGTAATGTACAACTTTTACAAGATTTTGGCCCAACTACAACAAACAGTAATTTTCAATTGGACATTTTTTGGACATTTTACATGCATAGTTTACAATACAAAGTTGACTTATCTTACTTCGTGAAGCTGTCTTCTAGATGTTTTACGGTGTACAGCATGTGTACAGTATACCACATGAGAACCCTCCACTACATGAGCTGCCACCGACTTCTACATGAGTCTCCAATGCCAATGACATCACTTCCACTTATCGGGGGCACGGGTGGCCCAGTCGTCTAAGGCGCCGCGATTTGCTGTGCAGAGTTGCGTCCCTTGGGCACGCCAGAAACCTAAGATTGTGGGTTCGAATCCCGGTTCACCCCAATTATGTTTCTAGGTTTGTCAGCACCATACCCGTGCTCGTGGGTTTCACCGAAGTGGTAAACGTCTGAGACCTGCATCACTTCGGGCTTTCCTCCCACATTAAGCTGACACGCCGTGATATAACTGGAATAATGTTAAAAGCGGCGTTAAACCCAACTCACTCACTCACTCACTCACTTCCACTTATCAATACCCTGCTTGTCTTCACCCATGAAGATCCGGGTTGGAAATGGTCTTCAGCAACCCATGCTTGTCTCAAGAGGCGCCCAGCGTGATCTGGTGGTCAGACTTGGTTGATGCATGCCATTGTATACCAATTGTGTAGATTGATGCTCATGTTGTCAATCACTGGATTTTCTGGCCCAGACTTAATGATTTACAGACTGTCGTTGTAGAACTGGATTAACACTAAAACCAAAAATATAGGCTAGCTGGCAAAGGTCATTTTCTATGCTGAAAGTGGTGGTCTTAAATATTGTGATGACCTGATGTCATCATGTTGCTGAAGTATTGCTGAGTGCGGCGTTAAACAACAAACTAACTAACGTGTCTGTCTGCAGGATGTGCACCATCATGAAAAGGCAGAAGCAGAGCCTGGAGTACCTGGAGCAGGTGAGGCAGCACCTGTCTCGACTCCCGTCCATAGACCCCAACACTCGCACCCTCCTCATCTGCGGCTTCCCCAACGTTGGCAAGTCCAGCTTCATCAACAAGGTGCGCAGCTCCGTCGTGATGGTTGTTGTACATGCGGTGACAACATCATCATCAGTGCAGTATTCAGTAGAACATGGATATAAACAACAGGGATGTCATGTGCTCAGATTAGTACAACTATTTCAAACGTCCAGACTGCTTTTCTGTATAATGCATTAAGTACCACTGGTCCGTTAGTCCCATTGAAGAGAAACGTGTGTGACTGTTTTCATATATATGTACGTGTGTTACTGATTCCAGATAACAAGAGCTGATGTGGAAGTCCAGCCCTACGCCTTCACGACCAAGTCCCTGTACGTTGGCCACACCGACTACAAGTACCTCCGCTGGCAGGTAGGTTTCACTGAACATCCAAACACTTTGCGAACGTTTATCACTAATTTAGAACTTATTCTAGGTCCCCAGCACTCTGTACTTGTCATAAGAGGTGACTCAATATTGATCGGGTGGTCAGGCTTAATGACTTGTTTGATTGCTTGTCATTGTGCATCTTGTGGGACTTCACACATAGTAGCTGGTTTGTCTGTTCTTTGTTACCATGGTTACCTGGAATATTAATGATCTCGGCGTTACACCACATTTACTTACTCTCTGCACACATGGTGTTTATGTGCTCACGTGATGTGGCTGAAGTGTTAAACAACAGGTCGGTGATTCAATCCCCGGCCACAAAGAAATTAAAAGATGATACTTCTTGTTACCCTGCCTGGCACTCATTAATCTGATAGAACAAGGACTGGTCAGCTCGGAGTATGTATACTATATGTCAGTGGGGTATCCACTGTGGCACGGTATATCACTGGACCAGCACCTTTAGTCTTGACTCATACAGGCAGCCGCAGCCATGTATTCACGTCTCTATAGGACTGCAATAATCTTGAACGCAGCGTTAATCCCCCCTGCCTGTCCCCCACTCCAGGTGCTGGACACGCCCGGCATCTTGGACCACTCCCTGGAGGACAGGAACACCATCGAGATGCAGGCCATCACCGCCCTCGCCCACATCCGCGCCGCCGTGCTGTACGTCATGGACCTCTCAGAGCAGTGTGGACACTCCCTACAGGAGCAGGTAACACCCCCCACCACTAGCTCCAGCATTAATAAATAAGTTCGTCTATCATGTTTGTGGCTTGAATTTTTTTTTTTAAGATCCGAATACATTTTACTGAACAATGATTCAGATCTCAAATCTTCATTTATGATTTCATAATTTTTAGAATCTAGTGTATATTTTGATTTTGATGTCATGGTTCTATTCTTCTGTACACTCCTTGTACGAACCTTGTAGTTCCGTTCTAATTAAGTAATGCTTTACTGCAGGTGTCCCTCTTCAACAACATTAAGCCTTTGTTCGCCAACAAGCCACTGCTGGTTATAGCAAATAAGATCGACGTAGTTCGACTGGAAGAGTTGGATGCGTCTAAGAAGGTGAGTTGTGCACCATCGCCTACACTAGTGAGGAAGATTTGAGCTGTAGCTGGGAATCAGGCCCCTGAGTCAATCCTAGGGCTAGAACAATGTGTGCTGTGTATGTGGTCATTTGACCTATAAAGGTAGATAATCAAATTACATTAAGTAATACGTTACCACTGTTATACCGAGGCTGTTGTCTCCCACAACTGCTGCTATAGCGAAATCTACCACAGAGATCTCAATTACCTCATGCAGCACGTGCGTAGCCACCTAGCTGCCATGTGACACCCTTCACTCTTGTCTCCTTCGTCTGCTTAGCAAGACGTGTTTTCTCCTGCTGAAGCGTTCCTTGAAGATTTGGTGATATTTATTATAGTTTATTATCTAATAAACTGTGCTTTTATGGGGCGTTGCGGTAGCTACGCTTGGTTATAATTTTCCCGCCAAAAGGGAAAATTTTTCCCGCCCTTTTTTTCTATATACTTGCGGGGTTCGCGTATGCACGTTGTGTTTTACGTTTCCCCTGTTCTTGTATGTTTTGGGGGTTAACATAACTTATTTCTTTAATAAAAGTTATATGTGTATGTTATATGTTCACATTGCTCGTTTATTTTCTTGTGAAAATGTTCGTTTGTGAATCATTGTGGTGCGTGCGTTGTAACCATGTTTTGTTCTTTGTTTATAGCAAACAATCAATGTCTGACATGGATATGTCCCCAGTATCCACCCCCTCTACCCCTGCTCCTCGGAGTTATGGGGTGTGCAGAAAGTTTTTGTCGTCCCGGGATCCCCACGTTCGTTGCCCGCGGTGCAGGGTTCCTTGCGGGGACACCCGGTGCATCCTGTGCGAAGGTCTGGGGCCTGCGGATTTTGAGCGGTACCGGCTGTACGTACAGTCCGTCTCCACCCCTGTGGTGGCCGGTTCGTCCGGTCGGGGTCCCCGTGCGGGTACCACCTCCTCGGCTGCGGCGGATCCCCTTGCGGCCCTCGGGCTGTCTGGGGATTCCGTCGCCGCATTGTTGTCGAAACTTGTGGATTCCATGCTGGCGGCCTTATCGCAAGATAGGCCGCTGGCTGTTCCGTCCCCGGCCTCTTCGGTGGCCGCGGGGTCGGACGCGGGGTCCACCAGTAAAGCGGCGGATCTCTTGGCGGCCCGTGTGCTGTCCGGGGATTCCGTCGCTGCATTACTTGCATAACTTGTGGACTCCAAGCTGGCGGCCTTATCTCAGGATAGGCCGCTGGCTGTTCCGTCCCCGGCCACTTCGGTGGCCGCGGGGTCGGACGCGGGGTCCACCGGTACGGCGGCGGCTCCCGTGGTCACCGGTCCTTCCCCCGAACCGTTGCTCCCGCTATCGGTTTAGGACCGCGTGGCCATGGTTTATGACCTCTTTGAGGACATGCCCCGGCCGGTACCGCGGGGAATCCACGACTGTGGGTTCCTCCGAGGTATACGATGAGTCTTCCGACTCGGCTTTCCCCGCATCAACCTTGCTGCGCGGTTTCAAGCCTTCCTTGGAGAACGCCTTCGCGGCGGCCTCCGGTCGGGGTCTCCCGTTGCCTCCGACGTCGTGGAGAAAGGGTTTCTTCCCGGTACATGACCTTGCCTTTCCCGAGGCTGGTCCTACCGCGGAGGCCCATGTTGAGCGGTTGGGTGTCCGTGCCCCACCGGCTGCTACGGTAACGCAAGCTACCTTGCACCAGCTGGACGCCCTCGCTCGGCACTCCATGTCTCACGGAGACACTTACTTGGCTGCAGCGGCCCGTCTGGTCGAAGGTTCTCCCACGGACCGTGACCAGCGCATTTACAACTGCCTGCTCAGCTTAAATGCTTGCCTGGAGTACGTTGCCGAGGACTCTCGGCACACACTTGCTCTTGTTGGGTCCCTGCATAGGCGCCTGGGTGCCGCTCCTAACCGGAGCGCGCCCCAGGCTGCTGCGGCCGGTAGGTCTAAGGGGTCGGGTTCTTCTTCCTCTGGGAAGTAGCCCCGCCCTGAGGGCTCCGGTATGGGCAATCAGCTGCCCTTTCGCGGGAAAACGGGGAACTGGGGGAAGCCCAAGTCGTCGACGGACGGCAAGGGCCCCTCCAGGTGACTCTCATTGGAGGGGTTCGTATGCCGACAGCGCCAACTTCGGTTGGCCCTTAGGCGAACCCGAGTCACTTGGCCCTGGACAGTTGCGCCTTCGATTCGGAAACCGATCTTCCCATCCTCGCCGATGCCATCGGCAGGTTGGTGGAGAAGGGGCAGTACGGGAGTTAGCTCTACCAGAAATAACACCGGGGTTTTACTCCAGGATATTTCTCGTTCCCAAGTAGGACAGTGCCGAACTCAGAATGATTCACACGTCCGCTCCCTGGCTGTTCACCCGGTTAACCACCCCCATAGTGGGGTTCCTCCACAGGAGGGGTGTCCGGTACTTCGCGTACCTGGACGACTCGCTAGTAGCAAATCGAATGACGGACACCCTGTCACGCCATCTCGATTTCGCACGTCGGCTCTTGGAGCAATTTGGGTGGATTATCAATCTCCCCAAGAGCGAGTTAACCCCTTCTCAGAACTTGCTGTTCATCGGAGGTCGGTTCAACACGGTGTCCCATCGCCTCTTTGTCCCCCCAGACCGGTGGCACAAAATTCAGGCGATGATTGCCAAAGTCTTAGCGGTGCAACAGACTGTTCCCTTTTGGGAACAGCTGTTAGGGCTACTTGTATCAGCCCAGGACTGCACCGCACGGGGTCGTCTCCAACTCCGCCCGCTGCAACGGTTTTTAATCCAGTTGTTAGCAACGGAGGTGAACAGTGCGACCGTCGCCCTCCCGGATCGGCTCCGACCGCATCTGGAGTGGTGGACGGTCCCTTACATTGTCTTATCAGGAGTCTCTATGCGGCCCTACCGGGCCACGTTGACCCTGTATACAGACGCCTCTCTAGTGGGCTGGGGCGCCCATCTAAAGGGGGAGGTGAGCTCGGGGCTGTGGTGCTTAGACGAACTAGGTCTTCACATCACTTGTCTCGAGTTCAAGGCAGTGATCAACGCAGTCAATCACTGGAAGCATCGTCTCGTCGACGCCCGGCTCATGCTGGCGACCGACAACACGACGGTAGTGTCCTATGTGAACAAACTGGGGGGAACCCACAGTCACTCGCTACTCGATCTCACGTTCGAGTTTTACGCTCTGGTGGACAGTGTCCCGTGCCAGATACGCGCCCGTCACATCCCAGGTGTGCGGAACGTACTGGCCGATGCTCTATCGAGGCCTCAGGATCCGAGCCCCACAGAGTGGATGCTGAACCCAGTAGTGTTTCAGTGGCTGTGCGAACGTTTGGGTCGTCCGATGGTCGACCTGTTCGCAACGCGGTTCAACAATCAACTCCCGTTGTTTGTATCACCAGTCCCGGTCCCGAGGGCCATCGATCACGATGCTCTCGCGTTAGACTGGACGGGCTTGGTCGCTTATGCTTACCCGCTGACAGCGTTGATACCACACATTCTAAGCCGGCTCCGAGGAGTTCGCTGTCGAATGTTACTGATCGCGCCCATGTGGCCGAACAGATCGTGGTACCCCGACTTGCTGACCCAGGTCACGCAGTCGCCACTTCCACTGCCTGTGAGACCGGATCTCTTGATCCACCCTCACACCCGTCAGCTTCATCCAAACGCAGGGCAGTTCAATCTGCACGCGTGGATGTTGTCACCGAGCGTCTGAGGAGTAAAGTTTTTTCTCGCCGGGCGTCTCGGGCATACGTTAGTATGCATCGTGATTCTACCCAGAAGGTGTATAATGCACGTTGGGTTATTTTCACGAAGTGGTGTTGTAAACATCACATTCATTCGCCAGATAAGGTATCTGTGCAGGATATTGCTCGTTTCATGTCTCACTTGCGAGAGACCCGGAAACTCTCCGGGGGTTCCATTGCCAACTATGTCTCGTCCGTTGCTACGGTACGGGACGTTGCTATGGGTACCAGTCTCTCCAAAGAGCCGGTGATACGGGGTATTATCAAGGGTTTCAAACAGCACGATCTTAAGAAGGGCCGCCTTCGGGCACCGGCCTGGGATCTTTCCCTAGTGTTGCAATCACTTACGGAAGCTCCGTATGAACCCTTGCATAGTGCTTCGTTCCGGCATGTGACTTGGAAAACAGCATTTCTCCTCTCCTTTGCCACGGCGGCACGTGTATCCGAAATTCATGCACTCGATGTCGCCAAGGTACGATTCGATAGGGGTGACGAAGGAGCGGTCCGCCTGGGCCTGCTCATGGGCTTCGTCGCCAAGAATCAGAGAGTCGGGCAAACGGAGAGAGAATTCACTGTAAGATCACTCAAAGAAATCTTACATCCTGCTGATACTGAGGACAGAGCGCTGTGTCCGGTTAGGGCCCTTAAGTATTATCTTAAGGCTTCGAATGAACGTAGACAAGGGCGTGACCGTCTGTTCATATCGTGTAACCCTAATCGCACGGTTGACATACCTCGCAACTCGATTGCGTTGTGGCTTCGTTCTGTCATCAATCTGGCGTACCGGTCTCGGGGGTTACCGGTAGCGGGGTCAAACCCGCACGAGATCAGGGCGCTAGCGGCAACATTTGCCCTACACTCGAATATCTCTGTTCGCAGAATATTACGAGGTTGTTACTGGCGTTCTGACTCGGTTTTTGCCAATCATTACCTCAAACAGGTCGCTGATGCCGTCGTGGAGAGTGTGCACCGTCTTGGCCCGCGGATCGCGGCGCAAGCGGGCACCTAAGGGGTGTGCCCAGCGCAATTCCGAACTCCTCAGGCGTCTGACCTTGCACGGTGGTCAATCTGGGTCTACTCCAATGTTCCCACTGCCGTGGGTACAGGAGTTGGGGTCCCGCAAACCAGCGCACTCACACCACAGGTGAGGGCGGCTTTTTGTGTGCTTTGTCCTTATTTGTATTTTGACAATTATGTCTTTAATTGTCTGTCGTGTATCCCAACCTTGTGATGCATGCTTACAAATACTGGAATTAGGTCACGCGCCTAATGCATACTTTAAGTAGGCTTGCTCTGGGATATACGGTCTGAATGAAATTAATTTCCCTCTTTTCGACTGTTTAACCTGATCTAAGATTAAGCTCACGCGGATACAGTGTTCTCATCCGCTGCGGCGATGAAATACCTATCCAGTGGGGCCGTTTGGAGTCACCAATCGTTTTGGCAATGACGATTGAGCCTTACGGTATGCGCTTGACAGTGCTTTGGTATTCCTATAGGGTAACGCCTAGCTAGGTGCATGCGCTTTGAGTGCTTCCGCCTTGGTGTTTACTTCCGCTGGTCGGAAGGAACGCTAGCAGTCAGGATTCGGGTTGTAGGTGCTCCCCACCGCCTACTGTGGTAGTCAGCCTCGGTATAACAGTGGTAACGTATTACTTAATGTAATTTGTAGAATTTTCCTATTCGGAATATTCTATAAGTAATACGTTACCACTGGGCTGCTGCCCGCCCGTCCGTCCCCCGAGCACTTGCTCTCGCAGGAGACAAGAGTGAAGGGTGTCACATGGCAGCTAGGTGGCTACGCACGTGCTGCATGAGGTAATTGAGATCTCTGTGGTAGATTTCGCTATAGCAGCAGTTGTGGGAGACAACAGCCTCGGTATAACAGTGGTAACGTATTACTTATAGAATATTCCGAATAGGAAAATTCTACAAAATTATCATCTATTGGACAAATTATTAATGATTATCGAAATGAAACTGTTGTCATCAATAATAACTAAATTTTTGTGATTAAAATAAATTTAGGTTTACTGAAACGCACTTGTCAATGTCAATTGTCAAAGACGGAAAGCAACTGTTTTTGTTATCATGGTTATGTCTCAAATGTTCACAAAGTAATCCATGCATAAATGTGTCACTGCTCACCAGTGGCGTGAAATATATTTGGTCTTTCTTGCATATTTGCTTAAAGTTACCTCTCTTTATCTATAATTGATCAATATTTAGTTATCAAAAGACCTATATCTAAATCGATAGCCCTAATGATTATGATGATCGGCTGTTTCATGTTTGTATTTCTGAACATGGTCCACCATGAGGACCTGGGTTAGAATAGCATAGCTGCCAACTGTCCTGATTGCTTCATGTTTGTTACACATTTCTTCCTCCATCTATACAATTGATATGCAAATCTACTGAAAAGAAATCACAAGGACTAAATGTTCATAGACACCAGTAAAGAAAGGTAGTTATTTAGCCCTACACTCTGCTGTGCATAAGAATTGTTTGTCGACTGATATGAAGTCTACTTATCATGCTGCATCTGTCCAGTCAAGACACTCCATTGTCATAAGTTGCTGTAGTAGAAATATAAACTGAGCTATAAAATTAGTTTCGGAATCACATGGCTGTACTGTCAGGCTTTGGTGTCCAAACAGAAGATTGTAACTAAATACTACCTGTAATTTGGGAGAGTTTGCAGCTATGGAATAGGTCCCAGCACCCTATTTCCTTCTTACCATTGTTTAGATGAAACTACATAGGCGGGTCCAGAGGGGGTCCAGGGGGTCCAGATCCCCCACCCCCCCCTTTGAAAACCAAATGTGGCATGTGTTGTGGGCAGTAAAATTATGTGAGAGAGGATTTTGATATTTTGGAACCCTCTCTTTCAAAAATGCTTGCTCTGCCCTTGAACCATGTGAACTAAGTTGGAACTGTGCGTGTTTGGTTGTGTCTTGTGTGTCACCTCTCAGGTTGGTAATGTTTCATATATCCAGTGTTGTTTGTTTGCCCCAGCTACTGGCCTAGGGGAGGGATACAGCTGGAGTGTGGCATCAGGTGTGAACATCTTGCTAGGTCTGTGTGTTTCTCTTGCAGAAATTCTTCGATGAGTTTGAGAGTGAGTCTATCCCTGTGCTGTCCATGAGCACGCTGACGGAGGAGGGGGTCATGGATGTTCGGGCAGAGGTGAGTCCACTCTTCTCCTGCAGACCATGCCGACTTCTGGAGGAATGGTTACCATGCTTACAACCATCACTTGTTTAAGCCGCCAGAATGCTGGCAGCAGTAGGATGTACTGCACCTGCCTATTCACTCTAACCATATCAGGGGGCAGGGGTGGCCCAGTCGCGTAAGGCTCCGCGATTTGCTGTGCAGAGTTGCGTCCCTTGGGCACGCCAGAAACCTATGACGGTTGGTTTGAATCACGGTTCGCCTCGATTATGTTTCTGGATTTGTCAGCACCATCTCGTGCTCGTGGGTTTCACCAAAGTGGTAACGTCGTGAGACCTGCATCACTTCGGGCTTTCCTCTCACATTAAGCGTGATATGACGGGAATTCTGTCAAAAGCGGTTTTAAACCCAACTCACTCACTCACTCTCTCTAACCATATCTAAATCTTAAGTTCAGTTTAATCTACTTAAACAGTACTGAATGACTACTGAATCATTATTCTTCCAGCCAAGGTTCTCGAGCTGGAGTTCTTTTTTCAACCAAACTTGCGTGGTTTCTCTGACATATTCACATGTGTTCAACCATGTTTTACCTAACAAAAGCTGTAGAATAAAAACTTAATGGAAATGTTGTATGAAGTCTGGTGCTGGGTGTTTGTTATGAACTGCCCGTGCTTGTACTTTGTCGATGTATTGTGTGTGTTCTCCCTGACTTACCTCCCCTTTCTGCTAGGCTTGTGAGAGACTGCTTGCTCATCGTGTTGAAACAAAACTGAAGACGAAGAAAGTTGCTGATATTGCTAACAGACTGCGGGTGGCTTTCCCCTCACAGAGAGACAAGAAGGTAGGAACACCAGAGTACCTGTGTTCTGCAACTAGTGACAACAGGGCTCACTGTTAATGTAGACATTGGTATGGTCAAGAAACTGTTAATTTTACTGCTGCCATTGTTGTAATCACTGTCACACTTTAAAATAATATTTTGCTACATCAAGTCACGATACAAACATACAACTAAAAAAATGATCTGATGTTTGTATGAACGTAGAATTGGCACTTCTGGGAATGAGAGTTATCTCCCTTGCATTGCTAGGTGAAGTTCTTGTGCCTGATGCTTTACTTGATACACACAGTATACATGAGGTTAGAGATGTAGCACTCGGCATATGTGTCTGCCTGTCAGTAATCATTTTATAGTGAGGATGACGAACACAGCTGTCTGCCTGCCTGGATCATGTTGATACGAGGGTTATATTCTCTGAAACTGACCAATGTTTAATAGTGCCCCTGTTTGTTTCATTCATACCCATGTCATTGTTTTAGGAGCGGCCTCCATTCATCCCTGAGTCGGTTTTAAAGAAGAGAGAAGAAATGGACACTGATTCTAAAAAAAAGAAAAAGCTGGTAAATATCCTATTCATGTTGTCATCCAGTTAATTCTTGAGTTGTTCTAGCTCTACTTAATAGTCAATATAGGTTTATGCCATATTTTTTTTTCTGTTAGCTGTGAAATTACTTAGCTAAAAGCTAGGGATGTCACGATTCACCAATACATCGATGCATTGATATTGATATGCGATACACACTTACATGTATTTATATTTTAGTCCTAAATTGTTTCACACATAGAGCATTCAAAACAGCAATGGCAAAATTTTACCTACATTTTGTAAACAATTTGACCATTATATATTTATGATATATCTACTTGTATAATGTACATATTTTCTGGACTTATTTCTGTTCTAGTCTTTTTCTAACAGGCGTTGACACTCTAGTTTTATCTAATATAAAGTATTGTTTGAAATGAGATGTTCTGGAGCTTTAATGATTTTCAGGATTAGCATCATATCGTAAACAAAATATTGCGATATTTATTGTGTCGGGAGAGAGCCGTATTCTGAGATTGCCACTAAAAGCTCACAACAGTAGTTTACTGTATTAACTCAGTAGGCCAAAGTCTTGAATGTACGAGTGGAATGTTTTGTTTGAATGTGTTTGGAGGTTCTTCTCATGTTTGTTCTTTGCAAAAATTATAATGATTTCAAAATGGCAGCCATGGCAGTGATCAGTGACAGTGCAGCTGAATATCTGGGTTTTTCTGCTCCAGATCCACCATACATGTCAGATACTTCATACTACTTGGACCTGTGAAGATCCGGGGTAGAATAGGTCTTCAGCAAACCATGCTTGCTGCAAAAGGCGACTATGCTTGTCGTAAGAGGCGACTAAAGGGATCGGATGGTCAGACTCGCTGACTTGGTTGATGCATGTCATCGATTGCAATTACGTGGATTGATGCTCATAATATTAATCACTGGATTGTCTGGTCCAGACTCTATTATTTACAGACTGCTGTCATATAGCTGGAATATTGCTGACTGCGGTGTTAAACAACAAACCAACCAACCAACCAAATCATACTATACTACTTGGCTGCAATTCACTGTCCCAGGATTGTGGGTTCGAATCTCAGGTTTACCTTGATTTTGGTCCATGGTTTTTCAGCATGCAGGTTTCACCACGTGGCATATGAAGCTAACATGCCGGGAGGTAACTGAGTACTGTTTATAATGGCATGAAACCCATCACACTCTTTTTCATTTGTGTCAGAATCTATTAATTATTCATTTCTTCTGTTTGCAGCTGCGCGAGATTGAACTTGAAATGGAAAATGAGTACATTGTTGATTTGAGAAGTGAGTATCAAACTCTGGTCATAACACATTATTAGTTACTCCTAGAAGCAAATATTTTCACACCTATGGGAGTTTTTAGAAAATAATACAGTTATAACATGAATGTGACCCATAGATGTTGTCTCTTACAGTGATTGCTAATATAAAGTAGTATGTTGTAGTGTTTAGAATATACCTGCACTTGTTGCCATGGTTACTAATCTTGTTGCATGTTGCAGGGGAGTGGGACTTGAAGAATGAGGAAGAGAAGTACGATGTGATGCCGGAGATCTGGGAGGGCCACAACGTTGCCGACTTCATCGACCCTGACATCATGGAGGTACGCACAAGCCCTGTTCATTGTTGTGGGATTCTGCACAGAATTATTTTTCCATGATTTTTTAAATGGATTTTTCTTTATGTTGTAGTGTAGTGTAGTGTAGATTTTCTTGCTTCATGACAGAAGAGACTATGGCTGCTCAATACTATTGTAGTGTAGTCTTGTTGTTTCAAGGAAAGCGTGGTTACTATGGTTACTCAATATTGTAGTGTAGTCTTGTCGCTGCAAGGTAGGAGTGGTAACTATGGTTACTCGATATTGTTGTGTGGTCTTGTTGCTGCAAGGTAGGAGTGGTTACTATGGTTACTGAATACTGTTGTTGTGTAGTCTTGAAGTTGCAATGCGGGAGTGGTTACTATGGTTACTCAATACTGTTGTAGAAACTGGATGCCCTGGAGAAGGAGGAGGAGCTGAGAGAGGCGGCTGGTTTCTATGCCGACGACGAGAGTGAAGAAGATGAGGAGATGATGGAAATTCGAGAGAAAGCCGGCAGGTAAGGGAGACAACTGTGTTTTGTGGGGACAACTGTTGCCATATTTGCAGAATGATAAAATCAATCAAAACAGGTTGATAACTAAGCACATGCAGATCTTGTGTACTGTCAGAATATACTGTACTGTAATGTGTCCCCCAGGATCCGAGAGAAGAAGGGCATCATGATGATGGCGTCCCTGGAACAGAAGGGGGCCAACAGGTCCCGACTGCCCCGTACAGGGAAGAAGGTGGACAAGAGTCGCCTGGAGTCTGAGATGGAGGCGCTCGGGGTCGTGATTGACAACAAGTCAGAGGTGAGTCTGTCAGGTCATAAACTGTAGTTTCAAGCATACTCGTACTGTCAAGCATACTCATACTGTCAAGCATACTCGCACTGTCCCCTAGTCAGCCACCCTAGTCCAGTAATATGCTGTGTAGTCTCGTAAGCTCATAACTAGACTAAGATGACAGGATAAGGAGTCACGCTGTTTCATCAAAGGGAATGACTGGAGACACAATCAAAGACCCGAGTAGAAGACTTGAGTAGTTAAGTATGCGGAACGACTCACCCGAGAAAGAACCTGTTGCCACTGAACGTGTTGCCAATTCTCATGTTGTTGGGACCACTGATGACCATGATGACAATGCTGTCTTGTCTTGTCTTGTGTGTTGAGAGATGCGGTCGGGTAGCCTAGTGGTTAAAGCAATTGCTCGTCAAGCCAAAGACCTGGGTTTGATTCCTGACCAGGGTACAATGGATGAAGCCCATTTTCTGGTGTCCCCCGCCGTGATATCTAATATTGCCAAAAGCGGTGTAAAACCTCACTCACTCACTCACTCACTCACTCACTCACTCACTCACTCACTCACTCACTCACTCACTCACTCACTCACTCACTCACTCACTCACTTGGGAAAGTGGAGGGAAAGACTGAGATTGTGTTTTTCTGTTTCAGACACATTATGCCCGCAACAGAACAAGAAGTGCTAGCCGTAAACCGCTCAAGAGGAAACGAGATGAATTTGAAGATCCGAGCAGAAGCAGGTCAAGGTCAAGAGCACGTGACCTGTCTGGAGTCCGAGATACAGCGGTGAGTTTGGTGATACTTGAGTTGTCCTTTTTCTGTAACTTGAAGATGGTAATAGGCAGGTTACTTGATCTGAAGGCAAAATGAGCAATGTAATTTTACACATTTCACAAGTAGGTAGACTTAGGTTTCATCTGACCTTTTTGGTGAGTCCATTGATGGGTTATCATGTTCGGCAGGAGTTTCTAGGGCTTCCGTCCTGCCCCACACTGCAGCACATGTAACATGTGGTGTCACCTAAGGCAAGTAATACGCCTCTGTTCAGCCAGCAGTGAATGGGTACCTGGTAGGATGAGATAGTAATGTCAACTTTCTAGTGCCACACAGGCAGCTTGGGTTGTATACCCCCCAGGGAGCTGAGAATGACAATCAAGTGCATCTTGATCCATGGACCGGAGTAATAAACGTATTAGCACTACTGAGCCGAACGGGTTGGATATCAGGTGCTTTTCTAATCAATTATGACTTTTAACTGATTGTTTCGGTGGTCCCTGGTGCATTCTGGATTAGAATAGGTCCCCAGCAACCCATGTTGGTTGTAAGAGCCGATCAAATGGATCTGTTGGCCAGGGCTTGGTAACTTGGTTAATTGTGTGTCCTTGACCCAAAGGTGTGGATTGCTGCACACAATATTGATCATTGGCTGATCCAGACATGATAACAGGCCACCTTTATATCTGGAATATTGCTGAGTGCAGCGTTAAGCAACAAACACACATTCAGGAACAGATGTTCTTGTGGTTGGATCCCCGGACACGTCATAGTGGAAAAAGTAAAAAGATGGTATTTGTTGTTACCCAGCCTGGCATTATAGGGGATAAAGCGAGGCGTGGTTGGCTTGAGTCAGTATGCTGTGTCTGAGTTGTTGGGTATCATGTTCATCTACTGTGTGATGGTGTCTAAGTGGGCTGGCGCTATAAAACCAGCAAAAGTCACATGGAATGCATGACACAATGAGTGCAATAATCTCCACCTCATCAGTAAGTCACTGGTGTCTCATGTGCCTCTGTTCACCCAGCAGTGAATGGGTACCCGGTAGAATGAGGTGGCAATGTGGTGGTTAACCTTCTAGCACCTAACAGGCAGCTTGGATTTTATACTCCCCAGGGAGCTGAGAATGATTGAGATGTGTGAGTGCACACTGATCCAGTGATGGGTGTAATAATAACACTTCGAGCATGCCCCAGGGGTGTGGAAATACACACAATATGAATGGCCTATCATTATTGTTATTTCAATATGTTGTAGATGGTCACCAAGATTCGCAAGATAGCCAGGAAGGCCCAGAAACCCAGGGCCCACCAGGCCAAGAAGGGAGAGGGAGACCGTGTGATCCTCAACATGATGCCCAAACATTTGTACTCCGGCAAACGCAAGATGGGGAAGACCAGCCACAGATAACCTGCCCCTGCCTCATTCACAGACACCTGGTGTCGCAGGCTGAACATCACGTTTACCTGTCATCCTTCAAAATATGATTGATCAATAATTGAAACATTGCCAGTGAACAGTGTTGCACCTAGGTGCATATTTACAGGAGTGTTATTAGATACGAACACATTTATGTTTCCCTGGGCCATTTATAAAAAAAATAAATAAAATAGCTGGTAGATGTACAGACATGTTGATGTATACTGCCTTCACTAGGATGTTAGACTCGCATGAAAATATGGACACAGGGAAGCAATCATTTGATTAATAGTCCTGGTCGACAAGGCCACCTTCAGGCAGGTCCTAGCTGCAACACTGCGAGGAACACGTCAAACCTCCCCCTGAACGTGGAGGCAGGATGATGATGATGATGATGATGGAGGTCTGCCATCCTGAAGCCCAAATCAAGACATTTCTACTGGTGCAGCCAACCAGCTGTGGGCAATCTGTACAAGCTGAACCAGGTTTGGGCTGGAGGATGGAATGGTCTCTGGTCTTCATTATGTGATATTTTTTGTTGAAGGAATGTTGTGAGATTTGTTACGGACTGGTTGATGAGTATGTTACGGAAACAAACCTTGACGTATCACACTGAGTGATGTGTGGTACATAGCGTATCACGCCATGTGATGTGTTGTACTATGTGTATCACGCCATGTGATGTGTGGTACATAGCGTATCCGCCATGCCATGTGATGTGTGGTACATAGTGTATCACGCCGTGTGATGTGTGGTACATAGTGTATCATGCCATGTGATGTGTGGTACATAGCGTATCTCACCCTGTGATGTGTGGTACAAAGTGTATCATGCCATGTGATGTGTGGTACACAGTGTATCACGCCATATGATGTGTGGTACATAGTAGTGTATCATGCCATGTGATGTGTGGTACATAGTCTGTCACACTTAGTGATGTGTGGTACTTTGTGTATCACGCCATGTGATGTGTGGTACAAAGTGTCTTCACAATGTCATTGTAGACATGGTCATATCATATACAGTAATATTGCCGGATAGTGCTGTGTTACAGCACATGCAGTGCTGTGTAATTACACCCATGTCATCTGAGCTGTTTGCTGGGTCAGGAATAAACGGTTATATGAGAACACACTATCTTCCTGTTTTATATTATTACCATTGAAACAGTGATAGATATGGCTTCAAGCTCACTCACTTTTAGCTATCTATCCCATCGTTCAGATGTGTAACCATGGCAACATATTCTCAACTTTTGCCCCATTATTTTGTTCATATTTGCGACATTCCCAAATTTGATTTTAAGATAAGAAGTAAGGGCTCAGAACATTTGGTTCTCTGTCTTTCTGAGCAGAATTATATTGAAGTAGCTGGTGCTTGTCTCCCCAGAGCAGAATGAACTGTGGATTGGTTGATGACAATGTGTGACCTTGCTGACTGTGTTTCATCCTGCTAGACAGCGATTCCCGACATGGGTACAATGTGTGAAGCCCATTTCTGGTGTCCCCTGCCGTGATATTGCTGGAATATTGCAAAAAGCAGCGTAAAACAATACTCACTCACTCACTCACTCCTGCTAGACAGTGGGAATCATTAAGGCAGTTTCCTGAGTGTAGGCTTAGACTTGAGCTCCGTTGCCATGGCAATTGGTTTCCTCAACCACCTGCTTATGACAGATGTGAGACACTTCATACTTGAAGTGGCTCCTGTCAGTCATTGTAATAAAAAAGATGGTTCAGTGTATTGTATACAAACATTTTTCTGAAGTAAGACTCTTTATTACAAAGTGTAAACATAATTTGTATGTTAGTCATTATAAGAAATGATTACCCTGACACATGGTGTGATATATGATACACAAGGGATGGAGATTATGATAAACAAAATATGATATTTACAAGAATCAGGAGATAAATATACCAGTACATCACAAACAGTATATTGTTCACCTAAAGCCAATGGTTATGCTCCGAAAGGATAATTGTGTACATCATTTGTTTTTCCAAATCAGTGTGTTCGTGATACTGAGAATGATTGAACTGACAACCTTGTGTTTTTTCTTGTCACTGTATATATCAAAATGAAATGACAGAATATGACTGATTACATTTTAACCTCAGATTTATGTTTTTCAACTGTACAATGACTCCTATCTGCCACTTGGGAGCTAACCAGCATCATCTTCCCGAGGCAAGGTAGTTAACTGACTTTAAAAGTCCAGTTTCCACCCTTGCTGAACTAGGCTGGAATTCCTGGGCTCGATCGTAGCGCCACCAGTGGCTATTACGAGTTATGTCCTTTCTATGCCTCTCCTATTGACCAATCAGATTCAACCTCTCGTATCACTTGCATTTGTTTCAAACAAAACGGTGGCGCCCAGTCAAGACGATCTGATCGATAATCAAGATCTATATTGTGATAAAACGAGTCTTACATCGCGAAGTGCATCGAATCATGTGAGCACCTTGATTAAAAACATGAAAAGATTTAGAAAATATCTGTTGACAACGAGTTAGCGGTGCACATGCTTTGCAAATCCTGCAGTCAACCGAAATCTGCATGACACTCTACGAACCGGATTTCGATTTCGGTGCGCGATTTTGATTGGACTATGCATAGACTCGTTAGTCCAGCCAAAATGTAACTCCATAATACCAGCGTGGTTCGGCAAGGGTGGAAACTGGACTTTTATAGACAGTTAACTCACTTGCGTCGGGAAGATGACCAGCATAAGCAGAGTAACCTGTTCAGGGAGGGTCTTGATGGGGTATACTGTCGCGCGTAAACCAACTGAAACACCTATTTTAACATGGCAAGTCAACATCGTAATCGTGCTGAATTAGGGTAAAAGTTACATATAACAAGATCCAACCACAGGACACATACTTATGTTTGGAAAACACAAACTGCAGTAATGAACGCACAGCAGAACCAGCTGTCCCCATGTTTCCCTACAGACTGATGCATGGAGATGATATGGCTTTTTAGATTCAACTTGACAACCTGTCATCTGTTTGAGTGGTTGTTTTGACTGACTAATCTTAAATAAATACTGACTACTGACTAAAGCCCTCAAATTTACTGACTACTGGTATGTAAACACCCCCCATCAAGACCCTCACCAGAAGGAAATCACAACAGGAACAGTATTGTTGGTCCATGAGATAGGAAGGTCTGGTGACAACGACTGAATCGACTTGCACACAACACCAACCACTGTTATATGTCTGTGTTGGAGGGTTCAGTCATGAATTGCTGAGATCGCTTGGGGTAGGAGGCCTTTTGTAAACCTGCCCCAGATTGCAGGAAAATAAAAGGATATTAGCTTAAAGGGCAAGTTCACACGGAAATGAACCTATTTTTCTTGTACTTTTCCACATTAAAAGTGTTAACCTAGAAGTGTCATAGACAAAAATATAAAAATATCACAATTAATTAACATATTTTTCGCATTAAAACGATTTATATTTTTCACATTTACCAAGTGTCCTATTTCCACCAAAAACACCATGGCTTATGCCCCTTGCAATATGACGTCATTGGTGCCAATTGATAAACATTATGACGTCATCATGCTTTGTTAGAGCCGCTTCACGTGGTGTAGGTCTGGGTGTGTGATTCTAGCGTCTCATATGCCAGCCAGCATGGTGTTATGCTGAGTCACCACTGCGCCGGAGTGTGTCGTAGGCCATGTTGTTTTACCGCAAACTGGTACTTGATATCTTTTGCGTTGAGAATAGACAGGGACCCAGTTGAATTGGCACCAATTACGTCATAATCTAAGGGGGATAACTCAGGCCTGTTTAGCTCGAAAAACGAAGGCCTCATAACGGCATATCATTTTCACACTATTGTGAGCTTCCTACTTTCACTGTGAAAAAAATGAGTGTATATTTTCAAACACAGATACTAATTAATTCTAAAATTGCGTTTTGTTTAGAAAAAGAAAGAAAGTGATTTTTGCGTGTACACTTCCCCTTTTAACAAGGTTGCTGCTAATGCTAGACAGATCTGTGGAATGGGAGGGATTGTCAGTAGATGTAGATTGTCAGTAGATGTAGGTTGTCAGTAGGTGTAGATTGTCAGTCGGTTGTCAGTAGATGTAGATTGTCAGGAGATGTAGATTGTCAGTAGATGTAGATTGTCAGTAGATGTAGATTGTTAGTCGGTTGTCAGTAGATGTAGATTGTCAGGAGATGTAGATTGTCAGTAGATGTAGATTGTCAGGAGGTGTAGATTGTCAGGAGATGTAGATTGTCAGTCGATGTAGATTGTCAGTAGATGTAGATGGTCAGTAGATGTAGATTGTCAGTCGATGTAGATTGTCAGTAGATTTAGATTGTCAGTAGATGTAGATTGTCAGTAGGTGTTGGGACACGTGACAACACTCGGGGCCACATGGTGACTTGCAGTGTGTAGATGAGCGGGTCAGGCCGATCTCGTGACAACGGAGGCAAGATGTGTAAATGAGAAGAGGTCGATCTTGTGATGAGGAATTAGGCAAAGCAGTGAGCAGATGAGCAGGTCAAGCTGATCTCGTGACATGGAGGACCGCAGCGAAGCAGGTCCCCAGAAGGAGAAGTGAGGCACTCAGTTGTTGCCCTCCAGCCCTTATTTCACTTGTGATCCGGTTATATCGAACTTGGCCACCTAGAAAAAAGCAGATATATGAGCAAACGTATTAGACAGCGTAAACCTCGCATGTGCAGCTGTGACTATCTACTCCCAGGGAAACTGCTGGGAAAACACCTGCGAGCTAATTATGGAACATGTTTAACCAATGACATAACCTCTCATATATTTTCATATACAGCAAGTTTTAAGGAATAAGAATTTAAGAAAACCTGGATGTAAAGTTACATTATAAACCATCAATTGAAATGAATTCGCTTTGCAAAGTCGCACCCCTTGATGAAACCTATGCAATATGCAATTTCATTAACACCAAGTATTAAGGAATTGGATATTGAGAAAACCTGGATGTAAAGTTACATTGTAAACCATCAATTGAAATGAATTCGCTTTGCAAAGTCGCACCCCTTGATGAAACCTATGCAATATGCAATTTCATTAACAGCAAGTTTTAAGGAATTGGATATTGAGAAAACCTGGATGTAAACCATTAATTGAAATGAATTCGCTTTGTAAGGTCGCACCCCTTGATGAAACCTATGGTCATGGGTTCAATTCCCCTGTTCACCCCGATTGTTTCTAGGTTTGTCCACTCCATACCCGAAACCATTTACCATTTAGTCCAGTACTGAGAGTGGCAGCTCACCAAGAGTGAAGTATACGGTGGGGCTCTTCTTGCCGTCCCCCCCGAAGCTGAAGCCCATCATCCTGAGGTTGTAGATGATGCCCTTCTCCACGTGGGGGATGACTGCGCTGTCCACCTTGCCCACAATCACGCTCTTGGCCGACCTGAGGTCGTCCCCAGTCTCCCAGTAGATGAGCTGCAACACCGACAACGTATTACAACAACGTCAATCACCACAGTTACTCCCCTTGGCTTTTTTACAAGAACGTGTGTTTACCCAGCCACAGAAACTAACCAATTTAATCCACTGGTCCTTATAACGATAACCAATGTCAAAACCTAAAAAATGACAAATTTCCACTTGTCCTTATGATACCCTAACTATTTTGCAGTTTGGCAGGGACAATAGGATGAGTGCCAATTTCATATGCTGTGATTTATGTGGTGGTGGGTGTGGGTGTAGGTGGTATATTGTACTGGTGAAGCTGGGTAGAGGTCAGGTGGCATAGGGAAGTGGTGAAGTGGGGTAATGTGGTGTATTGTACTGGTGAAGCTGGGTAGAGGTCAGGTGGCATAGGGAAGTGGTGTAATGTGGTGTATTGTACTGGTGAAGCTGGGTAGAGGTCAGGTGGCATAGGGAAGTGGGGTAATGTGGTGTATTGTACTGGTGAAGCTGGGTAGAGGTCAGGTGGCATAGGGAAGTTGTGAAGTGGGGTAATGTGGTGTATTGTACTGGTGAAGCTGGGTAGAGGTCAGGTGGCATAGGGAAGTGGGGTAATGTGGTGTATTGTACTGGTGAAGCTGGGTAGAGGTCAGGTGGCACAGGGAAGTGGTGTAATGTGGTGTATTGTACTGGTGAAGCTGGGTAGAGGTCAGGTGGCATAGGGAAGTGGTGCAATGTGGTGTATTGTACTGGTGAAGCTGGGTAGAGGTCAGGTGGCACAGGGAAGTGGTGAAGTGGTGTAATGTGGTGTAATGTACTGGTGAAGCTGGGTAGAGGTCAGGTGGCATAGGGAAGTGGGGTAATGTGGTGTATTGTACTGGTGAAGCTGGGTAGAGGTCAGGTGGCATAGGGAAGTGGTGTAATGTGGTGTATTGTACTGGTGAAGCTGGGTAGAGGTCAGGTGGCATAGGGAAGTGGTGAAGTGGGGTAATGTCGTGTATTGTACTGGTGAAGCTGGGTGGAGGTCAGGTGGCATAGGGAAGTGGTGTAATGTGGTGTATTGTACTGGTGAAGCTGGGTAGAGGTCAGGTGGCATAGGGAAGTGGTGTAATGTGGTGTATTGTACTGGTGAAGCTGGGTAGAGGTCAGGTGGCATAGGGAAGTGGGGTAATGTGGTGTATTGTACTGGTGAAGCTGGGTAGAGGTCAGATGGCACAGGGAAGTGGTGTAATGTGGTGTATTGTACTGGTGAAGCTGGGTAGAGGTCAGGTGGCATAGGGAAGTGGTGTAATGTGGTGTATTGTACTGGTGAAGCTGGGTAGAGGTCAGGTGGCATAGGGAAGTGGGGTAATGTGGTGTATTGTACTGGTGAAGCTGGGTAGAGGTCAGATGGCACAGGGAAGTGGTGTAATGTGGTGTATTGTACTGGTGAAGCTGGGTAGAGGTCAGGTGGCATAGGGAAGTGGTGTAATGTGGTGTATTGTACTGGTGAAGCTGGGTGGAGGTCAGGTGGCATAGGGAAGTGGTGTAATGTGGTGTATTGTACTGGTGAAGCTGGGTAGAGGTCAGGTGGCATAGGGAAGTGGTGAAGTGGGGTAATGTCGTGTATTGTACTGGTGAAGCTGGGTGGAGGTCAGGTGGCATAGGGAAGTGGTGTAATGTGGTGTATTGTACTGGTGAAGCTGGGTAGAGGTCAGGTGGCATAGGGAAGTGGTGTAATGTGGTGTATTGTACTGGTGAAGCTGGGTAGAGGTCAGGTGGCATAGGGAAGTGGGGTAATGTGGTGTATTGTACTGGTGAAGCTGGGTAGAGGTCAGATGGCACAGGGAAGTGGTGTAATGTGGTGTATTGTACTGGTGAAGCTGGGTAGAGGTCAGGTGGCATAGGGAAGTGGTGTAATGTGGTGTATTGTACTGGTGAAGCTGGGTGGAGGTCAGGTGGCATAGGGAAGTGGTGTAATGTGGTGTATTGTACTGGTGAAGCTGGGTGGAGGTCAGGTGGCACAGGGAAGTGGTGTAATGTGGTGTATTGTACTGGTGAAGCTGGGTAGAGGTCAGGTGGCATAGGGAAGTGGTGTAATGTGGTGTATTGTACTGGTGAAGCTGGGTGGAGGTCAGGTGGCATAGGGAAGTGGTGTAATGTGGTGTATTGTACTGGTGAAGCTGGGTGGAGGTCAGGTGGCATAGGGAAGTGGGGTAATGTGGTGTATTGTACTGGTGAAGCTGGGTAGAGGTCAGGTGGCATAGGGAAGTGGGGTAATGTCGTGTATTGTACTGGTGAAGCTGGGTAGAGGTCAGGTGGCACAGGGAAGTGGTGTAATGTGGTGTATTGTACTGGTGAAGCTGGGTAGAGGTCAGGTGGCATAGGGAAGTGGTGTAATGTGGTGTATTGTACTGGTAAAGCTGGGTAGAGGTCAGGTGGCATAGGGAAGTGGGGTAATGTGGTGTATTGTACTGGTGAAGCTGGGTAGAGGTCAGGTGGCACAGGGAAGTGGTGTAATGTGGTGTATTGTACTGGTGAAGCTGGGTAGAGGTCAGGTGGCATAGGGAAGTGGGGTAATGTGGTGTATTGTACTGGTGAAGCTGGGTGGAGGTGAGGTGGCACAGGGAAGTGGTGTAATGTGGTGTATTGTACTGGTGAAGCTGGGTGGAGGTCAGGTGGCACAGGGAAGTGGTGAAGTGGGGTAATGTGGTGTATTGGGATATATATGGTAGTTTGATGGGGTAATAGTGAAATGTTGGTACCTGGGCAGTGTATATTGAGGTAGTGGTATAGAGTTGGGTAGGGGTTTGGTTTGGTGTATTGTGTCTTAGTGTCTGCTTGCCTGTGCCTGCCTGTGTACATGTGCCTGTGGGTGTGTGGGTGTGGGTGTTTCTGCATGAGTGCCAGTGTGTGCCTGTATGTACGTGTGTGTGCGTGCGTGTGTGTGTGTGTTTAATTAGGGTAGTGTACCCCTGCTGACCTTGTATCCTCGGATCGACTCCTCGTCCTGTGTGTACGTGTGCGTGCGTGTTTGTGTTTGTGTGCGCTAGCGCGTGTGCGTGCGTGTGTGTGTGTTTAATAAGGGTAGTGTACCCCTGCTGACCTTGTATCCTCGGATCGACTCCTCGTCCTGTGTGTACGTGTGTGCGCGTGTGTGTGTGCGCGTGTGTGTGTGTGTTTAATTAGGGTAGTGTACCCCTGCTGACCTTGTATCCTCGGATCGACTCCTCGTCCTGTGTCGTGCTGACTCCCCTCCACGTCACGTACACGCTGTCGGGGCCGTCACTGTTGACCGTCACGTACTCCGGGTACAGGATCGGACCTGGCACACAATATACCAACTAAACAACACCCAACGCAGCATGTAAACAACTGAACAACGTTTTGGACACGAGTTACGTCAGGCAATCTATCTGTGTACTCGACATGTTTATGTAGGTCTACACTCAACTTGGACATCTAGAGGACCAATATCGCGAAATGCGATGCCAAACAGCTTCGTCACCAATCCAAGTGCCTGAACTAAATACACGCATCAGCAAACCCGGGTCCCTTTCTAATCTCTTACTGGTGAAGTGAAATTGGGTTTAACGTCGCGTCCAAGATGATCGCACTTATATAGCGACTGTGTGTGTGTGTGTGTGTGTGTGTGTGTGGCGCTGCTTGTGCTGATTTATAGTGCTAGCTCACCGAGATACCATGCGGCATTGTAACATAATACCCCACTCAGACACAGTATACTGACTCCGAGCCGACCAGTCCTTATCTTAGCCCCTTAATGCCGAGCGCCAGACAGGGTATCAACAAGTACCATCTTTTAACGTCTTTTGGTATGACGCGGCCTGTGATTGAACCCCGGACCTTCCGCTCTCCAGGCGGACGCTCCACCACCAGACCACGGAGGCGGTCTAATTTCTTATAGACCACTGGGGCCATCGTCATGACCGAGCGCCTATGAGTTGGGAGTACCATGTACAGGATGAGTTACACTAACTTCATAAGGCGAACTACGTACCTTGATAGAAAGTTGAGACCCACCAGTTCTCACTCTTCGGGCCGAGTCCGGCGCCGTTAAAGACGTTGACGTTGCACCAATAGTCAGTGTTCCCTACCAGACCAATGATCCTGCCTTGTGACCTTTGCCCATAATGGCGGACAAACCGTGCGTCGTTGTATGACTCCCCGTCCAGCCAGTAGTTGATCTGGCAGCAGGGAAGTGGTCATGTTAGGGACCCAGCTACGTCACTACAGTACCCCGATATTCTCTTTCAGTTTAAATCCTCCTTGGGGCACTTATTGCATTTTCCTGGCTCAAGAAAATCTACACATGACATAGTTGTAACCATTTTCCCTAATAAAAAATGTTACCACAAAAAAAACATCGTTTTTGTATGATATACGACCACCCTTACGGGGCCTCACCCTTCACGGCGCGTCACGCCAGGGGAAGCAACTCTCACCCAAATCACTTTCCTTATGTCATCTGACTGAGACAGACGTGGCTGTTTTTCAAGAGACAAAAGAGTATCAAAGATTATCGTTCGACAAGAACCATGACTGACCAAACTGTATGTATGGTACATTTCTTTCATTGCAAAGGCGTAATACCTCGCATTGTAAAGTTATAGAGTTGTAATTATACGCCACGTGTACGGTACCTTTGAATTCAAATGGCCGTAATGGCGTCCATATTGTGGTTCCACGGTCTGATACATGTAACACCAAGGCCATTAAAAACGGCTTGGGGTTTTGTTATATTAAACAGCATTGGTCTACAATTTTTTCCTCTACATAAACCCAAGGTAGTGTGTTAATTATTAACTACACTTACCTTTTTTACAGGGTTTTTACACCTTCGCGCGTAATACGCCCCCTTTGGTGTTATAATTATACTACGACATTGGCTATTAGTATCGCGTTACAAATCGCATTATGCCTTTGCTTCTAGTTTCACAATTGATGCACGTATCTTTCCGATCTTTATATCGCACCTGATACACTTTAATACCCTTCCCGCCCACCTCAGAAATTACGGTCTTTTTTACAGACCTTCAAACTGTGTACGGGGTGTTCGGCATCCATTCCCCCTCAAGACCGGCATGAATGCTGCCTCAAATGTCTGGCGGAGGACGGGCATGACGATGGCCCGTGCACTACCGACGCACAGTTTTCCCTAGCGGAGCCAGACGCCTCTTCCGAGGCCGAGATTTCCTCTAGTGGATACCTAGCCCAGAGCAAGGTGGGTTCCCTTGAACCCCCGGCACCTCGGGACCGGGACTCGGATTCGGGCCGGGTGCAGCCCGGGGATGCAGCCCGGGGATGCCGGGGTTACCATTAGCGCCCGAAGAGCCCCGGTAGGACCAACAGTCGCAAGTTATCGAACTGCCGACAGCCGGGGTCCACTGCCTCAAGCCGGATGTCCCCGTAGGCGGCCGACTGGCTCTATTCCTGAAGAAATGGGAGACAGTTACATCCAATCCCTAGATCCTGTCCACTCTAAGGGATGGCCATTCGCCTGGGTGGAAACATCATCCGCCCCCCCCCCCCCCCCCCCTTCTCCGGGATAAAGCACACTCCGGTGCCTGCTACCCGAGAGAAGGCGGAATTCCTCCGTGCTGAGGTCGACGCACTTCTTATGAAAGCTGCGATTGAACCGGTTCCCGTGGGTAGTCAATCTCAAGAAGTCAGATCTGAGCCCTACTCAGAATCTAGTCTGGCTAGGGGCGAATTTCAACACGGTGAGCGGACTTGTATCTCTGTCACAAGATCGCATTACCAAGGTCAGAAGTGTTACTTCCCAGTTCCTTCTGTCCGCAAGTCACACTGCTCGTACATGGCGGCGACAGTAGATGTGGTTTGGCGGGCTCGCTTCAGAATGAGACCCATTCAAAAAGCGCTCCGTCGACTTTGGGTGAACTCGGAAGATCTCGAGACTGTTCTCGAGACTCCGCAGTGGCTCATTACACAACTTCAGTGGTGGACCGAGGTCGGGAATCTGTCCCGTGGGCTCCCCCTCGACACTCCCGTTCCGTCTCTCACAGTTCAAACAGACTATGGTCCCAGCAGGAGATCAAACTGCATATCAATGTGCTAGAACTGAGAGCGGTCAGGTTGGTGTTCCAACGCTTCCTGGATCTGCTTCGTGGCCAAGTGGTTCGTCTAGAGATGGACAACCAGACGGCGATGACTTACATCCGGAAGCAGGGGGTAACGGTGTCTCAGTCGCTTCTCCAAGAGACGTGGCAGTTCCTCCTATGGTGCGACTCAAACGTTATCAGGGTGATACCTGTTTATCTCCCGGGGTTGGACAACGTCCGTGCGGACGCTCTGTCTCGCCGGATCCTCGCTCCTCATGAGTGAAGGCTCGACCCGGGGATATTCGGGATTATCTCCCAGTTATACGGGTCGTTCCAGGTGGATCTGTTTGCGTCTGGGGTGAATCACCAGACACCAACGTTCTGCTCCCGAGTCCCCGACCCGAGGTCGGTGGCACCGGACGCCTTCCAGCTAGATTGGACAGACAGAATTATGTGGGCATTCCCCCCAGTACCTCTGATTTCCAAGGTCCTGCCTCAGCTAGCCAATCAGCCTGCGCGACTACTTGTGCTTCTGGCACCCCTTTGGTCGGCGCAGAGTTGGTTTCCAGTAATACTCAGGTTTCTGGCTCAGCCTACTGTTCTATTACCTTTACGACCGGACCTCCTATCCCAGAACGAGGCCCTCCACCCAAATCCCAGGATTCAGTGGGTGGCTTGGCCACTGTCAGGAATCGCCTCCAGAAGAGCGGTATTCCTGCACGAGTTGCAGACACAATACTGGCTTCGCGGAGGGATTCCACAAACGTTCAGTACGAGGATGGATGGGCCTGCTATGCGCGCTGGTGTGTCGATAGAGGGATTGCAGATGCCTTTTCTGCAGATCTCGTAGCCGTGCTTGAGTTCCTCCATTCGCGACTAGATGACTGCCTGGCCGCATCGACAGTCCGGGGGTACTCTACAGCTATCGCAGCTTTTCACGTCCCTGTCGACGGGGCACTTCTGGGTGCGCACCCATTAGTGCAGCGCTTTTTAGCAGGTGTGGACAGGATCCGACCGCCTGTTCGGCGGATCAGTCCCCCTTGGGACTTTTCAATCGTTCTTGATTGGCTGTCCGGTCCTTCCTTTCGGGATCTGTCGTCTCTCTCTCTTCAGCTGTTGAGCTGGAAGACGGCGTTCCTTGTGGCAGTAACGTCCGGCAGACGGGTAGGCGACATTGTCTAACTGTCTTCCACCGCGACAGGGTCAGTATTCGCCTGCCGCACTCTTACCGTCCTAAGGTCGCACACACCTTCCACGTGACGGCTCCTATTGAGCTACCTGCTCTTTCACAGCCTTCCTCGTCGGGGACCACTGCAAGACATGCTCATGTATTGGATGTCCGCAGGACCCTCAAGTTCTCGAATATAAGCCACAAATAATGGCTCTTTCATTGTATATGGTCGACAACGCCCTGTCTCTAGCCCCCGCCTTTCGACGGTGGTGCCTCACGATAAGGTTGGTTCCATTTATTGAACTCTTTTTTATTCATTGAAAAAATCAAAATACGATGTATATATTTTCGCTGGTTGCTGACGGATGCCACTTCCTAGATTATCTTTAGGAGTCTATCTTGATGCAATAAGTGCCCCAAGGAGGATTTAATCTGAAAGAGAATTTTACAAACCTGTTGAGGTTATGAATTCTCTGATGAAATCCTCCTTGGGGCACGGCCACCCATCTCCCCACCTCCCCACCTCCCGTCAGCATTAGACATATGGAAAGTGATTTGGGTGAGAGTTGCTTCCCCTGGCGTGACGCGCCGTGGAGGATGAGGCCCCGTAAGGGTGGTCGTATATCATACCAAAACGAAGTTTTTTTGTGTGGTAACATTTTTTATTAAGGAAAATGGTTACAAGTATGTCATGTAGATTTTCTTGAGCCAGGAAAATGCAATAAGTGCCCCAAAGAGGATTTCATGAGAGAATTCATAACCTCTACAGGTTTGTAAAATTTATACACTATTTTCTTTGTAAGGTTATTTAAAAAAAATAAAAATATGAAACAGTGCAGGTAAGAAATAAAGTTGATAATCTGAACTTGCACCTGCATGGCCAATAGCAAACCGCAAAAAGCATGATATTGTGATCGCTGTCGTGAAAAAAGTTTTCAAGGACCGCATGTTCGCTCTGACCTGATTTCGGTAGGTGATGAAATGGTGTTTAACGTTGTGTTCAAGATTGTTTCACTTATTTCGCGACGTCCAAGCATGTGTGCATCTGCTTGTATTAGTCCAGAGTTCTACCTGTTCTATTAAGCTAGTCCACTGAGATACCATACCACTGTTTAACATGGATACCCATTCCGACACACTATACTGACTATGAGACACCCAGTCCTTGTTTTATCCCCATAATGCAGAGCGCAAGGCGGGTCAAAATTAGGTTCCATCTTTTAACGGTCGGGGGATCGAAACATTGACATTTGTCTCTGTGGGCAGTTGCTCGACCCACTACACCGCGGAGGTGGTTTGATGTCGGAAAGGAACATTTGTAAGACAACACGATCATGGCTCTGACCTGATGTCAGAATAACAACACACAGACATGATATATGACTATTACCTGGTATCCATTCACACGGCCTTTCATGTGGAGTCGGTCATCGGGTATGGGCGTCCAGAACACCAGGGCCGACGTCGAGTTCTGTTCCTGGGCGTTGACGTTTGACGGCGTTCCCACGGGCACTGGTGGCAGCAATAGCAGTGCATGCTAACAACTAGGTTTGATTGTTGTTTAACGCCACACTCAGCAATATTCCAGCTATATGACGGCTGTCTGTAAATAATCGAGTTTGAACCAGACTATCCAGTGATTGACATCATGAGCATCGATCCACGCAATTTGGATACGATGACACGCATCAACCAAGCCTGACCACCCGATCCCGTTGGTCGCCTTTTACGACAAGCATTGGTTCCTGAAGACCTATTTTACCCCGGATCTTCACGGGTCTAACAACTAGTTACACATTGACCGTGTCCCCCTGGTGATAATGCATGCTCACAACTAGACGTCCCCACGGGTGATGGCAACAGTAGTGCCATTCAATAATAATAATAGCAATAATAATAATCATATTTATAATGCCATGCCCTAAAGCGCGCTCAAAGCACTACACTATTACCCTAGTCAATGGATAAGTGTGCACTCGATTTAGCATTCTCAGCTCCCTGGGGAGTATACAACCCAAGCTTCCTTTGAGGCGCCAAAAGGTTGATAGCCACCTCATTCTACTGGGTACACATTCCCTGCTGGGTGAACAAAGTCACTTGCCTCAGGAGACACCTCGCGTGCCACATGTGCTTCAGTGTGGAGCAGTATCGAAGCCCAAAAAACCTCTCAGGATTCAAGCTGCTGAACGCGGTCACCCGAGACCGACATTGCTCATCTGATTTGTGACCAGTGAGTATTGCACAGAACCATGTGCCACCACATGGTTCATACTCGGAGATGTTCTCACTACCATTGGTAATGTGAATACTAAACCAAATGTATCTTCTCGTGTACCAACTACGTATGTACTCGTACCAAGGCTAGATGCCTGGCCCGATGGTAACTTACTGTCCTCCGCTGAATACACAATGGAGACTGACGAGTTAGGCCCTGGTCCGTAGTTATTGAGTGCTTGAACTTTGACCTCGTACTGTCTGTAGAAGTTTGTCTTGGACCCGACCACCGTCACGTTCTCAGTTTTCGTGCCTGGAACTGTGCCCTGGTGCAAACATAATTTGTGTGAATACTGCCCTGTGCCGTGGTGCAAACATGACTTGTGTGAATACTGCTCTGTGCCGTGGTACAAACACTGGTTGTGTGAATACTGCCCTGTGCCTTGGTACAAACATTACTTGTGTGAATACTGCTCTGTGCCGTGGTGCAAACATGAATTGTGTGAATACTGCCCTGTGCCCTGGTGCAAACATGACTTGTGTGAATACTGCCCTGTGCCTTGGTACAAACATGACTTGTGTGAATACTGCTCTGTGCCCTGGTGCAAACATGACTTGTGTGAATACTGCCCTGTGCCTTGGTGCAAACATGACTTGTGTGAATACTGCCCTGTGCCTTGGTGCAAACATGACTTGTGTGAATACTGCTCTGTGCCTAGGTGCAAACATTACTTGTTTGAATACTACTCTGTGCCGTGGTGCAAACATCACTTGTGTGAATACTGCCCCGTGCCTTGGTGCAAACATGACTTGTGTGAATACTACCCTGTGCCCTGGTGCAAACATAACTTGTGTGAATACTGCCCTGTGCCCTGGTGCAAACATGACTTGTGTGAATACTGCCCTGTGCCCTGGTGCAAACATGAAATGATATTGTGCCGTACAACCATTTGATTGTGTGAATACGATGTTGTGCCCAGTAACAACTATTGGCTGTGTGAATATGGTGTTGTGCTCAGTAACAACTATTGGTTGTGTGAATATGGTGTTGAGCTCAGTAACAACTATTGGTCGTGTGAATACGGTGTTGTGCCCAATAACAACTATTGGCTGTGTGAATATGGTGTTGTGCCCAGTCACAACTATTGGTTGTGTGAATACGATGTTGTGCCAAGTAACAACTATTGGTTGTGTGAATACGATGCTGTGCTCAGTAACAACTATTGGTTGTGTGAATACGGTGCCTGGTACAACCATTAATTTGTGAATCAGGAGTTGTGTTTTGTAATAATCCGGAGTTAATTTTACGCCCTAAGTATTTGCACAGTGCCGTTTATTAAATTTATCAGTCTGAATGTGTGTTCTCAAACTATATTGTAGTTTGATAAGATACAAAAAGTATCCTTACAGCTTCTTTCTATTTCACCAACAGGCCAATTAATTCTCTAGACCAGTTACCCTTTTCTCCACTGAAGACTGACCTTGATCCACGTGTCACCTTGCCCCGCGGATGAGAGAGGGCGATGGTAGACATTATATTTGAGCCCCGGGCCGCCCACCTCGTTCCTTGGAAGAGCCTGGGGAGACAAAGCGTTGTAGTGATCAGTCGTCTCTCCAGTGAGACTATTATCGACATGCACTTTCGTTACATGGATTAACATGAACCTTCCTTGAACGAGGGCCAGGAACCCATCACGACATCACATTCTTCCCCCAATCGAGGGACAGTATGAGTTTGTGAGAGTTCACACTACCCTGCAGTAAGATGGAATATCCACCTCGTCTGAAGTAGCGCCCCGTCTGATGATCAGAATCGAGGTGGGTAAGGAGAAGCTGGAAAGCTAAACAAAATCAGTCAATATTGATACTTAAAGTCAAATAAGATGTTAATGTTATGAATAATATGAAAAATGAGCCTTTGCAAAGAAACAAAGCAATTGTATTTGCTAGCGACTACACGGAGTGTAATTGGGCATAAATAGAGGCAGTATAAGTAGGGTAAGTGTCAGGAATGAGATGGACAGGTCAACACGTACGCGTCTTAGTAACATGGTACCCCTGTCGCAGTTAAATGACCAACATTGTTGTCTCCTCATGTCAGACGCCTGATCCTCAACTGAGGGATGTGTTACAAAGCCTGGGTAAATTCGTGGAGATTCTGTACTGGAGGATCCCTGGCTCTGACCCTACGTCCCAACTGATCCCATAGAGGCCCGACTGGATTCAGGTCTGGGCTTCGGGAAGGCCAAGCGAAGTCTCAAAGGCGTTGTTCTGGAGATGGTCAGTCACAGCTCGTGCTGGGTGGAGTCGGTATTGTCGTCCACGAAGACAGGAAAGTGCATAGTAATCAAAATGAGGCACAGCAAAACCGTCAATAAGGTATCTTGGTACCTTTGTCCATTTAATGTCCCCTGAACTGTGACCAAATCAAGTTGACAATCACAGGAGCAACAAACATCCCCATGACATGCATCACTGAGCCGCCACCACATGCCGCTGTTTCCTGGAAGTTGCGCTGATGATAGGATGTTTCTCTTCCTCAGACACAAGACCTCCCTCCCATCAGTGCGATGCAATACAACCCGACTCTCGTCAGACCAACGATTGCTCCTCCACGATGTCAAGTTCCAGTGTGATCGACCCTGACACCAGGCTAAACGGTCCCTGTTGGGGTGAGAGGAGTGGACGTCTAACTGGTCTTCTGGCCCTTAATCCTGCTGCTTTCAGTCGACGTCTGATGGTTTTGTTTGTTTGTTTGTTGTTGAACGCCGCACTCAGAAATATTCCAGTATATGACGGCGGTCTGTAAATAATCGAGTCTGAACCAGACAATCAAGTGATTGATGTCATGAGCATCGATCCACGCAATTGGGATCGATGACATTAGTCGCCTCTTACGACAAGCATAGTCGTCTTTATGCTGAAGACCTATTCTACCCCGGATCTTCACGGGTCACGTGCTAAGGGACACTCTGCTGTGGGAATGCCAGTGATGACGAAGAACAGAGCAAGCTGAAGTTGGCAGCCGTTGGCTGGCGTACAAGGATCCTATCCTCTCTGGCACTGGTCTCCCGTGGACGTCCTAATCTCGGTAAGCCCCACACATATCCAGACAATGTGTCTTCTTTTACAATGAGTCGACTGATTACAGTATGATTAATGTTCAACACGGTGGTAATAGCTCGACGTGACATGCCAGTTTTGCCATTTTGCCAACTTTGACTATCTGGGATAGTACGTTTTAAATTGGTAGAGCGTTCATTCATAATGAATAGCAGAAAAGACGCATTAACTTTCATCAAACGCACCCACAAGGTGGGGCAGATAAGGTGGCTACCGTTCTACGGGCAGATGATGTGTCTACACAGTGACCATTTGAAAATCTCGGCATTGAAAATGAACTCGAAATTAAATTTAAAAAAAGGAGGTGCGATACTTTTGACGAGGTTTATAGTTTGGTGTAAACAAAGGGTGGATGAGTTTGTATTGGGGCGGGGCGGGGCGGGGCGGGGCGGTGTGTGTGTGTGTGTGTGTGTGTGTGTGTGTGTGTGTGTGTGTGTGTGTGTGTGTGTGTGTGTGTGTGAAACGGGCGGTCATTTAAATGTAAAATAACTGTCGAATTGGGCTGATTTTAATTAATAGATCACTGCCTCTATCACACAAGGCGCTGACTCATTAGGATGTTTATGTCGTAGTGAAGCTATCACAGGCAATCAGTCATACACACACCTTTGGAATGTATGCAAATAGACAATATCAAAGTTGAGGTGCGACAACAAACAAGGATTAAACTCTTGATATCAGGGATAAGGGGAAAGTTGAAAGTAGTATCCCGGTAGCATTTACGTCAATTTTAGACTACATCCACCTGGAACACGTATGGAAACCAAAGTGTCGTTAACACGTTTACATTCGTCAGTTACGGGGTCATGTGAGTGACCTTTCGTCCAACTGAAATATCGTTGTTAAAGCAAGTGTTGTCAAAACGCCGCATTCAGCAAGATTCCTGCTATATCGGAGGTCTGTAAACAGTCGAATCTGGACAAACCAGTGGTTGACATGTGGCCAGCATCTAACGCCGTTGGGGTAAGATTAATCAACCAAGTACCGTGTCTCACTACCCGATCCATTTTAGTCACTTTTTCTGAAAACATAGGATACTGGGGCCAGTTTTACCCCAAATATCCAAAGAAACTGACACAACTCTCAATTGCCGAGATTACATTAGAATATGACAAGGTATCGTTATTTGCTTTTTGTTAGTAATACATCACTGATCTGTAGCCACAGGTACCCTAGGGCCGGAACAACGGAGGATTTCCGCTGTTCATATGCCAAGTATCTTTCGCTTGGATAACATTTGACAATTGAGTAGATATATATACTCAACAACAAAAGTTCCCGTGACACCAATATTTTAGTGTATTTTTCAAACAAGTAAAGTTTGGTCTTCAATATTGTAGTACATGTTTGGAATCAAGTCACAAAAACGCAACTGCTACAGAAAAGCATGCATTCCATGCAAAAGTTGACTTTTATGCAAGCCCCATGCATTTCACTACCCAAGAATGGGCATAAAAACGTGCGTTAACGGGAATCTATATGCATTGCTTAGCATCGTGCTGACAACAACCACTCAGAAAAACAACAAAATTGCGCAATTATTTAACATTACGAAATGCCACGCCTGTCCCAAAATGAGCGTCTGCGAGCCATTGGTATGCTTGAAGCATGATCGAGTCAACGTGATGTTACAAGACAATTTTACGTCCACAGAAACACCATTTGGTGTTTATGGCAACGTTGGCAACAGACGAATGCAGTCAGAGACCATCCTCGGAGTGGCAGGCCAAGCGTAACCAATAATCGACAAGACAACTGGATTCGAACAACACACCTACGAAATCGATTCCAGCCAGCAACAGTGACTGCAAGAAGCATCCCTGGCCTTCGACGAATATCTTCACAAACCGTACGTCGTCGCCTCAGATGTGCAGGGATTGTCGCCAGAATACCCGCCAGAGGCCCCATTTTGACAGGAAACCACCGTCAAGCACGTCTACAGTGGTGCAGACAGCGTCTATGCTGGACGGCCATGCAGTGAGGAAAAGTTCTATTCACTGACGGGTCTCGTTTTCATCTCAGCCACAGCGATGGACGGATTCGAGTGTACCGACGTCGAGGTGAACGTTACGTCAATCATTGTGTCATGGAAGAAGATCGGTTCGGGGGCGGCAGCGTTATTGTATGGGGTTGGATTACAGCAAGACAGAGGACCCGTTTGATAGTGATAGAGGGAAATCTCAATGGACAGCGCTACCGCGATGAGATCATCGGCCCTGGTGTTCTACCGTTTTTGCGTCGTCACGGCCCAGGCATTACCTTTCAACATGACAACGCCCGGCCTTATATTGCTCGACTTGTTCAGGATTCTCTTCAACAAAACAACGTGAATGTCATCCCCTGGCCGGCTCGCTCCCCTGATCTCTCACCAATCGAGCACATGTGAGATGAGATTGATCGGCGCCTTCGACGTCAACCACGTGTTCCACAGACACTCCAGGAACTTCGAAACATGCTCCAGCAGATATGGACAGATATCCCACAGGACTTTGTGCGACGCCTGGTCCGATCCATGAGACGAAGATGTGTTACTTGCATCGCAACCAGAGGTGGACACACACGCTATTGATTTGTTAATTGACATTTTGGCATGTTCATGTTTTTTTTTAATGAAATGGCGCATTTTCTGAAGTCAGTATGGCAAATTAAACCATTTGAACACTTACAGGAGTCTTTTATCTGTTGCAAACCGAAATTGTTTCAGATTTGTTAAAAAAACATAACTTTGCATTAAATCTTATTCAAGGTCACAGGAAGTTTTGTTGTTCAGTATATGAATGCATACCTCCCACGTCATCCTGAGCAGCCCTACAGCCCCTCCTCCCCCGCCCACAAAAGCAGGAGCCACCCTCGGAGCGGCAGAATCGATGTGGTACCAGGCTGTAACGCAAGAGGTAAAGTCTGTACCATGCTGTGAGAAAGTGAGTGAGTGAGTTTGGTTTTACGCCGTGTTTAACAATTGTGTCGTGAATGCAAACATATGTGTAAAATGTTTATGCTGAAATATAGTTTTTGAACCAAGATAGATAGAACCCTTACCCTGACCATACATCAGACAAAGTGCGTGGGTAGCACACTAGGCGACTTACTTGAAGGGATACTGGGAACCCCCCAGCCGAACCTGTTCCTGGCGGCGACTCTGAACCTGTAGCTGGTGCCCGGGGCCAGCCCGACGATGTGCGTCCCCCTCTTGCTCTGGTCCTCCTCCAGGTTCAACAGGACTGACTGACTCTCCTGCAACTCTGGAGGAACATCGCCACTCAATACACAATACATACACGCGACAAAATCCTTTCCATAATCACACGAAATGTCCACTGTACGGTTCCTACTGTCATGAGCATGTGTTTAAGAATCACCATCAATTAGTAATGATACAGGTGTTCGCGAAAAGGTGACGTGTATCCATGGGCAAGTCAAGTCCAAATAGGGATATGCAGCGGACAATTAGTTTGTCACAGATGCGTCAAATTTAGAAATGTTCTCCACATGCCAACCATTAAACGTTCTGAAAGCCTGCAACACTGTGAACACACCAGGATATCGTATCGTAATAAACACACCAGAACATGACACAGTGAACACTCCCGGATATCGCCACACAATAAACACACCAGAACATGACACAGTGAACATTCCCGGATATCGCCACACAATAAACACACCAGAACATGAAAAAGTGAACACACCAGGATATCGTATCGTAAAAACACACCAGAACATGACACAGTGAACACTCCCGGATATCGTATCGTAATAAACACACCAGAACATGACACAGTGAACACTCCCGGATATCGCCACACAATAAACACACCAGAACATGACACAGTGAACACACCAGGATATCGTATCGTAATAAACACACCAGAACATGACACAGTGAACACACGAGGATATCGTATCGTAATAAACACACCAGAACATGACACAGTGAACACACCAGGATATCGTATCGTAATAAACACACCAGAACATGACACAGTGAACACTCCCGGATATCGCCACACAATAAACACACCAGAACATGACACAGTGAACACACCAGGATATCGTAACGTAATAAACACACCAGAACATAACACAGTGAACACTCCCGGATATCGCCACACAATAAACACACCAGAACATGACACAGTGAACACTCCCGGATATCGCCACACAATAAACACACCAGAACATGACACAGTGAACACTCCCGGATATCGCCACACAATAAACACACCAGAACATGACACAGTGAACACACCAGGATATCGTATCGTAATAAACACACCAGAACATGACACAGTGAACACTCCCGGATATCGCCACACAATAAACACACCAGAACATGACACAGTGAACACTCCCGGATATCGCCACACAATAAACACACCAGAACATGACACAGTGAACACACCAGGATATCGTATTGTAATAAACACACCAGAACATGACACAGTGAACACACCAGGATATCGTAACGTAATAAACACACCAGAACATAACACAGTGAACACTCCCGGATATTGCCACACAATAAACACACCAGAACATGACACAGTGAACACACCAGGATATCGTATCGTAATAAACACACCAGAACATGACACAGTGAACACTCCCGGATATCGCCACACAATAAACACACCAGAACATGACACAGTGAACACACCAGGATATCGTAACGTAATAAACACACCAGAACATAACACAATGAACACTCCCGGATATCACCACACAATAAACACACCAGAACATGACACAGTGAACACTCCAGGATATCGCCACACAATAAACACACCAGAACATGACACAGTGAACACACCACGATATCGTAACGTAATAAACACACCAGAACATGACACAGTGAACACTCCCGGATATCGCAACACAATAAACACACCAGAACATGACACAGTGAACATACCAGGATATCGTATCGTAATAAACACACCAGAACATGACACAGTGAACACTCCCGGATATCGCCACACAATAAACACACCAGAACATGACACAGTGAACACTCCCGGATATCGCCACACAATAAACACACCAGAACATGACACAGTGAACACTCCCGGATATCGCCACACAATAAACACACCAGAACATGACACAGTGAACACACCAGGATATCGTAACGTAATAAACACACCAGAACATGACACAGTGAACACTCCCGGATATCGCCACACAATAAACACACCAGAACATGACACAGTGAACACACTCGGATATCGCCACACAATAAACACACCAGAACATGACACAGTGAACACACCAGGATATCGTATCGTAATAAACACACCAGAACATGACACAGTGAACACTCCCGGATATCGCCACACAATAAACACACCAGAACATGACACAGTGAACACACCAGGATATCGTAACGTAATAAACACACCAGAACATGACACAGTGAACACTCCCGGATATCGCCACACAATAAACACACCAGAACATGACACATTGAACACACCAGGATATCGCCACACAATAAGCACACCAGAACATGACACAGTGAACACTCCCGGATATCGTAACGTAATAAACACACAGAACATGACACAGTGAACACTCCCGGACATCGCCACACAATAGACACACGAGGACATCGCCACACAATAGACACACGAGGACATCGCCACACAATAGACACACGAGGACATCGCCACACAACAGACACACGAGGACATCGCCACAAAACAGACACAGGAATACATCGTCACACAACAGACACACGAGGACATCGCAACACAACAGACACACGAGGACATCGCCACACAACAGACACACAAGGACATCGCCACACAACAGACACACGAGGACATCGCCACACAACAGACACACCAGGACATCGCCACACAACAGACACACGAGGACATCGCCACACAACAGACACACGAATACATCGTCACACAACAGACACACGAGGACATCGCCACACAACAGACAAACGAGGACATCGCCACACAATAGACACACGAGGACATCGCCACACAACAGACAAACGAGGACCTAACCTCACAACAGACACACGAGGACATCGCCACACAACAGACACACCAGGACATCGCCACACAACAGACACACCAGGACATCGCCACACAACAGACACACGAGGACATCGCCACACAACAGACACACGAGGACATCGCCACACAACAGACACACGAGGACATCGCCACACAACAGACACACGAATACATCGTCACACAACAGACACACGAGGACATCGCCACACAACAGACAAACGAGGACATAGCCACACAATAGACACACGAGGACATCGCCACACAACAGACACACGAGGACATCGCCACACAACAGACACACGAGGACATCGCCACACAACAGACACACCAGGACATCGCCACACAACAGACACACGAGGACATCGCCACACAACAGACACACGAGGACATCGCCACACAACAGACACACGAGGACATCGCCACACAACAGACACACGAGGACATCGCCACACAATAGACACACGAGGACATCGTCACACAATAGACACACCAGGACATCGCAACACAATAGACACACCAGGACATCGCCACACAACAGACACACGAGGACATAGCCACACAACAAACACACCAGGACATCGCCACACAACAGACACACCAGGACATCGCCACACAACAGACACACGAGGACATCGCCACACAACAGACACACGAGGACATCGCCACACAACAGACACACGAGGACATCGCCACACAATAGACACACGAGGACATCGTCACACAATAGACACACCAGGACATCGCAACACAATAGACACACCAGGACATCGCCACACAACAGACACACGAGGACATAGCCACACAACAAACACACCAGGACATCGCCACACAATAAACACACCAGAACATGACACAGTGAATACACCAGGATATCGTAACGTAATTAACACACCAGAACATGACACAGTGAACACTCCCGGATATCGCCACACAATAAACACACCAGAACATGACACAGTGAACACTCCCAGATATCGCCACATAACAGACAACGCGGACATCGCCAGACAACAGACACACGAGGACATCGCCACACAACAGACACACGAGGACATCGCCACACAACAGACACACGAGGACATCGCCACACAACAGACACACAAGGACATCGCCACACAACAGACACACGAGGACATCGCCACACAAGACACACGAGGACATCGCCACACAACAGACACACGAGAACATCGCCACACAACAGACACACGGGGACATCGCCACACAACAGACACACGAGGACATCGCCACACAATAGACACACGAGGACATCGCCACACAATAGACACACCAGGACATCGCCACACAATAGACACACCAGGACATCGCCACACAACAGACACACGAGGACATAGCCACACAGTAGACACACCAGAACATGACACAGTGAACACTCCCAGATATCGCCACATAATAGACACACAAGGACATCGCCACACAACAGACACACGAGGACATCGCCACACAATAGACACACGAGGACATCGCCACACAATAGAAACACCAGGACATCGCCACACAATAGACACACCAGGACATCGCCACACAACAGACACGCGAGGACATAGCAACACAACAGACACACCAGGACATCGCCACACAATAGACACACCAGAACATGACACAGTGAACACTCCCAGATATCGCCACATAATAGACACACAAGGACATCGCCACACAACAGACACACGAGGACATCGCCACACAACAGACAAACGAGGACATCGCCACACAACAGACAACGCGGACATCGCCACACAACAGACACACGAGGACATCGCCACACAACAGACACACGAGGACATCGCCACACAACAGACACATGAGGACATCGCCACACAACAGACACACGAGGACATCGCCACACAATAGACACACGAGGACATCGCCACACAATAGACACACGAGGACATCGCCACACAATAGACACACGAGGACATCGCCACACAACAGACACACGAGGACATAGCCACACAACAGACACACCAGGACATCGCCACACAATAGACACACGAGGACATCGCCACACAATAGACACACAAAGACATCGCCACACAACAGACACACGAGGACATAGCCACACAACAGACACACCAGGACATCGCCACACAACAGACACACGAGGACATCGCTACACAACAGACACACAAGGACATCGCCACACAACAGACACACGAGGACATCGCCACACAGGTTGCCTGCCATGGCATACCCACTACAGACAGACTACGTATATCAAGTGAATGCTGTCTACCTTTGACGATCACGACCCACTCTGAGTCGAAGTCGTTTAAAGCTTCCACCCTGTAGGCCTGTATGATGTCCCCGTGATCCTCTCCCGGCGTCCACCGTAGCGTCACATCCTTCCCCGAGGATCCCAACTTAGAGTACACCCCGGCCGGCTCCCCCGGGGGACCTACAGTAGGAGAACACACGTCAGTACGATACTGAGTTAATACAGTGGGAGCCTGCGGTGTGTGAAGACACGTCAGTACGATACTGAGTTAATACAGTGGGAGCCTGCGGTGTGTGAAGACACGTCAGTACGATACTGAGTTAATACAGTGGGAGCCTGCGGTGTGTGAACACACGTCATTACGATACTGAGTTAATACAGTGGGAGCCTGCGGTGTGTGAACACACGTCATTACGATACTGAGTTAATACAGTGGGAGCCTGCAGTGTGAGAACACACGTTGTAACGACATTGAGTTCATACAGTGGGAGCCTGCAGTGTGAGAACACACATTGTTACGACATTGAGTTCATACAGTGGGAGCCTGCAGTGTGAGAACACACGCTGTTACGACATTGAGTTCATACAGTGGGAGCCTGCGATGTGAGAACACACGTTGTTACGACATTGAGTTCATACAGTGGGAGCCTGCAGTGTGAGAACACACGTTGTTACGACATTGAGTTCATACAGTGGGAGCCTGCAGTGTGAGAACACACGCTGTTACGACATTGAGTTCATACAGTGGGAGCCTGCGGTGTGAGAACACACGTTGTTACGACATTGAGTTCATACAGTGGGAGCCTGCAGTGTGAGAACACACGCTGTTACGACATTGAGTTCATACAGTGGGAGCCTGCAGTGTGAGAACACACGTTGTTACGACATTGAGTTCATACATGCGGAGCCTGCAGTGTGAGAACACACGCTGTTACGACATTGAGTTCATACAGTGGGAGCCTGCAGTGTGAGAACACACGTTGTTACGACATTGAGTTCATACATGCGGAGCCTGCAGTGTGAGAACACATGTTGTTACGACAATGGGGTCACAGAGTGTATACAATGGGGGTGACCAATACCTGTGTACGACGAACTCATGACTACTCGACGTCGTGTACCTTGTTTGTGAACAGATTAACGTTCGTCAAGTGTAAACGTAATGTGGAGGAATCAGAGATGTTTAATACCAGGTGGATCGATCCGTCCATATTTCACCCGATAAAATGAACATTCGCATCACTATATTCGATTTCAGCAAGATACGTACCCATAACTGTGAGGACGGCCTCAGCCGTAGCCGCGTCCTGCACCGTCTCCGCCATACAGGTGAATGTGCCTGCGTGTTTGAACTGGGCGTTCCTTACGTACAATCCTCTCATACCATCGCGGATACCCTGTGGGGGCAGTTCGTTAATAAATGGCAACATAATAATACGGGTTAAAGTGTCACCTGTATTTCAAAATTCCTTTTCAAATTGTGTTTGTGCTTAATGTTATTAACATCGATACACGGAATTGGGATACGATGACATGCATCAACCAAGTCGGCGAGCTTGACCACCCGATCCCGTTAGTCGCCTCCTAATACAAGCATAGTCGCCTCTTACGACAAGCACGGGTTGCTGAAGGCCTATTCTTACCCGGGTTTTCACGGGCTCACATCACATTATGTTCATAATGATAGTATGAGTGATTAGTAGTGTACGATAGGCAGAGAAACAAAGAGACTATTTAACCCATTTTGGGTTCGAAAAGACGAGCGAATGCTGGCGCCACATGGCTAGCACGTGCTAATTTGTGCCGAAGCGTACAGAACCTACAACAGTGACAGTTTAAGGTGTGACAGGCGCTCACTCGGACGTAGTCGGGGTCATTTGCAACGTCGATGACGATCTCTCTGTTGAACTTCCATACGTAAATTAGGTCCGTGGTGAGTTGGTTGAAGGATGCCTCGCAGTAAAAGAAGGCGGTATTGTTGACCACGACGGCGGTGTTCGTAGGAGGCGTTGTTATGACAGTTTGCGCTGAAATGAGATGATAAAACAAATTTCACAGAAGGTCCATCATTCTCTGCGTAAACTGCATCCGGAAGTATCAATACATAAGATACGTTCCCAAGTTCACAGAATTTAAATAAAGATCGATTAATTATCTAGTGTGGAACATCCCTGTCAAAAGATTCTTACTGACGATGTTGAGTGTGCCCTCGGATGACGCCGTGCCGAGGTCGTTGGTGGCAGTGCACCTGTAGCCTCCCGAATCCCCCGTGGTCAGTCTCGTGATGAGCAGACTTCCGCTTGGGAGCAGGGCCAGATGACCAGTCGCCATTGTCTCATCGGCTACAGTGAGACCAAGGTCACGGCCATCCTTATACCACGAGATGGTCGGGGTGGGGGCAGCTTCTGGGTGGCATTTTATGGTGATGTTGCCGCCCTCGGTGCCGAGCATGGAGTCAAGAATTGGGTGCTTGGTAAACTTTGGCTGGAAAGCTGGTGACAACAAAGTTCAAATGAGTGAAAAACAAGACCACTGACACATTACTAGATGTTGCTCCATCTGAATGCATTGATTGTGTTTGTTTGTTTGTTGTTTAACGCCGCACTCAGCATTATTCCAGATATACGATGGCGGTCTGTATATAATCGAGTCTGGACCAGACAATCCAGTGATTGACATCATCATCTGTCGTAAGAGGCGACTAACGGGATCTGGTGGTCAGGCTCGCTGACTTGGTTGATTCATGTCATCGTATCCCAATTGCGTTGATCAATGCTCATGATATTAGTCACTGGATTGTCTGGTCCAGACTCGATTATTTACCGATTAGTATATGACCGCCGTCATACAGCTGGAATACTGCCTTAGTGTGGCGTTAAACAATAAACAAACAAACACAATCAATGAGGTGGTCTCCCTACCTAGCACCGTCAGCTGCCCGCTCGTGAGGACCTTGCCGTACTTGTTCTCCGCCACACACTGGTACATGCCGTTATGTCGGCTGGGGTCAGCGTCGTGGATGGTCAGAGTGTTCCTGTAGATGTCGATGTCCCCGGGGGTGGGGAGAAGCACCTTGGTCTCCTTCAGCCAGGTGTAGGTGGCGTGGGGGACGCCCACCGCATCGCACCTCCACGTTAGCTGACTCCCCTTGTCCACAAACTTGTTCTCCAGTGGGAACAGGAAGTACGGCTTGGCTAGCGGAGGAACGTATTGTGCGTTAATCAGGACATGAAATGTGAATTTGAATTTTGAATTACTAACTCATTTTGTCCTAGAATAGGTCTTCAGCAACCCATGCTTGCCGTAAAAGGCGACTATGCTTGTCGTAAAAGGCGACTAACGGGATCGGGTGGTCAGGCTCGCTCACTTGGTTGATGCATGTCATCGATCCCAATTGAATGGATCAATGCTCATGATTATCACTGGATTGTCTGGTCCAGACTCGATTATTTACAGACTGCCGTCATATAGCTGAAGTATTGCTGAGTGCGGCGTTAAACAACAAACCAACCAACCAACCTAAGATGGGCCCTGACATTGAACCTAGGCGGTACTACTATGCATTATTGTAAATAGCTACATACGTTGGACACTGCGCATGAAGATTACATAGTCGCAACAGGAAATTGTTGGATGTAATTTTGCGATAATGCAAGTTTTGGATACAAGATATGCAAGAGTATGCTTTACACTTGTTAACGACGATACAAGAACAAAATTATTTGTTCATGAAGATCAGTGTCCCAGTGTCAAGCAAACCTACATATTATGGAGAGGTGCAGGCTCTTGGTGTCGGAGGCGTCACTGCCCCGGCGGACGAGGCACGTATAGTTGCCGCTGTGCTCCAGCTTCGCATCCTTGATGATGAGAACGCGGTTGAGGTTCTCCATGCGGGACCCGGAGGGTGGAGCCCCGCCATTCCACTCCCAGGAGTAGGTCAACGGAAGCCTGAAGTGGAGGAGCACTGATACAGAGGTGACACACGGGTGTGGGCACAGCTCCACCTTCCAGGCCATCAGGGCCTCCTGCCATGACGTGATTGTACCGTTACTTGTGTTTAAGCAATGGCGTCAATCGTAACGTCATTGCTATTTTTAAATTTGAGTTTCCTTGGGTAATACTTTAACACCATCTGTGTTTAAGTTGTTATTTACGATATTCGTAGAGTCAGTACTACTGTAATTCTGTTTTAAGTATACTTGTTGCAGCGGTCGTGCCACGAGGGTGGTTTTGTTAAACGTGGCTCAGAGGTGGTCTTTACCAAAATAGCCAACTATTCTCCCTCAACTCTGCCACATCCTCAATCAAACCCCATCCTCAGCCTGCCACAAACCCCGTCCTCAGCTCTTCCACACACCCCGTCCAAACCACACCCTCAGCCTGCCACACACCCCACCCTCAGCTTGGCACACACCCCGTCCTCAGCCTGCCACACACCCCGTCCAAACCCCACCCTCAGCCTGCCACACACCCCACCCTCAGCCCTGCCACACACCCCACCCTCAGCCTGCCACACACCCCACCCTCAGCCCTGCCACATAACCCACCCTCAGCCTGCCACACACCCCACCCTCAGCCTGCCACACACCCCACCCTCAGCCCTGCCACATACCCCACCCTCAGCCCTGGCACACACCCCGTCTTCAGCCTGCCACACACCCCGTCCAAACCCCACCCTCAGCCTGCCACACACCCCACCCTCAGCCCTGCCACATACCCCGTCCTCAGCCTGACACACACCCCGTCCAAACCCCACCCTCAGCCTGCCACACACATTCCCCTCAGCCCTGCAACACACCCCGTCCTCAGCCCTAGAACACACCCCGTCTTCAGCCCTTCCACTCACCCCGTCCAAACCCCACCCTCAGCCTGCCACACACCCCATCCTCAGCCCTGCCACATACCCCGTCCTCAGCCTGACACACACCCCGTCCAACCCCCCCCCCCTCAGCCTGCCACCCCCCCCCCCCCCCTCAGCCCTGCAACACACCCCGTCCTCAGCCCTACAACACACCCCGTCCTCAGCCCTACAACACACCCCGTCTTCAGCCCTTTCACACACCCCGTCCAAACCCCACCCTCAGCCGTATCACATACCCCGTCTAAACCCAACACTCAGCCCTACCACACACCCCGTCCAAACCCCACCCTCAGCCCTGCAACACACTCCGTTTAAACCCCAGCCTTAGCCTTGCCACCCCCCTCCCCCGTCCAAACCCCAGCCTCAGCCGTATCACATACCCCGTCTAAACCCAACACTCAGCCCTTCCACACACCCCGTCCAAACCCCACCCTCAGCCGTATCACATACCCCGTCTAAACCCAACACTCAGCCCTACCACACACCCCGTCCAAACCCCACCCTCAGCCCTGCAACACACTCCGTCCAAACCCCAGCCTTAGCCCTGCCATCCCCCTCCCCCGTCCAAACCCCAGCCTCAGCCCTGCAACACACTCCGTCCAAACCCCAGCCTTAGCCCTGCCACCCCCTCCCCCGTCCAAACCCCAGCCTCAGCCCTGCAACACACTCCGTCCAAACCCCAGCCTCAGCCCTGCCACCCCCCTCCCCCGTCCAAACTCCAGCCTCAGCCCTATCATCTCCCCAACTCCTCACACCCCACCCACAACCTCCCCGTCAACCCAAGTTACTTGGTTGTTCTGATGAAACATCAACTCATCCCCACAGCGCAAGGACCTATAGTCTATAACGTGATATTCAATGTATTGTAATCCAATTTGTATTAGAACCCATGAACAATGGAAGCTAGGGGATACATAATACGCATTCAGTCGACCCACCTTCCATAAGCTAGACACTCCAGACGGACGGTCTTGCCCCTCTGTGGGGGATTGGGGAACACGGCGGGGAAGTCGTTGTGGATGGTTGGCCCAAAGTCGTTAGCGTCTGCAAGAAGTGATGGATAGGGTCGGTTAAGTTAAGACGTGTCGGAGAAAACACGCCTCCGAGGTTTTGGTTGTAAATGTATACACGCGGGAGAGGCGTTTCCCGACTCCCGAATGTTTACAAAAACCAAAACCGAGGAGTAGTGTTTTCTCTGGCTTATAAACCGTGTAAACAGTTTAATTCAAACAAAAAATCCAATTTACATTTGGCGCGTATTAACGGGACAGCTTTCAAGCCTGTCAGGAGTTAGAAACACCAAGTAGAAATTTCATCTGCTTCTCATCTTGTTAGGAATTACGAGGAAAAAGTAAAAATCCCCGAGAGGTTATTACGAGATTGGAAGATACAAAAAGGCAAAGGTGACAGTAGGTTAACTATTGTGACATTCAGTGTTCTCTTGTAGATGTGTTGCTCTTGGCTGGGACGGTGATGGGTCAGCAGTGAATAACTGAGAGCCATTGCAGACAGATTGTACAATACTTGACGTTGCTAAGCCCCTTTTGGTACGCGGGATTCGGGGTCTATTTCAGGGGGTATACTCAGCAGTGTGGTATGCGGGATGCAAAAAAGTCGTATTTGGTACGCAGATTTACGTACTTAATGAATTCGAGATTTATGTTCAGTAGAATACGGGATTCAGGGGTAAGAGATGACAATGAAAAAATACACGTAGATGGCACACCAAAGACGTTTAATGTCGTCATCTTGGTGCCGCTTATTCTACTAACTTTGCCCAGTGACGTCGAAGCCGATGGCGAGGCTGGTCCTGCTAGGTGGCTGCGTGGTGGCGAGCATCTGGTCGAAGGGAGCGGCCAGTGTGACCACACAGTGGTAAAGTCCTTGGTCGGAGGCTTGGACCTCGGAGATATACAGCCCTCCCTTCTCCGATATAAACGTATGGGGGTTGAGGGTGGGGCGGATGAAGTGATTGGCGTGCCCCTTGTACCAGGAGAAGCTCACCCCTGGAATAATGTCGTGGTGAATATAGGATCTACCATTCTATATTTGGGAAAATTACCACAAATCTTTAAATGGGTTTGAATGTTTCGAAAGCTGATGAAGATATTACTAATAATTAATAGTTGGTGGGTAGGGTGTGTGAACGAATTATCTCCTCTCAAAGGAGGAATCAAACTTGTTTTTAACCAAGAACACAAGTTTTTCATAGTCTTGAACAACTCATTTTTTCATAAATCCCAAGTTCTCTTTGCATTCACATACGAAATTGATTATATCGACCACTATCACTAAGAACACACTGCATAGGTTACTTCAGGTTTTAGAGGGGAAGTACTATACTGGAACAGATGACGTAAATGCATACACCTGGATGGATATTGAAACAAATTTGACTGCGATGCATGGATGTCTTCACTTACTTGGGTTGAAGTTTGGCGTGTTGCACTGGAGGACCGTCCCCTGGTAGAGCGGAGCGCTCAGCGTACCCACTGGTTCGTTGACGAACTCGTTCAAGTCTGTGGGGAGTGAGTGAGTGAGGGAGTGAGTGCGTGAGTGAGTGAGAGTGAGAGTGAGTGAGTGAGTGCGTGAACGTGATGGGGTTAACGCTGCATTGAGCAGTATTTCAATTATATCACTATCTGTCATTCAGACATAGCATTGGCGTAACCTACGAGCACCGGTGTTAACAATTCCAACACTCATGATCAGGAAGTCTGAGACGTGAACCTAAAGCGAATCGTTGATCCTAAGACCATGGGGACACCCACACACCCTCAATACGCATCCGCAACACGCACCCGCAACAAGCACCCACAACACGCACGCGCAACACGCATCCGTAACATGTGCTCGCAACACGCGCTCGCAACACGCACCAGCAACACGCACCCGCTACACGCATCCGCAATACGCACACGCACACGCAACTCGTACCTGCAATACGCACATGCAACACGCACACGCAACGCGCATACGCAACTCGCACCTGCAATACGCACACGCAACATGCACACGCAACGGGCACACGCAACACGCACCAGCGGATGTTTGTGATTGGCCATAACGTTTAATTGCTCACTCTATATGTCTAAGAAATCGGAAATACTTTCTATTGTGTTTGGCAGTTTGTCGACATTGACATTATAGCGATGGGAATCGGACTCCTTGAAAAAAACCACTTTGTGCTGCAAATGTATAATGACGTCACAGCATAAAACCACGTGCCGCTTAGAGCTGAGCAGTGAATTCCCCTGAACAACTAGTGTTCGTTATATTTAAGAATTATCTTCAATATGTCTTGCCTATGTTGAGGAATAGGCGTAAAAAACACCGATGTGCACACTACGAAACCTAATTGTTTTTTAAACTCATATAAATGATTGGTTGGCCAATCAAATACCATGGAATCACTTGATAAGACAGCACTGGTTGCCGACATACTCACACCCTCCTGATATGATGACGGGGTCGCTGATGATGGACCCGATCATGTTCGTGGCGATGCACTGGTAGTCCCCGGGGTCCTTCTGCAGGTCGGGGGCAGTGATGGTCAGTCTCCCATTGGTCAATGTGTAGCGAGGGTCAGTGGTTTCCGTCACTTCCGTCTCTTTCAAAGTGCCGACGTTCCGGAGCCATCTGTCATAGTGTATTTGTTTGTTGTTTAACACCGTACTCAGAAATATACCAGCTACATGACGACGGTCTGTAAATAATCGAGTCCTGAGCAGACAGTCCAGTGATTTACACCATGAGCATCGATCCACGCAATTGGGATACAATGAGATGCATCAACCAAGTCAGCGAGCCTGACCACCCGATCAAATTAGTCGCCTTTAACGACAAGCACAGTCGCCTTTTACAGTTGAAGGCCTTTTCAACCAAGGAACTGCACGGGGCCAGAGTAAGTATAGGCCAATAGGTGTGGTGTAGGCCAGTAGATGTGGTGTAGGCCAGCAGGTGTGGTGTAGGCTAGCAGGGATGGTGTAGGCTAGCATGTGTGGTGTAGGCTAGCAGGTGTGGTGTAGGCCAGCAGGTGTGGTGTAGGCTAGCAGGTGTGGTGTAGGCCAGCAGGTGTGGTGTAGGCTAGCAGGTGTGGTGTAGGCCAGCAGGTGTGGTGTAGGCCAGTAGGTGTGGTGTAGGCCAGTAGGTGTGGTTAAGGGGTGTATCCTTGATACCTGTATGTCGGGGCCGGTATTCCATCTGCTCGGCAGTCGATATAGGTAAGTGTTTCTCTTCCAGTGAGAACAACACTCTTTGGCTCATTTGTGAATACGGGCCCTCGAAGGATTAAGTTCAGGTCAGTGGTTTCCTGTCCGTATGCTGAAAACAAAGAGTGAGTGAGTGAGTTAACACTATTCAAGTTATATCACAGAGTGCCAGCTTACTGTTGAAGGAACGCCCGAGCATGAATATGGTGCTAACAAATCTAGAAACATAATGGCGAACCAGGATTTGAACCCACAATCAATTTCCGGCGTGCCCAAGGGATGCCACTCTGCACAGCGAAATGTGGCGCCTCAGACGACTGGACCACCCGTGCCAAATGGAAATGAAGACGTGAGGTTCCATTGTGGTCAAGAAACATAGCAACAAGAAAGATGAAAGACTTCAGTTGTGAAATAGTCACACTTGCTCCACTTTTCATGTTGTCTTGTAGTCGGGGTGGTCGGGTAGCCCAGTAGTTAAAGCGTTCGCTCGTCACGCCGAAGACCCGGGTTCGATTCCCGACAATGTATGGAGCCCATTTCTGGTGTTTCCGCCACCGTGTTATTGACGGAATATTGCTGAAAGCGGCGTAAAGCCATACTCACTCACTCACTCAGCAAGATTCATGTCCGACTTACTGAAGTCTCTGGGAGGCCGGTTGATCCTAAATGCCTCCAGCTTGTCGATCTCACATATGTACATCAGCACATCAGTGTTGCGCACCTTGGCCCAGGCAAACACGCTCTTCGTTGCTGAAAGTTAAAGTATACAAATAGTCTAAAACCAGAAGGGATTTCTAATACAGGTGTCACACGTGCGCTGGTCCAGAGTGTATACTAAATTGCTTTAATAGTTTCATGTGTAGATTTGTTTGTGCATTCTTGTTGCCGACATTCTTAAGCTGCTATTATTCGCTGTCTCTCAAGTGGGATGTTTTCTTTGTGCCGATGTTGAATGCTCATTACTTGATAAAGTGCAATAATTGGACATGCTTTCCTATTATACCTTACTCTGAGCCATTATGTTATTGTTTTCTGCATTAAATTTATTTTGTAAGTTGTTTATAGTTAGGGACCAGTTCAAAAGTTAGATGTTGGATAAAAAACTTTATTTCATAAGTTATACCCATAATTACGCACTGCACCAGACGGATTTACCAATATTGCCGATAACCTAACCTAACCTAACCTAACCTAACCTAACCTAACCTAACCTAACCTAACCTAACCTAACCTAACCTAACCTAACCTAACCTAACCTAACCTAACCTAACCTAAAACCAATTCCATACAATAAAGCGTCACTCTACGAACCAGAAAACATGTAGACGAGGTTGGGTTTGTTAATGGACTGCCCGGTAATGTCGGGAATCGGGTCGATGTCGTCGTCCCAGTAGTCGCCGGTCATGATGTCGGCGCCGTCGCCTTGCCACTGCCACGTGTCGCCCATCTCCACCCCGCTCGTGTACCACTTGTCGCGCCTTGAGGTATACACAGAAAAAACGCCGTATCATAAAAGAGTGAGTGAATGAGTAATTAAAGATTTAACGTTACATCGGCAATATCTAAAAACGTCGAATATACTACGTTTAAAAGTGTGGCATGCATACAAATACTTTGAATGATGTGTAACTTACATACCCCCTTTGGAAATAATTATTTGCGGCACTTAAATTGAACCTCCCTCGAGGAATCCGTACGAGCATGAGGATGTCAAGCACATCACTGAATGGCTTTATGTATGAGGGAAAACATCTTAATTAAACATGGTTTTATTTATTGTCCTTCACGGGCTTTACTAATAACTAAACAACACTAGCCACATTTGGAACTTTGTTTTACAATTGGAGCTATTAACCCCCCCGTATATTTTATATATAGAAAATTAAAAGTCCTATTGTAAAGGTGGATATTGGACAATGTACACATTGACGCACCTGTTGACGTCGTACTGCGTTAAGTAGTTGGTGATGAATTGGTGCTCTTCGTCGTCATTGACGCTGACGAGAGTCGCTCCATCAGCCTAGAGTTAAAAATGCAGGAGAGGAATCTGCCATTCTTGCATAACTATAAACACATTGTACGCTTTACTGCAAGGCTACAATATTGCTATAAACAGTTCGCTGCTACTATCGCTTTATGAAGCTGGTGTAAGCCCTTGACATGACTTATCATTTAACTTAGGCAAAATAATCAATAGAATCTCATTTAATCCTTTACTCTATGAAATGCTATCTATCTATATCAATCTGTCTCAAACAGCATTTGGACAATAAACTGCCGGGTAAAAGTAGGAATACACTTTAAATTGGAGTTGACTAAATAATTACAAACATTATCAAAACGTTACTAAACAGAAAACATTCACTGAATGTCCAAAACACAACCCGTATGAAATTCCTCACCGTCGAAGAACCATTTCTTGATCTTTTCATCTTAGCCACCGTCAAACATGGTGTATACTTTCGTGTGCTCGGCAGTTTATCGCGATCGATAGATATGATTTTAGAAAATTAGTATTGATTGAATTATATTTTGAATTCAGTTATCGAACACACGTAGCCATTCGAACTTTGATTTAGCATTAATGCTGTTTGAACACGGCAATGACGTATGTATATTAATGGCATGATGTCACGATAGCATGACGTATATAGCGGACGTGACGTCACAATATCGTGACATCCATCTGATATGACGTCACAGTATCATGACGCATACAATTGATATTACGCCACACTATAACATGATGCATACAGCTCATATGTCGTCACGATGGCATAATGTATTCGACTAATATGATGTCAGTATTTTATGACGTACACAGTTGATTTGACGTCACATTGACACTGACCTGGCAGGCCGTCTCAGCTTCCACGTATGGTCGTGGTGGGTAGAAGACGAAGTGATAGCAGTGGTCCATGTACACAGCCCAGTTCAAGGGGCAGTCTGAAATCACCAAGCAGGGATACATATTACATGCGCTACAAGGGGCGTTGAGTATGCAGGTAAACGCCGTCGTATACAACTTAACACGTTATGTGTCTTCAGTTAGGCTGTTTGTTTCTAGAAAGGGGTGAGTGAATATAGTTTTACGCCGCTTTTAGCAATATTCCAGCAATACCACGGCGGGGGACACTAGAAATAGGCTTCACACATTTGACCCAGGGAATTGACCCCGGGTCTTCGACGTGACGAGCTAACGGTTTAACCACTACGCTGCCCCACCGCCCTGTTTCCAGGAAGGGGTCTAAAAAGTGCTTCATGTGTAATGTGATAATTTCTTAAAGACCCCTTCTCGACACGTCGTGCAAATGGGGTTTGTAACATATATACTGAGTCAAATTAAAAACTTCACTTTTTTAAAAGTAATTCCATATGTGATATAAACTCACGTGCAAAAGAAACGTCTCCAAACATTTTTCAACTAACAAACAACACAAACACAAACACGAATAGATAATGACGTTCTGTATGAATAACAAAAAGGTATTTAAAGCATGTGTGACAGAAGTACAAAGAACATGTTTACTGGAACAGCTGTAGAGTCAATGTTATCACAAGGGGGTCGATTGTCCAGTATTCGAGCACAAGCCAAAGCGGCAAATCACAAAAACACAGAGTTGAAATTGGAATGCAGACTGTCAATACCGCGTATGTCCACCCCTACCGTCGATACATGCCAGAACACGTCGTCGGGCCGAGTGTGTAAGTCTTCTGATCACGTGATTTGGGATCTGACGCCATTCTCTCTGCAGTGTCTGAGCCAGTGCATTTCTCGTAAACGGAGGATGTGGCAGTTGTCGAATCCGACGTCCAAGATGGTCCCACAAGTGGTCTTGGGATCTTGGTGGCCAAAGCAGGACGGGCACGTTGTTGGCGTTGAGAAAGGCCGTTGTGACAGCTGCGGTGTGTGGTGTGGCATTGTCTTGCTGAAACAAGGTTCCTGGATTTTGCTGGAGGAAAGGCAGGACATGGGGCTGCAGAACTTCATCAATATACCGACGGGCTGTCAGGTTGCTATCGATGATAATGAGGTCGGTCTTGGTGTTCCCAGAAATGCCTCCCCAAACCATCACACTCCCTCCACCATATGGTTCCGTTTCCTGAACGCAACAACGTGCCGTCCGTTCCCAACGCCGGCGGTAGACACGTCTTCGGCCGTCAGCTCTGTTCAACTGGAACCTACTCTCGTCGCTGAAAAGGACTCTTTGCCAGTTTCGTTGCTGCCACTGACGAACACGTCTTGCCAATCTTCGACGTCGATATTCCAGCGTTAACGTCATGCCCTTGAACGGTCTGTAGGCTCTAATTCCTCGCTCACGGAATCGTCTCGAGACTGTCCACCTGCTGACAGGTGACCAATGTTATGCGCTGATGATGACGTCACAGTGAGGAATCTGTTCCTTAAATGAAGCGTACGTAGATAACGGTCTTCTTGTGGCGTAGTGACTTTTGGTCGACCGCTCCTTGGCCTGACTGCTGTCCTGCCAGTTTGTCTGTAACGTGTGACTAGTCTGCCAATTGTTCTTTTTGCGCAGCCCATGATTCTTGCAACATGGTCGTGAGTTGCCCCCATATCCAACATTCCAATCGCTCTTTGTCTCTGTTCCCCAGTTAATCTAAGCATCTTCTGCGGGTTTTTCAGACGCTGATGATTGCAAAGAACAGTTTCCAACGGGTTTTATAACCGATCTTCATGCGGGTGATTTCCTGCACGTGCAGGGAATTTCACTGAATAAAGTCATATTTACCCGCTTCTGACATGCAGCACGTAAATTTCCTCGAGATATCATGCATTGGTGTGTTTGGGCAATGTGTTCCGAACTGTTTTTCATGTTTGTGACTATATTCAACAATTATAATGTAATTCTAGCTTACAACAGACAAATGGATTAGAGAAGGTAATTTTTAATCATTAATGTCCAAAGAAGGGTTTTAATTAACGGTGGTAACCATAATTTGTTCCTAGCACCTACGGTATTCGGTAATAACATCAACAGTTTAAATCATAAGTCCCAAGCACGAGAATCTGATGGCACACAAGTTCAGTAGCGTGTATGGCCACCATGTGCGTTGACAACTGCCACACGACGCCTCCGCATGGACCTTGTGATGCTTGTGAACACATGATTGGGAAGACGACGCCATTGTTGCTGCAAAATGGTGCCAAGATCTTGCAAATTCTGTGGTTGGTTCTGGAGAGTGCGCAGACTTCTGCTTAGAGCATCCCTAAGTGACGTTGACGTCTGTGTAATTGAATCAGAATCGTCCCGCAGTATGGCCGTCGTGCTTAAAGGTGAGCAGTTCTCAGACGGTTTCGAACAGTTTGCGCACTCAGTCTACCCCTTAACAGTTCATTTCTGGTTGATGTAGCCGTCAAAAATCGGTTACGGAGGTGACGTAAGACAATCTGATGATCCTCTGCATGTGACGTCACACGTGGTCGACCTGGCCGAGGTCGATCAGCGGTGGTACCCGTTTGCTGTAGACGCGTCTGTAAATCAGAAACAGTCCGTCGCCTACAACCCATCGTCCTTGCGACTTCAGCTACGGCCGTTCCCGTCTGCAACATGCCGATGGCACGTTCACGTTGCATATTTGAAAGGCGTGGCATGACAAATGGCCGTAAAGACTTTTTCTTGTGTTTTTCTTTTTTTGTTAATGACTGCTAACAAGTATGGCTGAAAACACGTGCGATATTATGGCCACGTGACCAGTTACACGTGAAAAAACACTTTTGTCACTATAGTGCTGTGCACATGATTTTGATCGATTTACCTGCACAAAAACGGGTGTTATCTGAAGAAAATACGTGGCCATTACTGTTTAAATACACAATAAGGGCCCACAATGATAACTGGTCAAAATGTTAAAATGTTAGGATTGTGAAGTTTTTAATTTGGTTCAGTACATATTATCATGCAAATGGGGTTTGTCACATACATATTGATGTGCAAATGGGGTTTGTCATATATATTTAGTGATGTGCAGATATTGAATGTTACGGTATTAAGAGAGAAAGTGTTGATTTGTTACGTACTTTTTGTTGCGCAAGAGTATGTTGTTACAGAAGACTTACCTTGGCCTGAACAGCTGCAGACGGTTGCCATGACAACCAGGAGCCATTTAAGTGGCACCATGGCAGTGTGTACCGTTGGCGATATCTAGGTAAAAATAGTTATATTTCAGGACTATAAATCTGGCAGTTTTATTTCCTACTTTGTATGATGTAATCTGGTATTTATCGACGTGTAAATAAATACAGTTTCAATAGCATGTGAACTTATCAATAGCCATAAAAGTGATTAGCTATTAGATCGAGTCAAGGAACATACCATTGTTTAAAGAGTATATCATTGCTTAAACTGCATACCATTGTTCAATATGTTCAATGATTTTTTTTAAAGAATATTCCGTTGTTTAAAGAACACGCCGTTGCTTACAGAACATACCATTGTTTAAAGAATATACCATTGTTTAAAGAACATACAATTGTTTAAAGAATATACCATTGTTTAAAGAATATACCATTGTTTCTAGAACATGCCACTGTATAAAAGAACATACCATTGTTTAAAGAACATATCATTGTTTAAAGAACATACCATTGTTTATAGAGCATGTCATTGTTTAAAGAACATATCATTTTCTATAGAGAATATAATTGTTTAAAGAACACACCACAGTTTAAAGAGCATACCATTGTTTTAAGAACATATTATTGTTTAAAGAACATGCCATTGCTTCAGAACATACCATTTTTTATAGAGCATATAATTGTTTAAAGAACATACCATTGTTTAAGAACATACCATTTTTATAGAGCATATCATTGTTTAAAGGACTTACCATTGTTTATAGAGCATTTCATTGTTTAAAGAACAAACCATTGTTTAAAGAACATACCATTGTTTATAGAGCATACCATTGTTTAAAGAAAAAAACATTGTTTAAAGAACACACCATTGTTTAAAGAACATACCATTGTTTATAGAGCATACCATTGTTTAAAGAGCACCGACTACATACTGCTGATACTGTAGTGCCGACACCTGTGACAGAAACAGCCTCAATCAAGTGTCCATGTACCCATGTAAGGGTAATAAGGTCTAGCCAAACTAACATTTTACAATTTGAATATATTCTGCAAAGTATTCTCAAATCTGCGTCATGTATACGTTTTGCTTTTAATAACATCGTTCCTTAAATTCGTATGTCATCAACTTCACAACGGTAAATATATATACGTATTTCATGGAATGAAACTGCACAAGTCTCACCACCAAGAACATTGCTCATTTAAGTTATTCAATGAATTGGCATGAACAATGGCCATGGCCATCCGGCTTAACCACACAAACACCTCGATATGATTGATCTGACATTCATTGGTATTTAAGGAGTATTTCGTAAAATGAAAGCGACACAACCCGTTCATATTCATAAGAAATCTCTAGCGAAAGCAGAGTCAATTGTACGATCCCGATTTAATGAATGTTTAAAAGTAAAACACTTAAGGTGCGTGTTTCCCGTTGACAGAAAGCAGGCACCTATCTTTATTTCAAAGGTCAAGCCCGATTCACATATTCAACTGGACAACGCCGAGCCCGAGTACGGTTACAGAGCTGAGTCCCTCGTTGATACGGGATGGGATTTAAGCCCCAGGTCTCGTGGACTGTAACCCTGGTGTGGGTGGTATGTTGCTGATAACGTCCTCAGTGTATGCATTGGACATACAGAGCGGCGGCCAAGTGTACATTCCGGAAAACCCTGAACAGCTATGTTTAGGCGTTACCGACGGAGAAGCAACAGCCACACCATCCGTTATAATACAGAGTGAGATGATCACGGTCGTGATGTGTACATAATCTATGTGGAGGATGAATAATAAGATACATGTGAGCTGTTATTTAGGCATCTCGCTTTATAACCTAGATTGATCTTACGTACGCGTGTTTGTCTTCATAGTGGCCAAGTAGTTCTTTCCCCACGCATATTATGTCTACATATTCATAGAGTGGTTTTTAACCATGCATAATCTGTCTACATATTCACAGAGTGGTTTTTATCCATGCATATTTTGTCTACGCATTAACACAGTGGTTTTAACCATGCGTATTCTGCCTACATAATAACGGAGTGGTTTATAACCTTCCATAATCTGTCTACTTATTAAGGGAGTGGTTTTTAACCATGCATAATCTGTCTACATGTTCATAGAGTGTTTTTATCCATGCATATTCTGTCTACACATTAACAGAGTGGTTTTAACCTTGCTTATTCTGCCTACATAATAACGGAGTGGTTTTTAACCATGTGCATTATGTCTACATAATAACGGAATGGTTTTTAATCATGCATATTCTGTCTACTTATTAACGGAGTGGTTTTAACCATGTGTGTTCTGTCTACATATTAAGGGAGTAGTTTTTAACCATGCATAATCTGTCTACACATTAACGGAGTGGTTTTAACCATGTGTATTCTGTGTACACATTAACGGAGTGGTTTTAACCATGTGTGTTCTGTCTACATATTAAGGGAGTAGTTTTTAACCATGCATAATCTGTCTACATATTCATAGAGTGTTGTTTATCCATGCGTATTTTGTCTACACATTAACGGAATGGTTTTAACCATGCGTATTCTGTCGACATAATAACGGAGTGGTTTTTATCCATGCGTATTCTGTCTATATAATAACGGAGTGGTTTTTAACAATATGTAGACAGAACAAGCATGTTGAACAACGACTCCGACAATATGTAGACAGAACATGCATGTTAAACAACCACCCCGACAATATGTAGACAGAACATGCATGTTAAACAACCACCCCGACAAAATGTAGACAGAACATGCATGTTAAACAACCACCCCGACAATATGTAGACAAAACATGCATGTTAAACAACCACCCCGACAATATGTAGACAGAACATGCAAGTTAAACAACCATCCCGACAATATGTAGACAGTACATGCATGTTAAACAACCATCCCGACAATATGTAGACAGAACATGCATGTTAAACAACCACCCCGACAATATGTAGACAGAACATGCATGTTAAACAACCACCCCGACAATATGTAGACAGAACATGCATGTTAAACAACCACCCCGACTATATGTAGACAGAAAATGAATGTTGAACAACCACCCCGACAATATGTAGACAGAACATGCATGTTGAACAACCACTCTGACAATATGTGGACAGAACACGCATGTTGAACATCCACCCCGACAATATGTAGACAGAACATGCATGTTAAACAACCACCCCGACAATATGTAGACAGAACATGCATGTTAAACAACCACCCCGACAAAATGTAGACAGAACATGCATGTTAAACAACCACCCCGACAATATGTAGACAGAACATGCATGTTAAACAACCACCCCGACAATATGTAGACAGAACATGCATGTTAAACAACCACCCCGACAATATGTAGACAGAACATGCATGTTAAACAACCACCCCGACAATATGTAGATAGAACATGCATGTTAAACAACCATCCCGACAATATGTAGACAGAACATGCATGTTAAACAACCACCCCGACAATATGTAGACAGAACATGCATGTTGAACAACCACTCCGACAAAATGTAGACAGAACATGCATGTTAAACAACCACCCCGACAAAATGTAGACAGAACATGCATGTTAAACAACCACCCCGACAATATGTAGACAGAACATGCATGTTAAACAACCACCCCGACAATATGTAGACAGAACATGCATGTTGAACAACCACCCCGACAATATGTAGACAGAACATGCATGTTAAACAACCACCCCGACAAAATGTAGACAGAACATGCATGTTAAACAACCACCCCGACAATATGTAGACAGAACATGCATGTTAAACAACCACCCCGACAATATGTAGACAGAACATGCATGTTAAACAACCACCCCGACAATATGTAGACAGAACATGCATGTTAAACAACCACCCCGACAATATGTAGATAGAACATGCATGTTAAACAACCATCCCGACAATATGTAGACAGAACATGCATGTTAAACAACCACCCCGACAATATGTAGACAGAACATGCATGTTGAACAACCACTCCGACAATATGTAGACAGAACATGCATGTTAAACAACCACCCCGACAATATGTAGACAGAACATGCATGTTAAACAACCACCCCGACAATATGTAGACAGAACATGCATGTTAAACAACCACCCCGACAATATGTAGACAGAACATGCATGTTGAACAACCACCCCGACAATATGTAGACAGAACATGCATGTTAAACAACCACCCCGACAATATGTAGACAGAACATGCATGTTAAACAACCACCCCGACAATATATAGACAGAACATGCATGTTAAACAACCATTCCGACAATATGTAGACAGAACATGCATGTTAAACAACCATTCCGACAATATGTAGACAGAATATGCATGTTAAACAACCATTCCGACAATATGTAGACAGAACATGCATGTTAAACAACCACCCCGACAATATATAGACAGAACATGCATGATAAACAACCACTCCGACAATATGTAGACAGAACATGCATGTTAAAGAACCACCCCGACAATATATAGACAGAACATGCATGTTAAACAACCACCCCGACAATATGTAGACAGAACATGCATGTTAAACAACCACTCCGACAAAATGTAGACAGAACATGCATGTTAAACAACCATTCCGACAATATGTAGACAGAACATGCATGTTGAACAACCACCTCGACAATATATAGACAGAACATGCATGTTAAACAACCACCCCGACAATATATTAGACAGAACATGCATGTTGAACAACCACCCCGACAATATGTAGACAGAATATGCATGTTAAAAACCACGCGGTCCATGTGAAGTCAGAGCATGCATATTTATACAACCACTAGTGTAATATTTAGACAGAATGTACAATGTTAAAAAGTCACAAAGCTAATACGTAGACAGAACGTTGATGTTAAAAAAAACATAGGTCAATCTGAAGTCAGAGCGTGCATGTTTATACACAAATAATGTAATATTGAAACAGAAAGTGCATGATTAAATAAACAGCAGGTCAATATGTTGATAGATCGTGCGATGTGAGGTGCAAATGCCAACAGATGCTCTGTGCTCTCTGTGCACCTCTCACGGATATGAATCGATGTGTGTCCAGCTGTCCCTGTCCGTGTTTACAGAAAGTACTATCGCTCTGTCTGTGTGGTCAGTGTCGGTCAGTGTCGGTCAGTGCAGCCTGCGTGGTCTGTGCAAAGAAAGTCGAATGAAGCTCTATGGTTTACGTCGCCATGACACTGTCTTCTTCAACACAGGTATTCTAGCACACAAAAGTAAAGTTCTCCTGTCATACGATAGTGGTATTACAACAAATTTGCCCAATACCAACACAAACAGATACGCAACGATGGAATCAGATAATACGTTGTTTTACTGTAGATACTGTTTTATAATCGTTTAAAATCCTTTCCTTTCAATGTCTATGCAAGTAGAGAATTCTCATAACCTACGTAATATTATTGTCCACTTACATAAACAGCCATCTTACTTCCGGAAGTGACTCACAAAACAGAAGAACCAATGTGCCATTTCTGGATGGGAATTTGAACGAAATCGTTGCTCTATTCCTCCTCAAATTGTAATTCAGTTGTTGTTAGGTGATATCTTTGTCATCTATCCAAAGATATTACATTAGACATGTATATTATCAATTCGGGGTGTAATTATTAAATCCTCCTGTACCTTGTCACGTGAGTCAGCAGTTGGTGGAAAGTCCTCTGGGTGAAGCTACTAAAATCTTCGTCACGCTAGATCACTCCTGGGAGGGATCCTGTCCGGGTAATAACTTACAAATTTGAATATTTCTAACCAAAATGGCGTCGCTACAATGCGATCATACCCGCCAATAGGTTTATCAGTGTTAGACAAGCTCTTATCAGCACCGACCAGAGTTACTGGACTTACAAGCGGTCGGTGTGGGAGGTTGGGAGTGACTGGTGGCATGTGTGTTAGACAGCATTACGTGTAATAACGTGAGGTGTGTTGCACTGCATGTTTCTTGTGTAGATGTAATATAAGCATCCTTTCGTTGTTGTTGAAAGTCTCCATTGGTATATGTGTTTTCCAGGGAAGTTGCTTGTGTTTTTCTAGTTGCTGTTAGTATAGGATGAGGATGCTGTTGGCTGTTTCCCAGTCCGTTGAATTCATTGTTATGAAGAAAGGGTTTGAGTGAATAATGTTTTACGCCGCAGTCAGCAATATTACAGCTATATTTTTATCCTGTAAATGATAAAGTCTGGACAAATCAGTGGTTTATATCATAAGGAAAGATCCACTCCATCAATCCGCCAAGTTACCGGCCACCCAGTATTCTGTAGTCGGTTCTCACGACAAGCAATATAAATATAGGACCTGTTCTATCCTGGAACCGCATCCTGTCCCCCCGCTGTCCACAGCTGGCACGTCGACATATAAAGAAAATAGTTTGTACGATCATCATACGATCACTGAATCAATAGTACAAACCTTCTCCTCTTTCCGCAAAATGGTAACAGACAGCGAGTAATTCAAAAAGCTTGCAGAAAGCTTTCTAAAAAATACATTTAATCACATAAATATGAACAGCCATGACAATGTATACACGGATTTCTGTGAAACCATGAATATGTATAACGAATGACTTGCTGGTCTAATGTAATGTAAGCCAAATATATTTTATTGATTGTTGTAAATATTTAACGTCAATAATCAATCTCGATTATCTGACGAAACAGATTTCATTGGGCGTAAAGGACAGAATAGCGGTAAAAATTATCTAAAACGATCATTGAAAATCAGTGATGACACCAGGTGTTCGCTAAAAGCACTGGGGATTGAAACTAACGCCAGACTATAGACGTAGACGAAGACGTATATCCGGCGTTGGAGACAGACAGGAGTCTCCGCCAGTCTTCACAGGGTGCTTTGTTTGACGCTCTCCCTTACAGCACTGGGAGTGAGTGAGTATCATTTTACGCCGCTTTTAGCAGCATTCCACGGCGGGGGACACCCGAAACTGCGTTCACACATTGGACCCATGTAGGGAATCGAACCCAGGTCTTCAGCGTGACGAGCGAACGCTTTAACCAGTAGGCTACCCCACCAACCACCCCCCTCCCTCAGCACTGGGAGTCACCATCCATATTCTAACCGTACCTCATGCTTAGTACAGATTCATGTCCTGATGGTGCAGATCTCTCTACACCAAAATTGTCCTCTTTTCCTTGACCCTCAACGTAGATACGCAGGGTGTTTGGTCCGTGGCATGAAGATATATTGCTCACAAGAAGTAAAGGAACACCATTTTCATTCATATTATTATCGTTAATCTGTCATGGCATTACATATTAGATAAAGTATGTTGTTCTTTAACTTCTTTTGAGTTGTGTATATCAAAAGGGAAATATAAGCTAAATAGGTTGGAATATAACATGCGGACGCTATGAAACACTGACAATAGTTGATAGAATATTCCTCCTACTGCTATATACTTTGAAACGTGTCTAGCTGTAATAGTGTTGTAGATGGCAATGCAGCAGAAAATGCTGTAGATGAGGGTGCAGATAAATACTCTCAAATGACAGTTGTCACAAATATGTTTGTTAGAACCTCCAGATATATGTTATTTGGTGAAACAACACCCTTCCTACTACACGGGACGATACACGTGCACTGAAATAACACAACTGAACGGTAATGATTTAATCTGATGAAATGAACGAAAAATGCCTTATTAATGAACACATTCCCGTATAACCCTTCTATCTCACACCGAGATAACCCCCAATACCTTCATCCCTCACCCCCAATACCCCCTCACCCCAATACCCTCACCCACTCACCCTCAATACCCCCTCACCCCAATACCTTCACCCCCTCACCCCCAATAACCCCCTTACCCCAATACCCTCACCCATTCATCCCCAAAACGCCCACCAACTCATCTCCAACTCACCCTCAATACCCCCACCAACATCCCCCTCCCCGCAAATACCCTCATCAACTCACCTCAAACTTACCTCAAATACACTCACCAACTCACCCCCAAAACCCTCCCCCACTCACCCCCCCCCCTCCTCCCACTACCCCAATACCCTCACCCACATACATCCCACACACCTCCAATACCCCACCAACCCCATACACTTACTAACTCATCCCCCACTCACCCCAATAATATTGTCCACTCACCCCTAGATAATGAACTAAACTAAAGGAATCCAACACAATGTTCTAAAATATACTAACGTATATCATGTGACACTCTATAAATCGAAGCAAATAATTATGAAAAGTGGCAATGCAAGAAGAAATCTAAGAAATGAAGCATGGATTATGCTTATAAAATATCCTGCGAAGTTTGGCGTTTTTTTCACCAACTGTTCTGGTGGTGCTTTATCAGTAGCATCACTCAAGGTGGTATCCGTCTCTGGTTGATGCAGGTATCCGAGGTCACGCTATTCACAGGTCACACTATTCACGTTATTCACACAACGTATCCATCTCCATCCTCTAGGCGTCAGAACATTAAGCAGCACTATATCGACCATGACAGTTACGTCAGAATCCACATCAATGCGCATGACAGCAAACATAGGACAGATGAAGACATGTGACTTCCAGTGGCGAGGATTTCACTTGTTGTGGGATCAGCAACGATTTGTCCTCCTGCAAGGAAACAGAGAACATACATACTGGCATGACACTCAATGGGGAAATAGAATATACATACTGGCATGTCACTCACTGAGGAAACAGAGAATCTACGTGATGGCATGTCACTCACTGGGGAAACAGAATCTAAATACTGGCATGTCACTCACTGGGGAAACAGAATCTAAATACTGGCATGTCACTCACTGGGGAAACAGAATCTAAATACTGGCATGTCACTCACTGAGGAAACTGAGAATATACCTTCTGACATGTCACTTACAGGGGAAACAGAATTTACATACTGGCATGTCACTAACTGGGGAAACAGAGAATATACATACTGGCATGTCACTTACAGGGGAAACAGAGACTATACATACTGGCATGTCACTCACTGGGGAAACAGAGAATATACCTTCTGACATGTCACTTACAGGGGAAACAGAATATACATACTGGCATGTCACTCACTGAGGAAACTGAGAATATACCTTCTGACATGTCACTTACAGGGGAAACAGAATATACATACTGGCATGTCACTCACTGGGGAAACAGAGAATATACCTTCTGGCATATCACTTACTGGGGAAACAGAGAATATACCTTCTGACATGTCACTTACAGGGGAAACAGAGAATATACATACTGGCATGTCACTCACTGAGGAAACAGAGAATATACCTTCTGACATGTCACTTACAGGGGAAACAGAATATACATACTGGCATGTCACTCACTGAGGAAACAGAGAATATACCTTCTGACATGTCACTTACAGGGGAAACAGAATATACATACTGGCATGTCACTCACTGAGGAAACAGAGAATATACCTTCTGACATGTCACTTACAGGGGAAACAGAATATACATACTGGCATGTCACTCACTGAGGAAACAGAGAATATACCTTCTGACATGTCACTTACAGGGGAAACAGAATATACATACTGGCATGTCACTCACTGAGGAAACAGAGACTATACATACTGGCATGTCACACACTGGGGAAACAGAGACTATACATACTGGCATGTCACTTACAGGGGAAACAGAGAATATACATACTGGCATGTCACTTACAGGGGAAACAGAATATACATACTGGCATGTCACTTACAGGGGAAACAGAATATACATACTGGCATGTCACTCACTGAGGAAACAGAGACTATACATACTGGCATGTCACACACTGGGGAAACAGAGACTATACATACTGGCATGTCACTTACAGGGGAAACAGAGACTATACATACTGGCATGTCACTTACAGGGGAAACAGAATATACATACTGGCATGTCACTCACTGAGGAAACAGAGAATATACCTTCTGACATGTCACTTACAGGGGAAACAGAATATACATACTGGTATGTCACTCACTGAGGAAACAGAGACTATACATACTGGCATGTCACTAACTGGGGAAACAGAGAATATACATACTGGCATGTCACTTACAGGGGAAACAGAGAATATACATACTGGCATGTCACTCACTGAGGAAACAGAGACTATACATACTGGCATGTCACACACTGGGGATACAGAGACTATACATACTGGCATGTCACTTACAGGGGAAACAGAATATACATACTGGCATGTCACTCACTGAGGAAACAGAGACTATACATACTGGCATGTCACTTACAGGGGAAACAGAATATACATACTGGCATGTCACTCACTGAGGAAACAGAGACTATACATACTGGCATGTCACACACTGGGGATACAGACACTATACATACTGGCATGTCACTTACAGGGGAAACAGAATATACATACTGGCATGTCACTCACTGAGGAAACAGAGACTATACATACTGGCATGTCACTTACAGGGGAAACAGAATATACATACTGGCATGTCACTCACTGAGGAAACAGAGACTATACATACTGGCATGTCACACACTGGGGATACAGACACTATACATACTGGCATGTCACTTACAGGGGAAACAGAATATACATACTGGCATGTCACTCACTGAGGAAACAGAGACTATACATACTGGCATGTCACTTACAGGGGAAACAGAATATACATACTGGCATGTCACTTACAGGGGAAACAGAATTTACATACTGGCATGTCACTCACTGAGGAAACAGAGACTATACATACTGGCATGTCACACACTGGGGATACAGAGACTATACATACTGGCATGTCACTTACAGGGGAAACAGAATATACATACTGGCATGTCACTCACTGAGGAAACAGAGACTATACATACTGGCATGTCACTTACAGGGGAAACAGAATATACATACTGGCATGTCACTCACTGAGGAAACAGAGACTATACATACTGGCATGTCACTTACAGGGGAAACAGAATATACAAACTGGCATGTCACTCACTGAGGAAACAGAGACTATACATACTGGCATGTCACTTACAGGGGAAACAGAATATACATACTGGCATGTCACTCACTGAGGAAACAGAGACTATACATACTGGCATGTCACTTACAGGGGAAACAGAATATACATACTGGCATGTCACTCACTGAGGAAACAGAGACTATACATACTGGCATGTCACTCACTGAGGAAACACGGAAACACGGAACATACCTTTTGGCATATCACTTACTGGGAAACAGAATATACATACTGGTATGTCACTTACAGGGGAAACAGAATATACATACTGGTATGTCACTCACTGAGGAAACAGAGAATATACCTTCTGGCATATCACTTACAGGGGAAACAGAATATACATACTGGTATGTCACTTACAGGGGAAACAGAATATACATACTGGTATGTCACTCACTGAGGAAACAGAGAATATACATACTGGCATGTCACTCACTGGGGAAACTGAGAATATACCTTCTGACATGTCACTTACAGGGGAAACAGAGAATATACATACTGACATGTCACTCACTGAGGAAACAGAGAATATACATACTGGCATGTCACTCACTGGGGAAACAGAGAATATACCTTCTGGCATATCACTTACAGGGGAAACAGAGAATATACATACTGGCATGTCACTCACTGAGGAAACAGAGAATATACATACTGGCATGTCACTCACTGGGGAAACAGAGAATATACCTTCTGGCATATCACTTACAGGGGAAACAGAGAATATACATACTGGCATGTCACTCACTGGGGAAACAGAGAATATACCTTCTGGCATATCACTTACAGGGGAAACAGAGAATATACATACTGGCATGTCACTCACTGAGGAAACAGAGAATATACATACTGGCATGTCACTTACAGGGGAAACAGAGAATATACCTTCTGGCATATCACTTACAGGGGAAACAGAGAATATACATACTGGCATGTCACTTACAGGGGAAACAGAGAATATACCTTCTGGCATATCACTTACAGGGGAAACAGAGAATATACATACTGGCATGTCACTAACTGGGGAAACAGAGAATATACATACTGGCATGTCACACACTGGGGAAACAGAGAATATACCTTCTGGCATATCACTCACTGAGGAAACAGAGAATATACATACTGGCATGTCACACACTGGGGAAACAGAGAATATACCTTCTGGCATATCACTCACTGAGGAAACAGAGAATATACATACTGGCATGTCACACACTGGGGAAACAGAGAATATACCTTCTGGCATATCACTTACTGGGGAAACAGAGAATATACCTTCTGGCATGTCACTTACTGGGGAAACAGAGAATATACCTTCTGGCATATCACTTACAGGGGAAACAGAGAATATACATACTGGCATGTCACTAACTGGGGAAACAGAGAATATACATACTGGCATGTCACACACTGGGGAAACAGAGAATATACCTTCTGGCATATCACTCACTGAGGAAACAGAGAATATACATACTGGCATGTCACACACTGGGGAAACAGAGAATATACCTTCTGGCATATCACTCACTGAGGAAACAGAGAATATACATACTGGCATGTCACACACTGGGGAAACAGAGAATATACCTTCTGGCATATCACTTACTGGGGAAACAGAGAATATACCTTCTGACATGTCACTTACTGGGGAAACAGAGAATATACCTTCTGGCATGTCACTCACTGAGGAAACAGAGAATATACATACTGGCATATCACTTACAGGGGAAACAGAATATACATACTGGCATGTCACTCACTACACGATGTGTTGTCAATATCATGAAAACATAAAGATAAATGCACATTGTACATTCAAACGGTTTTCTGTTTTATGAATCTACTATTATCAAATAATCTCACAACTGGCATGGGTATCTGCAGTATCAGAGATCTAGTTAATGTCCTCAATGTTGCGTTTTTCTTCCGGATCTAAAATAGGTTATTATTTCCTTTTTTTAATTAATCGATTAAAATTAAAAGGCTGGGGAGGCATGGTGTTAACCGCAGATCTGAGACCTGGATTTACGCCCTTTTACCAGAGACCTGGATTCGCCCTCAAAATGTTTCTAGGTTTGTCAGGCCATAACCATGCGTGTAGGTATAAGGGTCGTAAACACACAGAACCTGCACCACTTCAGACTTTCCTGCCAGATCAAGCTGACATTCCGTGATTTGACAGAAATACCGCTCAAAGCGGCGTTAACCCCAACTACACTTGTAATTCACAAACTGAGAGCAAATCAATGAACAATTCAATGAAAATACCCATGAAGTAACTATGCTGCTGAATAGTAAAAGGAATTATATAATTAGATGTTGACAATTCTGAAGAAGATACCAAAATGTATTGACAAAAAATGTCGCCCACAATTTCACTAGACACCATGGACAACCGAATTGTCTACTGGGAGCTGCAGTCTCATTTTAGAGACATGGCTGCTTATGGCTATCGTCATTATATACGTATAAACCATTTAAACTAGACATGAAAGCACCGTGTACATATTCGTCACCAGTCACATCTCAACCTAGAAGAAATCTCGTCAAGAGGGCCGCCTGTGAACCGGCGTAAGCCAATCAGAATGAGCATCAGGATTTGGGTACTTCGATAAATATAAGATATGATTAAATTATGCATTCTTGTAAACTTTTGGAAAGAAATGTAGATTGTAAGCTTCACACCGTAACATATACGAACAACAGAATCGTGTTGCATAAATTTAATAAACAGAGGTTGTAACTTGTTACTACTGCTTCTACTACGAGAGTTATCGTATTTGTTTGAAGACCGCCTCCGTGGTCTAGTTCGATCCCATCAGACGTTAAAAGATGGTACTTGTTGTTACCCTGTCTGGCGCTCGGCATAAAGGGGCTAAAACAAGGACTAGTGGACTCGGAAGTAATGTTAAACTGCGGCATCTTGTCTCAGTGAGCTAGCACTATATATCGGCAGTAGTCCGGACTAGTACAAGCAGCCAGCCAGCCAGCCACAGACACAGACACAGACACACAGACACACACACAGACACACACACACACAGACACACAGACACACAGACACACAGACACACACACACACACAGACACACAGACACACAGACACACACACACACACACAGACACACAGACACACAGACACACACACACACAGACACACACACACAGACACACAGACACACAGACACACACACAGACACACACACACACACACACACACACACACACACACACACACACACAGACACACAGACACACAGACACACACACACACACACACACACACACACACACACACAGAGTTTCACCTCACCACTTGTTTGAAGTCGTTCTTGCGTTCATGTACGCCAATATGGAATCCTAGGAGCAGGAATGCGAGTGTTCATTCCCGACTTGTACACGATTAGGACACGAATGCCGTGTACCATGGACAAGCCTTGACCAACATATTACAACCTACCTAAAGTGAAAAAGATTGGCGGGGCTTTCTTCCCGTCTCCGCCGGCGTTGTAGCCTGTCAACCTCAGCTTGTAGACGATGCCCTTATCGAGGCCGGTAATCACGCCATGCGTCCTCTTTCCGTCTATAACCACATCCGTTGCATCTCGAAGGTCACTGTTGGCTGGCCAGTACCTCAGCTGAAGCAAAAACATTAGGAACATGAAGACTTGCAACAAATAGCTGCAGCGTTGTTTTTGGTATATAAGGTCTTACATACGGGTCACACAGGATCTTGGTACATCCTGGCGCCTGTACGTGTCCGGAGAGTCCTTAATATCAGTGTACTGGTATTTCTCCTTTGCGTCTGTGTACTAGCATGTTCTGAAACACCTTACGTCTGCGTACTGACATTTCCCTAGACACCTTAACGTCAGTGTACCAGCATTTCCCATTGCTACTTAGCGTCGGGTAGCCTAGTGGTTAAAGCGCACGCTCGTCACGCCTAAGACCCGGGTTCCATTCCCGACATAGGTAAAATATGTAAAGCCCATAGCTGGTGTCCCCAGCCGTGGTATTGCTAGAATAATGCTAAAAGCGGCGTAAAACCATACTCACTTACTCATGTGTACAAGCATTTCCCAAGACCCCCTAACGTCTGAGTACTAGAATTTCCAAGAATTCCTTAACGTCTGTGTACAAGCATTTCCCAAGACACCTCAGCGTCTGTGTACTGGCATTTCCCAGGACCAATTAATGTCCGTATAAGCATTTCCCGAGACACCTTAACGTGTGTTCACTAACATTTCCCGAGACACCTTAACGTGTGTTCACTAACATTTCTCAAGACACATTAACGTATATTTATAACCATTTCCCGATACATGTTAGTAAACAGACGTTAGGGAGTCTCGGCAAATGTTTTCAAACAGGCGTGAGCGAGTCTCGGAAAATGTTTGTAAACGGTAAATAAAATGCTTTCACTCGCAAGGTACTTACAATGTATCCCTGCAACGCCTCCTCCACGATGGGGACGGTGGAGATGCCCCTCCAGTGGACGTAGACGCTGTTTGGACCGTCACTGTGCACCTCCACGTACTCGGGGTAGGCGTTGGGACCTGCAGACACACAACGAACTAATACTCTATGTCTTTAATACAACATCTTGAAACGTGTTTTTGTTGTTGAGAATGGTATCATATTATAAGAAACACAAGATTTAAGCAAAGTAATGTGTAGAAACAGGAGCGTGCTTGATACGAATGTAAACAGACGAACTTTCCCCTGATGTATTTGATAGGTGCGTACTTGATACAGATGTAAACAGACTAACTTTCCCAGGATGTATTTGACATGTGCGTACTTGATACAGATGTAAACAGACTAACTTTCCCAGGATGTATCTCACATGTGCGTCCTTGATACAGATGTTAACAGACTAACTTTCCCAGGATGTATCTCACATGTGCGTACTTGATACAAATGTAAACAGACTAACATTCCCAGGATTTATTTGACAGGTGCGTACTTGGTACAAATGTAAACAGACTAACATTCCCAGGATTTATTGGACAGGTGCGTACTTGGTACAAATGTAAACAGACTAACTTTCCCAGGATGTATTTGACATGTGCGTACTTGGTACAAATGTAAACAGACTAACTTTCCAAGGATGCATTTGACAGGTGCGTACTCTGTACAGATGTAAACAGACTAACTTTCCCAGGATGTATTTGACATGTGCGTACTTGATACAGATGTAAACAGACTAACTTTCCCAGGATGTATTTGATAGGTGCGTACTTGGTACAAATGTAAACAGACTAACTTTCCCAGGATGTATTTGATAAGTGCGTACTTGATACAGATGTAAACAGACTAACTTTCCCAGGATGTATTTGACATGTGCGTACTTGGTACAAATGTAAACAGACTAACTTTCCAAGGATGTATTTGACATGTGCGTACTTGATACAGATGTAAACAGACTAACTTCCCAAGGATGCATTTGACAGGTGCGTACTCTGTACAGATGTAAACAGACTAACTTTCCCAGGATGTATTTGACATGTGCGTACTTGATACAGATGTAAACAGACTAACTTTCCAAGGATGTATTTGATAGGTGCGTACTTGATACAGATGTAAACAGACTAACTTTCCCAGGATGTATTTGATAGGTGCGTACTTGGTACAAATGTAAACAGACTAACCCTCCCCGGATGCATTTGATAAGTGCGTGCGTGACACAAATGTTAACAGACTCACCTTCCCCTGCTGTAGAGCCAAAGTTGATTTCGCTCTCGGGACCCAGACCGGCCGAATTGAACACCTGGACATTGGCCCAGTAGTCAAAGTTCGGGATAAGTCCGATGACGACGGCTTGACTCCGCTGACCATAGTGATAGGAATGTCCTATATAAAGGTCACGTTCCCCATCGACCCAGAAGTTCACCTACATCATACATGCATTTTCTATTGTCATACAAAATGTTATTATAATTATATGTGGTGAGAGTAAATAAGTTTCACTATTTTCATTTCTTTATGTCTCAGTGTGACTATTAAACACGTCGTCATTTTATCTGAGACCGCCTCCGTGGTGTAGTGGTAGAGCGTCCGCCCGGAGAGCGGAAGGTCCGGGGTTCGATCCCCGGCCACGTCATACCAAAAGACGTTAAAAGATGGTACTTGTTATTACCGTGTCTGGCGCTCGTCATTAAGAGGCTAAAACAAGAGGACAAGGACTGGTCGGCTCGGAGTATACTGTGGGTGAGTGGGGTACTCAAGTTAAACTGTGGCATGGTATCTCAGTGGGCTAGCACTATAAAATCGGCATTAATCCGGACTAGTGCAAGCACACACACACACACACACACACACACACACACACACACACACACACACACACACACACACACACACACACACACACACACACACACACACACACACACACACACACACACACACACACACACACACGTGTGCATGCATGTCGCTATAGAAGTGCAATTATCTTGGCCGCGACGTTAAACCCCATTTCACCTCACCTCTTATTATCTGAGGCAGTATTATGACGATGTGATAATGGCTTTAAAATACCTGATATCCAATAATCTTGCCCTTGACCGCTGCCCTTGTGTCGTCCACGGCGTCGAAGTAGACAACGATTGCTGTAGCGTTGTAGGTGTCGATCCAGATATTGTTGGGTGTCGCGTAGGGCACTGGGTACACAGAAAGAGGGCGAGTAACTCTTCTGAGGATATTGCAAAACACATACTCCTCTCTTCTGGGGATATTGCATAACACATACTACTCTCTTCTGGGGATATTGCATAACACATACTACTCTCTTCTGGGGATATTGCATAACACATACTACTCTCTTCTGGGGATATTGCAAAACACATACTCCTCTCTTCTGAGGATATTGCATAACACATACTCCTCTCTTCTGGGGATATTGCATAACACATACTCCTCTCTTCTGGGGATATTGCATAACACATACTACTCTCTTCTGGGGATATTGCATAACACATACTACTCTCTTCTGGGGATATTGCAAAACACATACTCCTCTCTTCTGAGGATATTGCATAACACATACTCCTCTCTTCTGGGGATATTGCATAACACATACTCCTCTCTTCTGGGGATATTGCATAACACATACTACTCTCTTCTGGGGATATTGCAAAACACATACTCCTCTCTTCTGAGGATATTGCATAACACATACTCCTCTCTTCTGAGGATATTGCATAACACATACTCCTCTCTTCTGAGGATATTGCATAACACATACTACTATCTTCTGAGGATATTGCATAACACATACTACTCTCTTCTGGGGATTTTGCATAACACATACTCCTCTCTTCTGGGGATATTGCATAACACATACTACTCTCTTCTGGGGATATTGCATAACACATACTACTCTCTTCTGGGGATATTGCAGAACACATACTCCTCTCTTCTGGGGATATTGCATAACACATACTACTCTCTTCTGGGGATATTGCATAACACATACTCCTCTCTTCTGGGGATATTGCATAACAGATATTCCTCTCTTCTGGGGATATTGCATAACACATACTCCTCTCTTCTGGGGATATTGCATAACACATACTCCTCTCTTCTGGGGATATTGCATAACACATACTCCTCTCTTCTGGGGATATTGCATAACACATACTCCTCTCTTCTGGGGATATTGCATAACACATACTACTCTCTTCTGAGGATATTGCAGAACACATACTACTCTCTTCTAAGGATATTGCAGAACACATACTACTCTCTTCTGAGGATATTGCAGAACACATACTACTCTCTTCTGAGGATATTGCATAACACATACTACTCTCTTCTGAGTATATTCTGTGATACGTTCTACTGGTTATATTCTGTGATATGTTCTACTGAGTATATTCTGTGATACGTTCTACTGAGTATATTCTGTAATATGTATATTCTGTGATACGTTCTACTGAGTATATTCTGTGATATGTTCTACTGAGTATATTCTGTGATACATACGACTTTCGGCTGAGTAGATGACGGCTACTGTGGAGTTGGGCCCCGGACCCAGTCTGTTGAACGCCTCAACCATCACCTCGTACTCCAAGTAGTAGTTCTGGTCGCCGACGACGACCGTGACGGTGCCGATACGGCCGGTGACGTTCACCTACAAAAGTACACATCTCATGATAGTCGAACACTTATTTTTGTATACTGATACAAAGTACTCGGTACATTTCAAATTTTGTACCTACATGCACTATGTATGTTACATGCACAGTTCGAGTGTTTTTTTTCTCTATAATGCATTTAGGCTAGAGTAATGATAAACAAAGTGTCACGTTGGTGTTGAAGTTACAGTCTGACATAAGTATATGCCAAACCTAATCAACGTCCATTTCGTTGGGAAATACCCTTTTGAATGCCGGAGTCGTTGTGTTTAAGTGCGTGTTAGTCTTGCCAACTTTTGATAACAGTATGGCTGTATTAAACCTTCTTTACAATTCGTCATAGGGTATAATTTTGAATAAATGCAAATATTTCCTGAATTCATGCAAATATTTCCTGAATTAATGCAAATATTTTCCAAACAGTTACTTATTCGTAACTAGAACCACTGTGCGGCGTGAAACAACAAACAAACAAACAAACAAACAAACTGACCATGAACATTATGATATCTGCCACACTGTGTAACGTACCCGCTGCCACAAGTCATCCACGTTCAGTTTCCTCCGCCAGAACACATAGTACCCGATCGCCGGCCCGCTCTCATCCTCCAGCAACAGTGGCTGGAATATAACATAGTCAATGAAGGGTTACTCCCCTTGGCAAGAGGTCATCCTTAGCGTGACGTGGTATTGCAACAATACCGATAAAAGCCCTTTTCTCTGTTTGTTTTTATGTTATGTTTTTATGATATTTTCTGTTTTCCCTGGAATACCCACCTCCCACGTGATGGTCAGCGTTCCCACTCTGCCTCCCCCACCCCCTACCTCCAGGGGGGGCACCACAGGGGCAGCACTTGGCAGCCGGTACATGCCTGCAAAGACAGGAAGACTGATATGTACATCGCTGTTGCAGTGACATGTAGGCTGTGATATGTACAACGCTGTTGCAGTGACATGTACAACGCTGTTGCAGTGACATGTAGGCTGTGATATGTACAACGCTGTTGCAGTGACATGTACAACGCTGTTGCAGTGACATGTAGGCTGTGATATGTACAACGCTGTTGCAGTGACATGTACAACGCTGTTGCAGTGACATGTAGGCTGTGATATGTACAACGCTGTTGCAGTGACATGTACAACGCTGTTGCAGTGACATGTAGGCTGTGATATGTACAACGCTGTTGCAGTGACATGTACAACGCTGTTGCAGTGACATGAAGGCTGTGATATGTACAACGCTGTTGCAGTGACATGTAGGCTGTGATATTTACAACGCTGTTGCAGTGACATGTAGGCTGTGATATGTACAACGCTGTTGCAGTGACATGTAGGCTGTGATATGTACAACCCTGTTGCAGTGACATGTAGGCTGTGATATGTACAGCGCTGTTGCAGTGACATGTAGGCTGTGATATGTACAACGCTGTTGCAGTGACATGTAGGCTGTGATATGTACATCGCTGTTGCAGTGACATGTAGGCTGTGATATGTACAACGTTGTTGCAGTGACATGTAGGCTGTGATATGTACAATGCTGTTGCAGTGACATGTAGGCTGTGATATGGACAGCGTTGTTGCAGTGACATGTAGGCTATGATATGTACAACGCTGTTGCAGTGACATGTAGGCTGTGATATGTACAACGCTGTTGCAGTGACACGTAGGCTGTGATATGTACAATGCTGTTGCAGTGACACGTAGGCTGTGATATGTACAGCGCTGTTGCAGTGACATGTAGGCTGTGATGTGTACAGTACTATTGCAGTGACATGTAGGCTGTGATATGTACAACGCTGTTGCAGTGACATGTAGGCCGTGATATGTACAACGCTGTTGCAGTGACATGTAGGCTGTGATATGTACAACGCTGTTGCAGTGACATGTAGGCTGTTATATGTACAACGCTGTTGCAGTGACATGTAGGCTGTGATATGTACAATGCTGTTGCAGTGACATGTAGGCTGTGATATGTACCCGTTGTTGCAGTCACATGTAGGCTGTGATATGTACAATGCTGTTGCAGTGACATGTAGGCTGTGATATGTACAACGCTGTTGCAGTGACATGTAGGCTGTGATATGTACCCCGTTGTTGCAGTCACATGTAGGCTGTGAAATGTACAACGCTGTTGCAGTGACATGTAGGCTGTGATATGTACAACGCTGTTGCAGTGACATGTAGGCTTTGATATGTACAACGCTGTTGCAGTGACATGTAGGTTGTGATATGTACAGCGCTGTTGCAGTGACATGTAGGCTGTGATATATACAACGTTGTTGCAGTGGCATGTAGGCTGTGATATGTACATCGCTGTTGCAGTGACATGTAGGCTGTGATATATACAACGTTGTTGCAGTGGCATGTAGGCTGTGATATGTACATCGCTGTTGCAGTGACATGTAGGCTGTGATATGTACAACTCTGTTGCAGTGACATATAGGCTGTGATATGTACAACGCTGTTGCAGTGACATGTTTAATCTTCTGCTGACTGATTTCAAGCAAATACCCCTTGAGCTTTGTCTTCAAATCAGCAGATTGTTTCAATATTTACATCAGTTTCCCATGAGAGGATCAATCATGTCCAAAGTATCATAGTACGTTCCATCAGACCCATGAAGATCCGGGGTAGAATAGGTCTTCAGCAACCCATGCTTGCCGTAGTAAAAGGCAAACTTGCTTGTCGTTAGAGGCGACTAACGGAATCGGGTGATCAGGCTCGCTGACGTGGTTGATGCATGACATCTTATCCCAATTGCATGGATCGATGCTCATGATGTCATTCACTGGATTGTCTGGTCCAGACTCGATTATTTACAAACCGCCGTCATATAGCTTGAATATTGCTGAGTGCGACGTTAAACAACAAACAAACGTTCCATCAATGGACGTGAAATGGACAGAAACAATAACACTAAAGCTACGTATTGCAGCATATTTGAATTTTATTGACTGGCCTGAACAATGTACACTATCACGGTACTAGATACCAACTTCGTGTAGTGTTCCCTGACGTACTGTACTAAACACTGCACCTACAACCTACTGAGTGTTCCCTGACGTACTGTACTAATCACTGCACCTACAACCTCCTGTAGTGTTCCCTGACGTACTGTACTAAACACTGCACCTACGACCTACTGTAGTGTTCTCTGACGTACTGCACTAAACACTGCACCTACAACCTCCTGTAGTGTGCCCTGACGTACTGCACTAAATACTGCACCTACGACCTCCTGTAGTGTTCCCTGACGTACTGTACTAAACACTGCACCTACAACCTCCTGTAGTGTATTCTGACGTACTGCACTAAACACTGCACCTACAACCTGCTGAGTGTTCCCTGACACACTGTACTAGACACTGCACCTACAACCTACTGAGTGTTCCCTGACGTACTGTACTAAACACTGCACCTACAACCTCCTGTAGTGTTCCCTGACGTACTGTACTAAACATTGCACCTACAACCTCCTGTAGTGTATTCTGACGTACTGCACTAAACACTGCACCTACAACCTGCTGAGTGTTCCCTGACGTACTGCACTAAACACTGCACCTACAACCTCCTGTAGTGTATTCTGACGTACTGCACTAAACACTGCACCTACAACCTGCTGAGTGTTCCTTGACACACTGTACTAGACACTGAACCTACAACCTACTGAGTGTTCCCTGACGTACTGCACTAAACACTGCACCTACAACCTCCTGAGTTCCCGGACTTACTGCGCTAAACACTTCACCTACGACCTACTGAGTTCCCGGACTTACTGGAGTGAATGCTGGGGTCTCCGTGGCCGAACATGTTAGCTGCGAGGACCCGGAACCTGTAGGCGGTGCCTGGACGGAGGGACGCCAGCTTCGTTATCTTCCTGTCGGGGTTCTCGTCGTCCAGCGTCTCTGTGACACCCAGACCTGGAGAGGACACACCTTGGAGTAAGTTAGCGATTATTCAAGCAGCTCCAGACTTTGGTGTTTACATTTCACAACTTTTGAGATACAATGGGCAATCTCTTTCCACCATGTTTTCATACGACTCTTGCTTATAAGTTGTTTGGTAGACACCTTTTTATACCGAAACGTCGCTTTTTACAGTATTAAAGAAGTTGTTGTCCATAAAATTGTGTCGACCTTGTCACCCGTCAACTTCTAAGTAATGCCTATCAAACAAGTTGTTTGATCAAGGTTACAACATTCAAATCCTCAATAAAGCTTTCAAAACGTTTTATGGTAGACATGTGCAGGACATTAACACATTTGACGCATCAGTGACAAAAATAATTTTTCAGATGAATATTTCACTTTCCTTTGCATGTGTTTGTGATGGGTGCCACCGGAGGGTAAGGATACACTCACCGTTTCGCGAACACCTGGTATCATCACTAATTGATTCATAAACACGTGCTCGTGATGTAGTCGGAATCTTACTGCCGACTGTTTTATGCAGGGATGTCTATTGGATATGAAAAGGGTTTTGTCGCTTTATTTACACGACTTACCAAAACGTAAACTGCCCTATTTCACTATATAACGGCAAAAGGTACAACATAGAATAGTCAGAAATAGAATATTTCTCTTCGTACAGATCTGCAACGCCCACGTAATCAGAAACTAATATATATTAGAGGTTGTGTTAGGTACACACCAACACGTTAGATCAAAACTTGTGTAGTGCTTCAATGTCTTAAGCGTTAAGTGTACGCACGTTGTATCATAACTCTCCAGTTGCTGTTGAAGTTGGTGTTGAACTCAACGATGTAGTAGATAATGGGGCTGCCCCTGTCGGTGCCGTCTGTCCAGTGCAAATTGAGCGCCATGCCCTCCTGGTCACAGTACACCCCCGCGGGCTCCCCCGGAGGACCTGGCCACACAGTCAACAGTTGTACAGGCATGGTTTACATGTTTTCCATAGACATTAACTATATTCCCCTGAGTCCCTCTCCTTTAATGAGTGAGTGAGTGAGTATGGTTTTACGCCGCTTTTAGCAATATTCCACGGCGGGGACACCAGAAATGGGCTCCACATACTGTACCCATTTCGGGAATCGAACCCGGGTCTTCGGCGTGATGAGCGAACGTTTTAACCAGTAGGCTACCCGACCGCCCCTCTCCTTAAATGAGGACCGTGCTGAATATACGACTTAGGTTATCGTCAAGTTCCCTACGAATTATATCTCTGGAGTATGATTGTAACGTGGAGCGCAGAACTCCCCCCCCCCCCCCCCCCCCCAACCCCTCAAAAAAGAAAAGACCTAAAGAAAGAACAAAAAACGAAAAGAAACCAAAAACACACACAAGGTAAACAACAACATCATCAACAACAAACAAACAACAAATAATAAAAATATATTAATAAGAAACGAAACTAATCAGATTGTTATTAATCCGTGTTTTATATGAACGAGAACATGTATAATGTGTTAAGATAATCGATGTTAGGCACGCGGAACGTGTTTTGAGGCTAAAATACCACGTGTCTTGATATATTTAGAGTTGTCTAACATCAAAACATGGGCCATCGAGATGGGCCATACTGAGTAAGTGAGTGAGTGAACAGTCAGTATTTCGGATAAGATGATCTTTATGAAATGTCAGGAAATACACACGTATGGTCAAAAACGTTTGAAGTGATACACATAAATAAGAGAAAGTATGGATGTCAACGTCTTTATTGTGATGAAGATGTTGACATCCATCAATTCTCTTCCTCGTTGTGTGATAGTATTTTTTAAAGCTAATTTTCATTTTTGAAGCTAATACTGGTTTTGTCATCAATCACTTGATCGACTAGTCCGATTATTTAGATCTACATTTGTTTATGTTCAAGAATTTGGTACAGTAAATATTACTGTGCGTCGGGGACGCAATATATATTTTTCACACACACACACACACACCCCTCACACACACGCGTCACACACCTTGCACGGTGAGCGTGGCTGATGCTGACGCTGTGTCTTCAACTGTCTCTGCTAAACACGTATATTCTCCTGAATGAATGAACTGCGCATTCCGGATGTAGAGACCCCGGATGTTGTCTCGTATTCCCTGGAAGAGACCATGTGTATACGGGTAGCGTCATGCATATATGGGTAGCTACATTCAAACACACAGTGAGTGAGTTTGGTTTAACGTCGAATATCAGTTACATGTACATGACGTCGTGCTGGCTTGATGTGGAAGGAAACACACGAGCATAGGTTCCTGGTGCGCCTGAGGGACGCAACTCTGCACACCGAGTTCCGACATTAAGACGACTGGGCCCCCTGTGCACCGTGCAAGATAATAACAAACTTACTCTCATTTGGCCAATGTTAAAAAAAACCCAGAGGAGTGAGATATACCGTTATAGAACAAACTTGTCCAGTCTTCATCACTAAACACTCGTTACATTGTAAATAAGATAACTTGTCGAAAACCAACATTGACCTACGTTCACATCTCAACTAAGTAGATAAAATATGTCTCTCCAGACCACGGTTAGTGAATATTTATGTACATACCTGGACAAAATAGGAATTATGACTGATGTCAATAGGGTGGCCATTAAACCTCCAGGCGTAAACGAGGTCGTAACGTGAGTTGTCGAAGGAGGCCTCGCAGTAGAGGAAGGCGGTGTTGTTGACGATGACCCTGGTGTCGACAGGAACTTGGCTGATCTCAGTCCGCGCTGTCGCAATGCACAGGGTTTACCGTTATAAGCAATTAAACCGTTAACAACTATCTCACAAATTGTTACACTGACTACTAGTATATATAACATTTAAAGTATGGAGTGGCTTCGAGGGCATAATCGGTTTAGTGTTCACAATTGCTTAAAGATGAAGACGATCCCAAATACTACAGCTCATTGTCTTGACGGTGTAAATAGCGACTTGTGTGAAACTAAGACAGTTTCTGTCCTCATGTATTGCTAGATTGGCCAGGTTACTCAGTGTGAGAAGAAGTATATATAGTAACCACTCGAGTAACACTTGCCAGTACCGGACCCCAAGGCACCAGAAATGAGCTTCATAATTGTACCAATGTTGGGAATTGAACCCGGGCCTTCGGCGAGACGAGCGAACGCGTTAACCACTAGGCTACCCCATCGCTGCGAAGGGACGAGGGTTTGTTTGTTGTTTAACGCCGCAATATTCCAGCTATATGACCGCGGTCTGTACATATTCGAGACTGGACCAGACAATCCAGTGATTGACATCATGTGCATCAATCTACGCAGTTGGGATACGATAACATGTATCAAGCAAGTAAACGCGCCTGACCACCCGATCCCGTTAGTCGCCTCTTACTACAAGCATGGGTTGGTAAAGACGTATTCTACCCCGTATCTTCACGGGTCAAAGGGGCAAGGGACTCACCCGACACTAACAGGGTGGCTTGACTGGAGTCTGACCCCTCGGTGTTGGTGGCGGTACACGTGTACTGCCCGGCATCCCCTGACGTTACCGAGGTGATGAGCAGGTTCCCGTTGTGCAGCAGCTGCAGCCGTCCCATGACCCCTTCGGTGAGGCCAAGGTCACGGCCGTCGCGGGACCACTTGAAGTCGGGTTTAGGTGCTGCCTCAGGGTTGCAGATCATGGTGACGTTGCCGCCGATGCTGGCGACCTTGTCAGTGACGGGCTGTTTGGAGAAGATGGGGGCGAACGCTGAAAGACAACAGGGCACTGCATGGAAGAAACAGTCTTCTGGTTTCCTTAACATTTCCAACCCAGTTAGTGTGTCCTCAGATAGCTTTTAAATGTAATCCAGTCAGGGTGGAACTCTTTCTGTGAGTTAGGAAACAACTTCTTTGAGTGGCATTTAGAAGTTGGAATGGTAACTAAGACAAAATTGTTTTGGATGAGCAACTTCTTTATTTCAATTGGGCGACGTTTCGGTGTAGATTCTAACACCGTTATCAAGCAAATGATGTACAAACTACGAAACCGAAACGTCGCCCAAGTGTAATAAAGAAGTTGCTCATCCATAACAATTTTGTCTTAGTTAGGAAACAGTTTGTTTCACAATGTATGTTGACGCATTGTAGCTGAAAAGCTACGAAACAATTCGACACAGGAATGTCTGTTCCGTGAGAAATAGTTCCTAGAGTTACAATACCTGCTGACAGACAGATTTAACGGTGTTCCTCATAATGCTAAACACATTTATTTGTTCCAATGATTAGGGTGCCGTTGTACAAAGCGATCTTAGCGCTAAGCTAATCGTAACGCCTTCACCCTAACATAGGCTTACAACCGCCTTAGCGCTTGTTTTGAAATAAAGCAGCCTGATCTTCGATTCGTCCACAGAACGCCGTGATATAACTGGAATAATGTTAAAAGCGGCGTTAAACCCAACTCACTCACTCGATTCGTCCACAGAACAAAAGATCGTAGATTAAAACACGCACCCAAGCACGCACGCACGAACGCACGCACACGCACACTCAAAAGATACATTTTGTACGCACGCAAGCTCATACTTTGTAATACACACACGCACATACATTTGGTACGTACACAAAACCTTCAGCTCGGCAGTACTGAACGATTCCCCATGCATGTTTTTCGCTGAACACTGGTACATGCCGTTGTGTTTGTCGGCGTTAGCATTCTTGATGGTGAGGACGTTACCGGAGATCTCAACGTCGCCAGGAGTTGATGTCAGCAGTACCGTGTCTTTGTACCAGGTATACTCTGCTGACGGAATAGCGGTAGCCTGGCAACGCCATGTCGTCTGACTCCCTACGTCCAGGAATTGGTCTTGCAGTGGAAACATGAAATATGGCCTCGCTGAAACGTTGAAAGGAACAGTTATCATTGTCTGTTTTGGCACATATTCTGCTATAGGAATAGGTAGGGGCAAGTATCCGACCTGACATGAATGTCGAACATGCTAGGACCCATTTTACTACTTTCAACGGACCCCGCTAACATGGAATAGACTAGAACTATTGGCACTACATTTGCGACATACCATAGACGCAATTCTCCGGATACCTACGAACATTTTCGAATGCAATTGATCTGGGGGAACTCTATGTTTGTTTTCTGTTTGCTATAAATGCTTTAGCGTGGAATCAAATTTTAAGCATGCACGTAAAAGACGTATCTGGTATATAATTAGGTGGGATACATTCGTTGTCGACCGCCTCCGTGGTCTAGTGGTAGACCGTCCGCCCGGAGAGCGGAAGGTCGGGCGTTCGGGGCCCGGCCGCGCCATACCAAAGGGCGCTCGGCATTAAGGGGCTAATACAAGGACTGGTCGGCTCGGAGTCAGTATACTGTGTCTGAGTGGGGTATTAATGTTAAACTGGTATGGTATCTCAGTGGACGAGCACTATAAATCGGCAGACTAGTACCAGCAGCCACACATACACATACCGCACGTGGATGCACGTCGCTATATAAGTGCAATAATTTTGGACGCGACGTTAAACCCCATTTCACCTCACTTATCATTCGTTGTCCATTGGTCACTTCTGACTTGGGGAACATGAAACTAACATGGAGAGTACATGCACCCCCACCAACCACACCCCCCAAACAACACCACTGTCCAGAGCAATGCCCGCGTCAAGACTCACATTCAATCGTGACGAAGAGGGGCTTTATGTCCGCTGCGCTGGCGCCTCTGTTGACGTGGCAGGTGTAGTTGCCGCCGTCCTCCACCCTGACGTCGTCAATCAGCAGCACCCGGTTGTGGTCTGCGAGGTGGGAGTTGTGGGGTAGGCCGATGTTGGTGATGCCGTCACCGCGGGTCCACGAGTAGTACATGGGGAGCCTAGGTAAGTAAGATAGTTTGTTTGTTTATTTGTTGTTTAACACCGCACTCATCAATATTTCAGCTGTATGACGGCGGTCGGTATATAATCGAGTATGGACCAGACAATCCTGTGATTGACATCATGCGCATCGATGCACGCAATACGATGACATTCATCAACCAAGTCAGATCCCGTTAGTCGCCTCTTACGACAAGCATAGTCGGCTTTTACGGCAAGTATGGACATAAAGGCGTGTTTCGCACACGGCGTTTGCACTATTTTACTGGGGGATATATGAAAAAAGGTTATTAATTAGGTTAAAGTGCAAACCTCCCAAAACGTCAAGATAAGTGGGACCTACAAACTAAAGGTTTGGTTGGGCTTGGACTGGGTGGGGGGAGGGTAGTTAAAGAATAATAGTTGATAATATAAGACAGCTGCGCGATAAATCGCAAAGATTAATGAAGATAGATAATTTCACCATAAAACATTGTTATTCCGTCATTTCTGGAGAAGCGGACATGCGCTCGCAACTTGATGACGCCGTACATTGGACGTAAAACAGATTTGTCCGACATTTCCGAGGTCGGATTCAATTGAGGGAGTCATTATTACAATTTTGGTAAATATTTTTAAATGTTATTAACATCCTTAAAGAGGCTGTACATTAAGTTGATATCTGCGCCCTTCATGGTTTATTCTCCCTGCGGTCTTTTATTGTACGATAAACAACGATAACAACAATACCACGAACCGTATATCCTATATACTTACAGCACAAGCTTCACTGTGTACATTACATCTGCAGGTTTTAATGTGAATAATACATATTTCAGACGTTTTACGGTTCATACTGTATTCTTTTGGCACAGCATATAACTTATAGGACTCGTTCTTCTGTATAAAGTGTACATGAACACATTAAACATGCTGTTGATCCGTGAAGATCCGGGGTAGGATAGGTCTTCAGCAACCCATGCTTTCTGTAAAAGGTGACTATGCTTGTTGTTAGAGGCGACTAACGGGATCGGGTGGTCAGGTTCGCTGACGTGGTTGATGCATGTCATGGTATCCCAATTGGGTGGATCGATGCTCATGATGTCAGTCACGGGGTTGTCTGGTCCAGAGTCTATTATCTACAGACCGCCATCATATAGCTGGATTATTGCTGCGTGCGGCGTTAAATAACAAATAAACAAACAAACTGAACACAGTGTACATGTTCTCCTGTGTATCGTAAACATGCTGTACTGTGTTTAATTTGTAGAGTGCGATTCGCTGTGCAGAGTTGCGTCCCTTGGGCACGCCAGAAACCTATGATTGTGGGTTCGAATCCCCGTCCGACACGATTATGTTTCTAGGTTTGTCAGCACCATACCTGTGCTCGTGGTAAACGTCTGGGACCTGCATCACTTCGGGCTTTCCTCCCACATTAAGCTGACACACCGTGATATAACTGCAATACTGTTAAAAGCGGCGTTAAACCCAACTCACTCACTCACTCGTGTGTATAGCGTTCATATGTACTGTGTATATGACTAGTGCGCCCTTACTTTCCGTATGCCAGACACTCCAGTCGGATGTTCTGTCCCCTCAGGGGGGGACTGGGGAAAACTGCTGGGAAGTCGTTGTGGATGGTGGGCCCGAAGTCCATGGCGGCTGAAACGGTCATGTTTAATTTACAGATACTTCATATTGACAAGGGGCTGTCGGGGAACCTGTTGGTTAAAGCATTCGCGCGTCACACCGAAGACCCGGGTTCGATTCCCCACATGGGTACAATGTGTGAAGCCCATTTCTGGTGTCCCCCGCCGTGATATTGCTGGAATATTGCTAAAAGCGGCGTAAAACCACACTCACTCGCTGTTATTGACAATGAGCGACCTGAAGCTCAATGTACTCCTCGTTTCTCACCTAGCGGAAAAATAAAGTTGTGTGTCTACAGATTGATACAAGTAAACAAGAACACGTTACTGATGGCCCTTTCTAACAGTCCCTTGAACTCGGTTACCACTCAACAATGAACAGTTCGAAGAATACAATATTCTGGCTCTTACTTTCTCCTCCCACTTTGAGCTCTATGCCGAGGCTGGTTCTCGAGGGGGGTTGGGACGTGGCCATCACCTGCCCCGAGGGCACGGACAGTGTGACCACACAGTGGTAGAAGCCAGCGTCCGACTGCTGGGCCTCAGACAGGTACAGGTTCCCGTTATGGGAGATGAACTGGTAATCATTCAGCTCAGGCCGGACGAAGTGCGCAGCATCCTTCTTGTACCACTGGTACGTCAGTGCTAGATACACACACAAAGATGTATAACCTTGGTACGTCAGTGCTAGATACACAGACACAGATAACCCTGGTACGTCAGTGCTAGATACAAACACAAAGATGTATAAACTTGGTACGTCAGTGCTAGATACACACACAAAGATGTATAACCTTGGTACGTCACTGCTAGATACGCACACAAAGATGTATAACCTTTGTACGTCTGTGCTAGATACACACACAAACACAGATAACTATGGTACGTCAGTGCTAGATACACACACAAACATTTATAACCCTGGTACGTCAGTGCTAGATACACACAAACACTTATAACCCGAGTTCCTCAGTGCTATTTACAACTCACAAGCCTCTTATAACCCCGGTTCGTCAGTGCTAGATACACACAAACACTTATAACCCCGGTTCGTCAGTGCTAGATACAACTCACAAACATTTATATCCCCGGTTCGTCAGTGCTAGATACACACAAGCCTCTCATAACCCCGGTTCGTCAGTGCTAGATATAACTCACAAACATTTATAAACCCGGTTCGTCACTGCTAGATACAACTCACAAACACTAATAACCCCGGTTCGTCAGTGCTAGATACAACTCACAAACACCTATACCGCTGGTTCGTCAGTGCTAGATACACACAAACACTTATAACCCCGGTTCGTCAGTGCTAGATACAACTCACAAGCCTCTTATAACCCTGGTTTGTCAGTGATAGATACAACTCACAAGCCTCCTATAACCCTGGTTCGTCAGTGCTAGATACAACTCACAAGCCTCCTATAACCCTGGTTTGTCAGTGCTAGATACAACTCACAAACATTTATAACCCCGGTTCGTCAGTGCTAGATACAACTCATAAGCCTCTTATAACCCTGGTTTGTCAGTGCTAGATACAACTCACAAACATTTATAACCTGGTTCGTCAGTGCTAGATACAACTCACAAGCATTTATTACCCCGGTTCGTCAGCGCTAGATACACAAACATTTATTACCCCGGTTCGTCAGTGCTAGATACAACTCACAAACATTTATAACCCTGGTTCGTCAGTGCTAGAAATAACTCACAAATACTTATACCGCTGGTTCGTCAGTGCTAGATACAACTCACACGCCTCTTATAACCCTGGTACGTCAGTGCTAGATACAACTCACAAACATTTATAACCCTGGTTCGTCGGTGCTAGATACACACAAACACTTATAACCCCGGTTCGTCAGTGCTAGATACAACTCACAAGCCTCTTATAACCCTGGTTCGTCAGTGCTAGATATAACTCACAAACATTTATAAACCCGGTTCGTCACTGCTAGATACAACTCACAAACATTTATAACCCCGGTTCGTCAGTGATAGATACAACTCAGAAACCTCTTATAACCCTTGTTCGTCAGTGCTAGATACAACCCACAAGCCTCTTATAACCCTGGTTCGTCAGTGCTAGATACAACTCACAAACATTTATTACCCTGGTTCGTCAGTGCTAGATACACACACAAACACTTATACACTAGTACGTCAGTGCTAGATACACACACAAACACTTATACCGCTGGTTCGTCAGTGCTAGATACACACACAAACACTTATACCGCTGGTTCGTCAGTGCTAGATGCACACACAAACACTTATACCGCTGGTTCGTCAGTGCTAGATACACACACAAACACTTATTACCCTGGTTCGTCAGTGCTAGATACACACACAAACACTTATAACCCTGGTTCGTCAGTGCTAGATACACACACAAACACTTATACACTAGTACGTCAGTGCTAGATACATACACAAACACTTATACCGCTGGTACGTCAGTGCTAGATATACACACAAACACTTATTACCCTGGTTCGTCAGTGCTAGATACACACACAAACACTTATACACTAGTACGTCAGTGCTAGATACACACACAAACACTTATTACCCTGGTTCGTCAGTGCTAGATACACACACAAACACTCATACCGCTGGTTCGTCAGTGCTAGATACACACACAAACACTTATTACCCTGGTTCGTCAGTGCTAGATACACACACAAACACTTATACACTAGTACGTCAGTGCTAGATACACACACAAACACTTATACCGCTGGTACGTCAGTGCTAGATACACACACAAACACTTATACCGCTGGTTCGTCAGTGCTAGATACACACACAAACACTTATACCGCTGGTTCGTCAGTGCTAGATACACACACAAACACTTATTACCCTGGTTCGTCAGTGCTAGATACACACACAAACACTCATACCGCTGGTTCGTCAGTGCTAGATACACACACAAACACTTATACCGCTGGTACGTCAGTGCTAGATACATACACAAACACTTATACCGCTGGTTCGTCAGTGCTAGATGCACACACAAACACTTATACCGCTGGTTCGTCAGTGCTAGATACACACACAAACACTTATTACCCTGGTTCGTCAGTGCTAGATACACACACAAACACTTATACCGCTGGTACGTCAGTGCTAGATACACACACAAACACTTATACCGCTGGTTCGTCAGTGCTAGATACACACACAAACACTTATTACCCTGGTTCGTCAGTGCTAGATACACACACAAACACTTATTACCCTGGTTCGTCAGTGCTAGATACACACACAAACACTTATACACTAGTACGTCAGTGCTAGATACACACACAAACACTTATACCGCTGGTTCGTCAGTGCTAGATACACACACAAACACTTATTACCGCTGGTTCGTCAGTGCTAGATACACACACAAACACTTATACCGCTGGTTCGTCAGTGCTAGATACACACACAAACACTTATACCGCTGGTTCGTCAGTGCTAGATACATACACAAACACTTATTACCCTGGTTCGTCAGTGCTAGATACACACACAAACACTTATACCGCTGGTTCGTCAGTGCTAGATACACACACAAACACTTATACCGCTGGTTCGTCAGTGCTAGATACACACACAAACACTTATTACCCTGGTTCGTCAGTGCTAGATACACACACAAACACTTATTACCCTGGTTCGTCAGTGCTAGATACACACACAAACACTTATTACCCTGGTTCGTCAGTGCTAGATACACACACAAACACTTATACACTAGTACGTCAGTGCTAGATACATACACAAACACTTATACCGCTGGTACGTCAGTGCTAGATATACACACAAACACTTATACCGCTGGTTCGTCAGTGCTAGATACACAAACACTTATACCGCTGGTTCGTCAGTGCTAGATACACACACAAACACTTATACCGCTGGTTCGTCAGTGCTAGATACACACACAAACACTTATACCGCTGGTACGTCAGTGCTAGATACACACACAAACACTTATACCGCTGGTTCGTCAGATACAACTCACAAAGACGTGTAAGTTCTGCGAGATTCTCTTTAAATAGCTATTAACAGTTGTGTTAGTCGTGAGATTCACCGGAGTAAATATATACTTCTAGATTTCATAAGAACCATTATCTGTCTCAGGAGTGATATGTCGCCTGCGTGTTTTACCTGGGTTATATGCGGGGACTTTACACATGATGTCCGCTCCCTGGTAGAGTGCGGCGTACAGGGAGCCGGGGGGATCGTTGGAGAACTCGTACAGATCTGCAACAGGCACGGCAAACACGTCCACGCTCACCATAATCTCTGTACGGTAACGTCGCACATCACCATTCATTCATTCATTCATTCAACCCCACAAAACAACATTCAGCTTGATTTCTGTAATGTGACGTCACACGTAATCATTCACCTTCAGCTTGACCTCTGCAATGTGACGTAACATGTCAACACTCAGCATCTCTGTAATGTGACGTCACATGTCAACATTCAGCATCTCTGTAATGTGACGTAACATGTCAACACTCAGCATCTCTGTAATGTGACGTCACATGTCAACATTCAGCATCTCTGTAATGTGACGTCACATGTCAGCATTCAGCATCTCTGTAATGTGACGTCACATGTCAACATTCAGCATCTCTGTAATGTGACGTCACATGTCAACATTCAGCATCTCTGTAATGTGACGTCACATGTCAACATTCAGCATCTCTGTAAAGTGACGTCACATGTCAACACCCCCTCACTACCCCCTCCATCAGTAATAATGTTAAACAAACTCTTGCACGTTTTGGGGATGCTTAAATACTTGTGCATATGTACAATGCATAAACACGTGATCTTTTGCAAAGCAGTAAACATTTAGCTCCCTCCCCGCCCTTTGGATCTGTGTCAAGGAACATGGTTTAACATTTCATTACTTTTATAACATATAGGTGAGGTGAAATGGGGTTTAGTCAAGGTTATTGTACTTGTACAGCGACGTGCATGAACGTGTGTGTGTGTGTGTGTGTGTGTGTGTGTGTGTGAGTGAGAGAGACTGCCTGGACTAGTCCGGACTGATGCCTATTTTGTAATGCTAGCCCACTGAGGTACCGTGTCGCGGTTTACCATGAATACCCCACTCAGACACAGTATCCTAACTCCGAGCCGACCAGTTAATCTCCTTAATGCTGAGCGCCATACTGGGAAGCAACAAGTACCATCTTTTAACATCTTTTGGTATGACGCGACCGGTGATCGAACCCCTGACCTTACGCTCTCCGGGCGGACGCTCATAGCATATACGTGTGAGTGAGTGAGTTAACAGTTCTCACGTTATATCACGGCGTGTCAGCTTAATGTGGGAGGAAAGCCCGAAGTGATGCAGGTCAAAGACGGTACCCACGAGCACGGGCATGGTGCTGACAAACATTGAAACATAACGGAGGCAAACCAGGATTCGAACCACAATCATAGATTTCTGGCGTATCCATAGGACGCAACTCTGCATAACGAATTGCGGCGCTTACACGACTGGACCACCCTTGCCCCCCCTAAGTAATAAGAAGATTGTGAAACACCGTACATCCAAATGACACCTGAATTGGGTCGCTGATGATCCTCCCGACAGAGTTGGTAGCAGTGCACTGGTAGCTCCCCAGGTCCAGTGTTGAATCCGGGGCCTGGATAGTCAGTCTGCCATTGGTTAACGTGTAACGTTCATCTACCGATGACGTCACTTCCGTTTGCTTGGCGGTGCCATAACTCTTGTACCATTTGAATGTCGGCTGAGGAGTTCCGGACGCTCTGCACTCGATGGAAGCGGTGGGGTTGCGGCCGGCGATGACGATGTCGGGGTGACGGTTGAGAAACTTTGGGCCACGCGGAATGCGGCTTGGGTCTGTGACGTCTTGGCCATACGCTGACAGGACGGAAAGAAGTGATTGAGTGAGTAAGTGAATTAGGAGATAAACCTACTGTGTTTTGAAATTTGATGTTGTACCACTGTAGATTACATACCTCTTATGTAAATTAGGAACCGGGCGCTTCAGCAAAGTAGTTATAAATTGAGCAAGTATTACTAAAGTTCAAAGTTCAAATAATCACTTGACTATTTCGAATCATGGTTAAAGAACCTCACAGTTTTTCAAAATGAAGTTGCCAAATAACCCTCTAAAGATATTAATTTAATTTTACCGCAATCTGTTGTATATTTGTACTGTTTGGACTCAACCAAACCACTTCTTGGAAATCGACACCGCACGTGATTTCTTGGAAGTCAGCGCGACAGGTAATTTCGTAGAGGAGACTGTTCTCGTAACTCTCCATTCCTTAAAAGTAATAGGCCCCTACTTAAAACACAAACCTACTTTTACACTTTTACTCTCTTTTGGAAAATATTTGAAAAATATATCTATATATAACTCTTTGTAGACTGTATTTATTCTGTGTGAGTCGTCCTTGCAGTAATGCACGAGGAATTCGTTCTCTGTCGCTGTTGCACGTGCACCAAGCACCGTCGCGAGCTGACATTTACAATGCATAGTACACGGCTCTTCATAACTTTGTGAGGGTCCTATACCAGTATTTTATTACTCGCTTGCACGTTATAAATACATGCTGACAGGCATTATAGAAAATCTAGAGCCCTTAACAAGCATATGTATGTTTACCTGATTATTCTTTTCGTCAAAAGTTTATCTGATTGCTTTTATATATGAACATGGTTTTAGGTAACCTGCTGCAATCCAACATTATCTACATATTTTTCTAGCTTTTAAGGATAATGCAAATATTTGAAAATATTTAATAGTTAATTTCACAAGCGATGCGGGGGCTGGCGACACATGTGTTCCGTCATTATTTTATATCATTCACATGTAAAAATATATAAAGAACAGTTCAGTCTATTCAAAGTGTAAACTACTTGAAATGTTGGTTCAAGATAACGTATAATTAACAAACACCTGCAAAACATTCCTGCAAAATAATGGAGGGTTTAACCAATAGAACGACATCACAGTTGTGTTTTAATTGGGAATCAGCATGACATGACATGCTGAAGGAAATGCTGAACAAATTTATTTCTCCAACGAACTTGATTAAATAACCGGAATTTAGTTATTTTGAAGTTGTTCTCAGGTAGCAGTTGGGTTGAAACATTCCCTCAACAATAATACACATTACGGAGGACTAGTTCTCCACCCCGAGCTTGGGGCGGTCGGGTAGCCTAGTGGTTAAAGCGTTCGCTCGTCACGCTGAAGACCCGGGTTCGATTCCCGACATGGGTATTATATGTGAAGCTCATTTCTGGTGTCCCCCGCCGTGATATTGCTGGATATGGTGTTAAACCAGACTCAGTCAATCAGTAACATCGAAGCCATTTTTTCAGACCACAATGAAGATAGCCTGTTGTCTGGTTGTGTTGGGTTTGGCCGTGGTGAGGGCGGACCTGCTGAGTCTTCTCAAGAGGGTCCACAACTCCAACACATTCGAACACATTATATGTGAAGTCCATTTCTGGTGTCCCCCGCCGTGATATTGCTGGAATATTGCTAAAAGCGGCGTAAAACCATACTCACTGACTATCTCACCACCCAGAGCCGTTGCTGAGTTTTAGCGGCAGACGATGTCACTAGAGAGACTGTATATTTGTTACCGCTGATTATGTGGCCAAGACACAGTAGTAAGTGTGTGTTCTTCTTGTGGTCATCTCAAAGTGACATTTCTGAAGGTTTTAAATGATGCTCAAATAAATATGTATTTTCAGTCCTTGAATATCACCTTAACGTAAGTTCCAGGTACTTTATATAAGCCTGTAAATATCTATCTGTCATCTCAGACAAAGAACATCGTAACATGATTATTAGACTGGGAGCAGGCCTAGGATTGTTAAAACTGCTGGGTAAAGAAGGTAGGTGGTTAGGACTAGAGTGATCACCACGTGCAGGTCCTGTATGTAAACTTGGTATAGAAGATGAATATCATAACTATTGTGATGACCTCACACAGTGTCACTTACCGACAATATACTATCAATATCCAGCCTTGAATAAGTTTAAGATGCTACTGTCTGGAAACTGTGAACATTGTTAAAGAAACTATGTAAATTCCTGTCGCAACTTATAGAGACAGAGAGTTATAATCGCAGGTTTACCATGATGTATTGAAGTTTGCTGTAATTCCTGTCCCAACTTACAGAGACAGAGAGTTATAATCGCAGGTTTACCATGTATTGAAGTTTGCTGTATAAACTTATGTAAATATCGTGTATATGGTCGAGTGGCCTTCATACGAAATACAAACTTGACTTGACTATTTAACCGTGTTTTCGGAAATAAGTTTCATCATGTGTAGTAAGCTGTTCTGATATCGAACTTTTACAATATTCTAATGGGCTACCGGCAGCCATTGTCACGCGTTGTCTGTCGACAGATCGATGTTTTGGTACGCACGGTTTTTGTGTTTGACTCTGCGAACACCTAGTGTCATCGCTGATTAGTGTTCCCTTCATATAATGTTCACCACTATTTGGCCGTTACGTCCAATGGCGTCTGTTTCACCAGATATTCGAGACTTATTATTCTGTGGCGTATATTTCATGCCAGTGAAACGTATTGCGATATGATGTGAAATGTATACTGGGGTGATTACATATTGAATGAATGAATGAATGAATGAATGAATGAATGAACAAACGAACGAATGTATGAATGAACGGATGAATGGATTATGGATGGATTAAGAATGAATGAATGAATGAATGAATGAATGAATTTTGAATGAATATCTCACTGACGTGACAGGACTTGTAAGACTGACGAGACAGCTCCCTAAGTGATAGGCAAGGCCTGGCACACCGACATGAGTATCAGGCCAGTTTCAGCCCGTGATGTCGTAATCAACTCACTGTAGTCTCGCACAGCCTGTGTTATTCTGAAGGCTTCGTTCCTACTGATCTCACAGATGTATGAGAGAACTGCTCTCTTCGGAGACCGACTCCAACCAAATTCTCCAAGTGGAACTGAAAGCGCAACACAGTTTCTTGTTACTGTATATAAGATATGTGACATGTCGACATGAAGTGTTCACGAAAACATGGTCACGGATAACTTGGGCAAATTCGTTGACCAAATACGACAGCTTAAACATTTACGAATATTTTAAATAACTGAAAACAATATTTACCGGAATATTTATAAACAACGATCTCATTGGTCAGATTATAATCGCTTGCTTCCAACCACCAGTCGTGCTCCTGTTGACTGGAGGAACCGTCGCCCTCCCACTTCAAGCTGAGCTCGCTTCCGGTTCCGCTGGTGAACCACAGATCCTGTCTAAAACAGACATGCTCCGCCTTAACACCTAATAAGATTAGGGGAAGCTAATAGCGACGCTGTACAATTCTTCAATAGTCTTTCAATTTAAACTATAATAGTACCATGACGTGTGTATGTGTCTCTGTGTGTGTGTACTATTTATGAGTGAGTGAGTGAGTTTCAACACCGCTTTAACAGAAGGTCACTTGAGGGTAGGGGAAGAACTAGGTGATGGGGTCATTGACGTTTACTACACGAATACGGATATGATGCTGGAGGAATGTAAACGGGGCGGACTGGAATTTGAACCCACTGCCAGCTTATCCTCTCCCGACTAAGGAACACAACTCCGCATCGCGACCCTTTAGACAAGTAGGTTACCCTTCCTTTGTGTCTATGACTGGGTCTTGTCAAATATAATACAGGCGACTTGACGGTAATACGAAATAAAAACTTGACTTGACTATTTAACTGTGTTTTCGGAAATAAGTTCATCATGTGTAGTAAGCTGTTCTGATATCGAACTTTTACAATATTCTAATGGCATATCGGCAGCCATTGTTACACGCATCAACGCGTTGTCTGTCGACAGATCGATGTTTTCCTACGCACGGTTTTTGTGTTGACTCTGCGAACACCTGCAGCATCGCTGATTTTTGTGTTCCCCTCATATAATGTTCACCACTATTTTTCCTTTTTACGCCCAATGGCGTCTGTTTCAGCAGATAATCGAGACTTATTATTCTATGGCGTATATTTCATGCCATGTGAAACTGTTGTGGGTTACCATGCTAGTAGGGACATACATATCTGGTATTAAGTGTACATATTTAATTAACTCATCCCCATGTCCTCGTCACACAAATCACACTTGGCCGTGACAGGGGGTATATGGAATGAATGGTACCGCTCCCCTCACTAATCACACACTCCGTCACCTCGTCAACCTTTATGACAACCATATGCCAGCCATTACTCGAGTAATAATCTTGGAGAATACTGAGTATATCACGTATCCCGATCACATGTGTACCAGCGAGAAGTAATCTAACCTGTTGCCGTCGTTCTTGGTGAGCCATTGGCTGAGAAACTGGTGCTCCCTGGCATCGTTGACACTCACCAGACTCGCCCCGTCTTCCTGGAGAGAGACACACAACGTCATAACACCAAGCAGACTGATTGACAGAGCATGATAGTGTCTGATTTCTTCAACACTTAACAACATGATAGTGTCCCTGGTTTCTGCAACACTTTACAACATGATAGTGTCTTACTTCCGGAACATTTTACAACATGATAGTGTCTGTGACTTCTGCCATACTTTACAACATAATAGTGTCTGATTTTTTCAACACTTTACAACATGATAGTGTCTAATTTCTGCAAGACTTTACAATATGATAGTGTCTGGCTTCTGGAATACTTTACAACATGATAGTGTCTCTGGCTTCTGGAATACTTTACAACATGATAGTGTCTCTGACTTCTGCAATACTTTACAACATGATAGTATCTCTGGTTTCTTCAACACTTTACAACATGATAGTATCTGATTTTTTCAACACTTTACAACTTGATAGTGTCTGATTTCTTCAACACTTTACAACACTATAGTGTCTGATTTCTTCAACACTTAACAACATGATAGTGTCTGATTTCTTCAACACTTTACAAAACTATAGTGTCTGATTTCTTCAACACTTTACAACACTATAGTGTCTGATTTCTTCAACACTTAACAACATAATAGTGTCTGATTTCTTCAACACTTTACAACATGATAGTGTCTGATTTCTTCAACACTTTACAACATGATAGTGTCTGATTTCTTCAACACTTTACAACACTATAGTGTCTGATTTCTTCAACACTTAACAACACGATAGTGTCTGATTTCTTTAACACTTTACAACACGATAGTGTCTGATTTCTTCAACACTTAACAACATGATAGTGTCTGATTTCTTAAACACTTTACAACATGATAGTGTCTCTGGTTTCTTCAACACTTTACAACATGATAGTGTCTGATTTCCTCAACACTTCACAACACGAGAGTATCTGATATCTTTAACACTTTACAACACGATAGTGTCTGATTTCTTTAACACTTCACAATATGCTAGTGCCTGATTTCATAAACATTTTGTATCATGAAAGTGTCTTATTTCTGATAATGTTCCGACAACAGTTATTATGGGTTGTTATAGGCAACCATTCTTCTTACATCGGTATGTAGGCTATCGATAGATCAATGTTATCACGCGAAAATTTTTGTATGAGAAGTGTCGTTACTTTTAATGGAATGAGATACCTGATGTTACTGTTTGACCAATCAGAATCACGCATTTTTCAGTGTTTGGGAGAATAGTGCATATACGTTTATAAATAATGCACACAACAAACAGACATTGAGAAACTGACAATTGAAGAACGTGTGACCTTACCTGGCAGGCCGCCATTGCCTCCGCATACACCCGAGGTGGGTAGACCACGAAGTGGTAACACTTCAGTTCATACTCATCCCATCCTAAAGGGCAGTCTGAAACAGCAACATCATCATCATCATCATCATCATCATCATCATCATACCAATCTTCAACATCACCACAATCATCACTATCAAACATCACCTAAACCACTGTCATCAGCATCATCATCATCATCATCATCATCATCATCATCATCATCATCATCATCATACCAATCTTCAACATCACCACAATCATCACTATCAAACCACTATCATCATCATCAACATCGTCATCATCATCATCATCATCATACCACTCTTCAACATCACCACCATCATCAGTATCAAACATCACCTTAACCACTATCATCATCATCATCATCATCATCATCATGAAAACCTCAGCATGGCATCCGTATCTGGATTTTGTCACGTGTTTGAAATGACTTCGTCGTATAAACGTATACAGGATGCAAGTAGAGAAACACTATACAATCCAAGATACATGTGACTTTCCAGTTTAATTAAAGATTGAAAGAAGAATACTATTAAGTAGGAGAGATATTGGCAGAGATTTTATTGGTTCTTCGAATTAGTTTTCAAAGCAAAGTTTTTTTTATCTGATTATATATACACTGCCATTGACATTCACGATTAACTGTTGGCCACGTGACAGTGACATGGCCGCCCGGCGGACGACGTCCCCCACCCCTACCAGCAGACAGGCCTACGTGACAGTGACATGGCCGCCCGGCGGACGACGTCCCCCACCCCTTTCAGCAGACAGGCCTACGTGACAGTGACATGGCCGCCCGGCGGACGACGTCCTCCACCCCTTTCAGCAGACAGGCCTACGTGACAGTGACATGGCCGCCCGGCGGACGACGTCCCCCACCCCTTTCAGCAGACAGGCCTACGTGACAGTGACATGGCCGCCCGGCGGACGACGTCCCCCACCCCTTTCAGCAGACAGGCCTACGTGACAGTGACATGGCCGCCCGGCGGACGACGTCCCCCACCCCTACCAGCAGACAGGCCTACGTGACAGTGACATGGCCGCCCGGCGGACGACGTCCCCCACCCCTTTCAGCAGACAGGCCTACGTGACAGTGACATGGCCGCCCGGCGGACGACGTCCTCCACCCCTTTCAGCAGACAGGCCTACGTGACAGTGACATGGCCGCCCGGCGGACGACGTCCTCCACCCCTACCAGCAGACAGGCCTACGTGACAGTGACATGGCCGCCCGGCGGACGACGTCCTCCACCCCTTTCAGCAGACAGGCCTACGTGACAGTGACATGGCCGCCCGGCGGACGACGTCCTCCATCCCTACCAGCAGACAGGCCTACGTGACAGTGACATGGCCGCCCGGCGGACGACGTCCTCCACCCCTTTCAGCAGACAGGCCTACGTGACAGTGACATGGCCGCCCGGCGGACGACGTCCCCCACCCCTACCAGCAGACAGGCCTACGTGACAGTGACATGGCCGCCCGGCGGACGACGTCCTCCACCCCTTTCAGCAGACAGGCCTACGTGACAGTGACATGGCCGCCCGGCGGACGACGTCCTCCACCCCTACCAGCAGACAGGCCTACGTGACAGTGACATGGCCGCCCGGCGGACGACGTCCTCTGCCCCTTTCAGCAGACAGGCCTACGTGACAGTGACATGGCCGCCCGGCGGACGACGTCCTCCACCCCTACCAGCAGACAGGCCTACGTGACAGTGACATGGCCGCCCGGCGGACGACGTCCCCCACCCCTACCAGCAGACAGGCCTACGTGACAGTGACATGGCCGCCCGGCGGACGACGTCCTCCACCCCTTTCAGCAGACAGGCCTACGTGACAGTGACATGGCCGCCCGGCGGACGACGTCCTCCACCCCTACCAGCAGACAGGCCTACGTGACAGTGACATGGCCGCCCGGCGGACGACGTCCCCCACCCCTTTCAGCTGACAGGCCTACGTGACAGTGACATGGCGGACGGCGGACGACGTCCCCCACCCCTACCAGCAGACAGGCCTACGTGACAGTGACATGGCCGCCCGGCGGACGACGTCCTCCACCCCTACCAGCAGACAGGCCTACGTGACAGTGACATGGCCGCCCGGCGGACGACGTCCTCCACCCCTACCAGCAGACAGGCCTACGTGACAGTGACATGGCCGCCCGGCGGACGACGTCCTCTGCCCCTACCAGCAGACAGGCCTACGTGACAGTGACATGGCCGCCCGGCGGACGACGTCCCCCACCCCTTTCAGCTGACAGGCCTACGTGACAGTGACATGGCCGCCCGGCGGACGACGTCCTCCACCCCTTTCAGCAGACAGGCCTACGTGACAGTGACATGGCCGCCCGGCGGACGACGTCCTCCACCCCTACCAGCAGACAGGCCTACGTGACAGTGACATGGCCGCCCGGCGGACGACGTCCTCCACCCCTACCAGCAGACAGGCCTACGTGACAGTGACATGGCCGCCCGGCGGACGACGTCCTCTGCCCCTACCAGCAGACAGGCCTACGTGACAGTGACATGGCCGCCCGGCGGACGACGTCCTCTGCCCCTTTCAGCAGACAGGCCTATGTGACAGTGACATGGCCGCACGGCCGACGACGTCCCCCACCCCTTTCAGCAGACAGGCATCCGTGACCTGGCGTTATCTCGCCACAAGGTTGAAGGTTCGTGGGCTACCTACAGTTCAGGAGTTCAACGGATTACATGCCTTGACAACGTCGCGTCATTGAAGTTGATGAAATACGCTAAAAGTCACATAACGCTTCTTGGCGAAATCAGTCAAATATTGCAGGAAGATCATACTTTAATAGGTCAAATAACGCTGGTTTGAAATAACTCAAATAACGCTGCTTGCTGAAATGAGTGAAAAAATGCTGCTTTTTAAAATAAGTCAAACAGTCATATGCTACTTTATTATTTGTTTGTTTGTTTGTTGTTTAACGTCGCACCCACCAATATTCCAGCAGTCTTCACATAATCGAGACGACAGGTGATTGAAGCAGTAAGCATGTACACAAAACGTTGTGTTCCTCATACTAAAGAAGGTGACATCCATATATTCTCTTCCTTTTTTCAGGTATCATCACTTGTATAAATTTTGCATAATAATGAAGACTTAAAATACTGTCACAATTAAAAATAATCAATGTTCATTTTCATGCTATAAATCTGAGAAACCATGCACTAACTGGTTTAATTTATAAGTTATCAGGGTTATTGATGGATATTCGGTTGTATAAATGTACCCTAAACTACTTTGTATATATGCACTATAATCATATAACATCGGTATTAAGAAATAAAGATTGGTGGAATAACTTTGATAAATGCATTACACAATGCAATTATATTTTTGAAAAATAATTTATGCTGTGGAATATAGTAAGCTAGACTTGCCCTTTTTATCATCTAAACTAGTTATAATTAAATAAAAGCAGATATTTTTCACATGGAACAGGACCAAGCTCATACTCCTACATACAGGGTAATGTTATGACCTAGCAATGGCCATAGTGTAAGCGTGTTACTCTACATACGAGGTGTTCTGCACAAAACGCTATCAGTCCGTGCTGCTTGCTTACAGAGGAATGTGTCGCGGCCAGGCTTAGCGTTCGTCATGTTGGGACCGACCATTTAATATTCTAGGGGAGGGTGTGTAAATTGGGAATTTTGAATGAGACGAAATGGTTTTCAGAAAACTTGTAAGACATTCATTTTATTCCCTGAGAAGAAACGCCAAACCTTTTTTTCTTACCCACAACGCATAACTTTGCAGAACGTCCAAAATGTCCGGTTTACGATCGTTATCCCTGCAAAACATTATTTTCTGAAACAGATTATTCTTCTAATGCCCCCCCCAAAAAAAACAACAACAAACAAAACAAAACAAAAAACAAACAAAAAACACAACAAAAAAAAACACAACAAAAACAACAAAAACCACAAAAAAACACATTCAAAACGCCAAAGCAAAAAAATAAGCAGTATCAATTATCTGCCGAAACAGATTCCATAGGGCGTAAAAGGCAAATTAGTGATGGAATTTAAATTAAGTGATCACTGAAAATCAGTGATGACACCAGGTGTTCGCGACAAGGGTAAGCATGCCCTGCTCTGCGGTAGCACCCGCCATTCACACAATTTCCCAATACGATTATTGAATGGTCGACCTCTAAGGGAGAGTGACTTTAGGGGCTAATCTAGGTATTCTAGCAATAGAAGATACATTATTGCGATACTGTAGCGGTAGAACTATTTCAGTATTCGTGCTATAGCCAGCCGGTGGGCGTGCCTCGAGTCTTCTACGCTGGCATTCGAGAACGTGGAGGACTTTGATAGCGGGACTCTCTGATGGGAGGGGCAGGATGGGGGAAGGGGGAAGATGGGGGGAAGGGGGAAGATGGGGGGGGAGTAGTTACTTACCGTATGTTTGACCTGCGACTTGATTCAAAGATAAGAGGATATAAAGCACACATACTTCAGCTAAGACGTGGAGTATCATCATCTCAGGACCATTGCACCTGAAAAGGACAATGACCCAGTAGATGTACAGGCTCGTTATTGCATGACATATATACATAAGTCTCGTTAATGAAATTTCATTTCAAACATAATGATTTGGCACAATAATTTATTGAGATTAACGTTTCGTATGAATCAGCTTTTATACGTATATTTTTACTTCCGGGCAGAAGAAGTGTACACTTGATTCGATCCAGAAATTACACACGTGTTCAACTGCAAACTTAAGATCCTAAACTGTCATACTCTTATCATATACATCAAATATGGGAATATTCTTTTAGTGGCTGCAGTTTAGTTTAAACACATATGTGCCGTCACTTTTCACACTTTTGCCTTATACGCCCTATTGAATCTGTTTCGGTAGTTAATTGTCACTGATTATTGTTATGCTTTGACGTTTATGAATCCGTTGTTTAAACGATCCATCGTTTTGTCCGCATGGACAATTGTTTGTCAGCCGCCCATGCCCTCGATACGTTGAACCCACATTACAATAAATACATTTAGATTTAAGGGAACGGTTTTAGCTGTGACTGAAATGAATGATTTGAAAATTTGTGCCACACTATATATGGCCAGCTGGGCGGAGGTGTAATAATCAACGGATACACATGACAGAACGGTTTGAAATTAAGAGTTATTAAATTCAAATAATTATATAATCCTTATAAGTTTCGAAACTATGATGTATAATGTTGTGTTGCATTACGTTATGATGCCCATGTTAAAGTAATCAGGTAACTCTTTGATGTGAGAAAACTAAGAAATATATCAACATATAAACTTTACCATAGTTTTAAATCACCCAGGTGTAAAGACCTGACAAGATCGATGGATAAAAAGATAGAAAAATCTCAACATAATCAACATTTAAAATTACAGGCATATAGAATCAGTCTGATAGGACAGCTTCCCTAATTGAGGCGGGGTAGCAAAATCAAGCTTTCAACGTAAGGGACAAAGGGCACACAGATCTAAAATCTAAAATCCAAAAGTATTAGCGTGTATGACCAACCCCTGCTTACAAAACACGCAAAGAAACCTCAAGAACAACGAACAGAAGAAAGGTCAGTCGTCGGATGATGTCGCGTGGGATACGTCGACATTTTTCTTGGAGGGCCTGGATGAGTTCTTCCCGGTTAGCTGGAGTCAGTGGTCACTGTGGACACGGGGACATGTCTGGGGAGCACACAGGCCACGGGAACAGGAACTCATGATACAGGAGACTTTTGTCACTAGTCATCGGGCGTAGAAACAGGAACTCATGATACAGGAGACTTTTGTCACTAGTCATCGGGCGTAGAAACAGGAGCTCACGATACAGGAGACTTTTGTCACTAAGCATCGGGCGTAGAAACAGGAGCTCACGATACAGGAGACTTTTGTCACTAGTCATCGGGCGTAGAAACAGGAACTCATGATACAGGAGACTTTTGTCACTAGTCATCGGGCGTAGAAACAGGAGCTCACGATACAGGAGACTTTTGTCACTAAGCATCGGGCGTAGAAACAGGAGCTCACGATACAGGAGACTTTTGTCACTAGTCATCGGGCGTAGAAACAGGAACTCATGATACAGGAGACTTTTGTCACTAGTCATCGGGCGTAGAAACAGGATCTCATGATACAGGAGACTTTTGTCACTAGTCATCGGGCGTAGAAACAGGAACTCACGATACAGGAGACTTTTGTCACTAGTCATCGGGCGTAGAAACAGGAGCTCACGTTACAGAAGACTTTTGTCACTAGTCATCGGGCGTAGAAACAGGAACTCATGATACAGGAGACTTTTGTCACTAGTCATCGGGCGTAGAAACAGGAACTCATGATACAGGAGACTTTTGTCACTAGTCATCGGGCGTAGAAACAGGAGCTCACGATACAGGAGACTTTTGTCACTAGTCATCGGGCGTAGAAATATGAGACATAGACTAACAAGACTGATAGCACTGCAACATATGAGGTGCTTTACATAACATAAGGTGTGCGTATAGTATGAGGTACAGATTATATAAATAATGAACACTGTGTATCATTATATTTTCCTGTTTCTACTGTACCACAGCCTTACATAATATCTAGGGCTGGGACGGGTCACTCGGGTACTCGGGTACTCGGGTTGGGTAGGTCCTGAGTAGGACCCGGGTACGCACATGACTACCCAGACCCGAGGTTAGTCACGTGATATACTGTAATGACATAACAATAAAACTCAATGGTTACACTACAAGTACAGCTAATGTTCACATTTCTTTCTCACTATGCAAGCATTCGTTCTGACTTTTATATGTTCGAGTAAGGATAAAGCGTCTATCAACTGCAGTGTATCTAAAACGTTTTTGCTAGGGCAGCGGTAAAATAATTTCCCGTCGGACATTTTGTACCCCACTCTTGAGACCTATAGCGGGTATCCAGGAAGGGCTGGGTGATAGGTGCAGGGTACCCGGGTAGTAAATTTGGACTCTCCCCAGCTCTAGTAATAGCATTCTCTTGCAAACATGTTCTGATATCAAAACGTGCAATTAGTACATGCGACGTAATCCCAATGTTAGTCCACCGAGTGTAAAATACATTGAATATGATTACATTTACATTGCTTAATGACATCTAGGAAATTAGCTTTATAGTATAAACCTGAGCCAGAGAAAGAAGTATGTTTCATTGGCGAAAGATTTAACTACATTCAGTTTCATTCCTGTTGTATCGTGTCAGTTGAACAACCAGTTGTTGCAATTGGAATTAAAAGAGACGTTTTTTCACAACTGTGTGGCAATCCCATTATTCAAATAGCGCCGGATAATTCGAAAACTTAGGAGTTTCGAATACTTTCGAGTTGATTTAGTCCCCTGGAGTTCGTCATATCGGCAATCTACAATGTAAAGACCGCTTCCATGATCAAGTGAATAGAATCTCTATCAAGAGAGCGGAAGGTCGGTGGCCCCTGGTCGCGTCATGTCCAAAACGTTAAAGGTGGTACTTGTTGTTACCCTGCCTGGCGATCGGCATCAAGAGCATGAAACAAAGACTGGTTGCCGCGGAGTATGATGTGTCTGAGTGAAGTGTCTATGCTACGCTGCCACATTGTATATTACTTGGGTAGCACTATAAATATAAGCGCATAAGCTTTTTATATATACTATTCAAAAAAAAGAAACGCATAACCCGTATTTGCTGATAAAATGTTGTATATTCAAACATGAATAACTTGGTAGGAAATGAACTTGAGTACATGAAATTTTACATCCGTTTAGGAGAGATCAATGTCTATACAGTGATGCCCATAACTTGAGGTAATGCATTCACAATATTCCTCAAACGTAAATGGAGTATCAATATCTGTTGTGCCCACCACGTGCACGAATAACAGTTCCCACACGCCTTGTCATGGACTGGATGAGACGCTTGATAACGGCCTGGGGAATCCTCCGCCACTCCACCTGCAGAAATGCAGCTAGTGCCTGGAGGGTTTGGGGTTAATGCTGACGCTGACGGTGACGGCGATCAAGTTCATCCCACAGGTGCTCTATTGGGTTAGGATCGGGGAACGGGACGGTCAGGGGAGCACGTTGACATTGTTAGCAGCGAGAACGGTCATTGTGACACGTGCCGTGCGGGGCCGGGCGTTGTCCTGCTGGACAATCTCACGTTGGACGTCAATGGCTGGCAGGAGGTGTGGTAGCAGGATGGTGTCTCTGTAGCGTACAGCCGTCAGGTTTCCCTGGACGTGGACAAGATCGGTACGATCAGTGTAGGATATTACCGCCCACATCATCAGACTCCCTCCACCAAATCTGTCCACTTGACGCACGCAGTTAGGGGCATAACGTTCATGAACACGTCTGTAGACCCGGTTCCTACCATCGCGTCTCTGCAACAGGAATCTGGACTCTTCGCTAAACCAAATGCGTCGCCAGTTGCGAAGGTTCCAGGTAGTCACGTTGTTACACCAACGGAGATGATGAGCACGATGGTGACGACGTAGCACGTTCCCGACGTAGGGTCTCCTGGCTCTCAGTCCATGTTCTCTCAGGCTGTTCCGTACAGTCTGGCCTGATATCCTCCTAAATCCTGGCACCCTGACTGCAGTGCTCTCACCCGTAGCAGTACGGTCCCGCAAATGGAGCACCCGGATGTAGCGATCCTGGGCTGGTGTGGTGACTCTAGGTCTTCCTGTACGGGGACGGTCATTTGTTGTGCCTGTTTGGTTGTAGCGAACTGCAAGCCGTGATATTGTGGTTTTGCTAACATTCAGACGTCGGGCAACAGAAGATTGGGACTCTCCAGCCTGCAGTCTTCCAATGGCGATGTTCCTTGTGGCAGCATCAATACGTGGCATGTTCATTTGGCTTGGAAACACCTTCTGGATGAATGCCTATTTCCGAAAGCAAGCTTGCTTTTTATTGCCAAACACTACATGCTTTTCCTGCCCAATTTCAACGTGCAAGATGCCCCTTTTTGTGTTGTGGCGATGCATATCTTACTCATTCTCAAAACATCACATCAAAGTCAATATTTTCAAGAAAAATCGATTTGTTGCAAACGGAATTGTGTCAATTGATGCTCTTACCAATATTGATACATATTTTGACATTAATATGAATACAATAGGTATTATTTTCGTTTTGACATATCAGTAACACCTATGCGTTTCTTTTTTTGGATAGTATATTTTGACGCAGCAGTGACCAAAAAGAAGTCTGATGCTTTTCCCTATTTTGACTTGTACCGTATGTTCGTGTGTTTTTCTCAGGTGAAAATTGACTTGCCTTTGAATGTGTTTGTGACATTAGTCGGGACTAGAAGTCTTCATACACACACGTGCATACACGTCCCCATATACGTGAACTACTACCGATTTCACCTCACCTCACCTCACCTCTAAAACACGAGGCGATGATTTAGCCACGTCGCCTATATGGAACAGACAGATCATTAAGTGGGACCGTCCTTTGCCATGTCCTTGTGCCCTTTCTAATCTGCTGATTGGACACAAGAC